AGTTACGTAGTTACGTACCACTGAACATAATATGATAATTCATACAAACCTATATTTCACAATTTTATTTGCACGGCTCCGTCTAAACTCAAGATTTTAATTCTCTTTTGATTCTCAGTAGAACCGTGTTGATCTCTATATTCTCTACATTTCTATACAGTTTACTTACTTCTCTATTTGAATTTAATCAATCTGATTAAAGTGTAAACAATAATTATTTCACATGTTTATAAATGTTTTGTAAAAAAGGAAGAAGAGAGAAACTATTTTTTTACATTAAAGATTATCTAAAAATATATTACAAAGCGTTGATGGGATGAGTTATAAATTAGTTTTCTCATAGTTCTCCGTCTTCTCTCTTAGATCTGGGAGGAGCTGGAGGACGGGACGTATCTATCTCAACCTGAACACGGATATTCATCAAATTTATATTTAAAGTTTCAAATTTGTTAAAAGAACTTAAAATAATAGTCGTTTGAATTGTTAGGCTTTTCTTTCGTCGAAAAAATAGCTACACGTAATATATCCCTTACTAATAAGCTATAAACTAAGCGATCAAAAACATTTGGTGCATCTTATAAATCTAAAAAAAATCCAATTGCTGGGTTTTGAGAAAATCCTCTAAAAATGTGATGTTTTTGAAATACCTGATCCTGAATGTGTCGAGGAAGTTCTCGATAAACTGCTTCAGGAACATGATCATTACATCGATACACCTGAAAGTATTCATGTCAGCAATATTATGGCAGATTCATGATGCTTCATGCCTATTTAAAAAAGAAAAAAATATTACCAGATCGGACCAGATAATCATCTCCTGAGAGAAACAGAATACTCCCAACCTTCCTCCCTTCAAGGTTCCGTCAAATACGTTTCCAGAATCAGCCACCATCTTATCTCCCTCAAATATTCTAAACAAGGATTATATAAAACTTCTACAAATAAAGGAAATGAGTTTTTGCCACAAACTCTTACTGTTTCCCCCTTTATCTTAGCAACCCGATGTTGTAGAATTTTGATATTTCAAACTATGAATTCTGTTAGATCAAATATTCTAAGTTAGAAATATCTTCGGTTTACGCCATCTGGTTGCAAAGATATAAAGTTTAACAAATTTGAGTTTGTGGCAAAAACTCAATTCTTTTTTCTCAGAATCTACTTTTATTACGGTTTACCATTAGATAAGATAAGTAGTATTGAATGATATTTTCAAAAAATATTATTTTAAAACTGAACAATGAACATTTCTCCTCGAATTCTAACGTTTTCTCATCCCTATATCTATGCAACCTAATGGTGTAAACCTTGAATATTTCATACTTTGACTCTGAAATATCTAAGCACGACGACATCAGCTTGCCAATGCAAAGATAAAGAACCAGAATATTGTAATGTAAGGTTAATCAAAAACTAAAATATCTTTAGTTCGATCTGTTTGAGTTGTAATGTAAAGATTGAAAATGTGCCTATCTATTGGTTTGCAAAATATGGTCGGGATAAATCGGTTTATCTACTGAACCCCATTTTTAATTATTAAAAGTTTCTAGACTACTGAGGCTCAACAAGAATCTAAAATTTTAAACCTATTTTAAAATTTCATGCCATAAACAAGTTTGCTTTTATTACATTATGCAATATTTTATTCTGAACAAAGATATTTAAAAGGAAGAACGATTTTTCAAAACATTTAGAAAATCGTTTTGGTTAATACCTTTGATCAGAGAAAAAAATTCCCATAATGTCGTAAAAGCAAAATTATCTACTATTTTGCAATTTAATTAATAACCAACATTTTTGTGAGTATTCTCTGATGTAATTTTTCCTTGTAGTAAATTCGTAAATCCAACCTAAGTCTGATAATTCATATTTTATTTAGTAAATCCAACCTAAGTCTGATGAGTCCTATTGTATTTAGTAAATCAACCTAAGTCTGATGAGTCCTATTGTATTTAGTAACTCAACCTAAGTCTGATGAGTCCTATTGTATTTAGTAAATCCAACCTGAGTCTGTTAGTTTCACTGTATTTAGTAAATCAACCTGAGTCTGATGAGTCCTATTGTATTTAGTAAATCCAACCTGAGTCTGATGAGTCCTATTGTATTTATTAAATCAACCTGAGTCTGATTAGTTTCACTGTATTTAGTAAATCCAACCTGAGTCTGATGAGTCCTATTTTAGGTCTATGCAGGAGAAGCCATCTGTATGCAACCTTCTCTCTCCAACCAACATTCCTGGGATCCTTCCACAGCAGTTTAACCTACATGTATTCTAATAAAGGGATTGTAATGGTATTTTCAAGTGAATCTCCAATTAAAGAGGGCACTCTGATCAATATTATGGAAAATAACATAGTTTTTTTAGCTTAAAAGTTCTTATTTTTGATAATTTCTCCATTGTTTCTGAAACAAGAAATGCGCAAGTGGCTTTTGTAGAGAATCCTCAAAGGAAATGATCAGTTTTCAAAAACCAAAAACTGGATAAGTAAATTATATTTGTGAATCACTCTATCAAGGGGGGTAACTTGAAATTGTGTTTACAGTTTCTTTAAAAAGAGAAAAAAAACTATTTTCAACTTTGACATACGAAGATCACCATTGCATGAATGTCAATAAAAAATTGAAGTCATTTTTGAACTCATGATAATTTTTCAATGAAACGAGTTTCACTTTGTTTCAAAATCATAATCGAATATGAAAAAAACTAATAAATTTAAATTTAGATAAAAATAATGTTTAAAATTTGACTTTCAATAATATTTTTACTGTTTAGAGAGTATCCGATTTCTGTATAATTCAAACCTGTCTATCTGTATTCCCAGTATGCCATAGAGAATTCCTCATCATTTGACCTGAAGTAAAAAATCTAAGACGCAAGAAAAAAACCTGAAAATGAAAACTTTGTTTAATTATAATAATAAGACCTGGAGTGATATTTCTCCACTAATATTTACCTGGTCCTGACTCCAGGTGTATAAAGACCTAGAGTTACTCTGCCAAGGTTTCCCTAATTTTAGAGTTCAGGTATGGACCTTGAGTTATGTTTCTCTATGTACATTTACTTGATTTTGACTTCAGATATATTTACACTTAAAGTTATGTTTCTTTTTAAAGATTTCTCTCGACCTGATCTGACTCTAGGTATATATGTAAACCTGCATTAATATGTTTCTCCACCAAAGTTTACTTGGTCCCAAGTCCAGGTATATTAAAACCTGGACTAATTTTTCTCATTCTAGTTTTTCCTGATTTCAGTTATATGTGCTCTTGGTGTAATATTTCTCCAGACCCTATCTCCAGGTATACGTTAACCTTCAGTTATATTTACCAGGTCTGACTCCAGGTATATATGATACCTTGGAGCAATGTTTACCTGGTCCTGACTTTAGGTATATATGATAACCTGGAGTAATGTTTACCTGGTCCTGACTTTAGGTATATGATAACCTGGAGTAATGTTTACCTGGTCCTGACTTTAGGTATATATGATAACCTTGAGTAATGTTTACCTGGTCCTGACTTTAGATATATGATAACCTGATGGAGTAATGTTTACCTGGTCCTGACTTTAGGTATATATGATAACCTGGAGTAATGTTTACCTGGTCCTGACTCTGATTGAACCAGTTTAAGCTGGATCCCGGGTTCTGCAACTGCTCTGAATGGAGTTGCCTAGAAAAAAAAATTAATCTTTAAAAGATTTAGTTGAAGTCTTATAAATGATAAAAATTGCAAACCTGCCAATATGTTTGAGTATTCTTCTTCCACATAACAGTATAGAACTGATTATTGTCTTGATAGCTGAAAATGAATCCAACGTAATCGTCATCTATCTCTGTATCAACGAAGAATGTTCCCTCAAAGTCAACTCCTCCAAACCTGTGGAACCCGACCGCTAATCCAGGATCAGAGTTCATGGTCTGAACAATCTCAGCACCCTTGTTTTTTAAATGAAGAATTTGATCTTTTCGGATTAAAATTGATAAAAAATCCCAAACAAATGTAATTGTGAGGTAGAGGCCCTGTTAAATAGAATGTTTTATATCTAGCTTATTTAAGTTTATTCTTAATTTCCTTATTGTAAATGACCCAGTTCGGATCAATCTGAGAATCTCCATGTGGATCCAGAACCACAGTCTGATAGGTTCGGAAATCTGTGGCGTAAATTTTACTGTTGTTGGGACAGTTATCATAGAAATCGGTGATATTATCTCCGTCCTCATCTTCCTGGCAAATATCTCCCTTACCGTTCCCGTCCGTATCCAGCTGCTGGGGATTATACTGGAGCCAGCAGTTATCCTTCTCATTCGGAATACCATCATTGTCTGCATCCGAGTCACATTCATCTCCCATTCCATCCTCATCCATGTCATGCTGGGGAGCGTTGGGAACATCTGGGCAGTTATCCATCGGATCCGGTATTCCGTCCCGATCCTTATCATCATTAGTATCACAGACATCTCCGTATGTATCCTCGTCGCGATCTGATTGATCAGGATTACGAACCTTCGGACAATTATCACACGCATCTCCAAGTCCGTCTCCGTCAGTGTCAATCTGATCCTCGTTAAAGACAAGGGGACAGTTATCCCTTTCGTTCAGGATACCGTCATTATCCTTGTCTGGATCACAAGCATCTCCCAACCCGTCCTTGTCTGTGTCCTCTTGATCCAAGTTGGGAAGGAAGGGACAGTTATCACAAGCATCTCCTCTCATATCCGTCCCTTCAGGGTCTGTATCCGACTGATCAGGGTTGGCAACCAAGGGACAGTTATCTGGAGTATTTGGTATACCGTCGTTATCAGCATCATCATCACAAGCATCTCCGATCCCGTCTCCATCACTGTCTTCCTGCCCAGAGTTGGGGGTATCAATACAGCTGTCCATCCGACATTTAGTGTCCTTAACAGTTTTCATTTACTATTCTGATCATTTCTTATTTAGTATCCTTAACAGTTCTTATTTAGTATACTAAACAGTTTTTATTTAGTATTCTAAACAGTTCTTATTTAGTATTCTAAACAGTTCTTATTTAGTATCCTAAACAGTTCTTATTTAGTATTCTAAACAGTTCTTATTTAGTATCCTAAAACAGTTCTTATTTAGTATCCTAAACAGTTCTTATTTAATATTCTAAACAGTTTTTATTTAGGATCCTGAACAGTTTTTATTTAGCATCTTGAACAGTTCTTATTAAGCATCTAAACAGTTTTTATTTAGTATTCTAAACAGTTTTTATTTAGTATCCTGAACAGTTTTTATTTAGTATCCTGAACAGTTCTTTTCCTACCCTCTCCTATCTTTACCTGACACGGGAGATCATAGTCTGGCCATCCGTCCAGATCTCTATCTGGCCCACACAGTTTTCCGTCTCCTGCCCATCCGATCTTACACTTACACACATAGTAGCTCTTACCTAATCAAACCAAACCATAGAGATAGAATATTGGGTTATTATTTAATAAATATTTAGCAAGCTAGAACCAAGGAATATATACTAGCAGCTCCCATAGCTTTGTTTACAAATAAAGCGTACTACAGTTTCTAGGTAAAACATGAACAAGATCAGCCTGAGTAGCGCTGAGTTTGTTTACATTCCACCCGGAAAATACAATATAAGGAATTGAGTATTTGCCACAATAATTGATTTTTTAATTCCTATATCTTTGCGATCCAATGTCGTAGATCTTAAATATTTCAAACTAGGAATTATTTTGGATCAATTCAGAGTATTTTCTATTTAGACGATCTGATGCAATGGAAACTGGAGAGTGAGTTATCATAAGAGTTTTATTTAATCAGGTTTTATTAATTCAAAACATCCTGGAGTAAAATAAAGACGAGGATGAATGTATATCTAGGGTTGGGTTTCCTAAAGGTTTGATACAATCAGCATTCTCATCACACTCAGTTCCATCCGGACAGATGCCAGGTCGGTTGTTACACCCGATATTCTGATTCCCAACATAACCTAGAGAATTGACAATATTTTGATATTTATCAGTTAAGTTAGTTACCCATTTAGGGAATCTTGTATCGGATATAATTGTTGATAAGACATTACTCCCTAACCTGCTATACAGGGTCCACAGTAGAAGGATCCATCCGTGTTTACACACACTGAGTTCTCCACACAACCTCCATTGTTAATCTCACATTCGTTTATATCATAGCAAACCTGTCTTTGACGAGCTGCAAAATCTAACCCGACTCCGGTAAACCCAGTGCTACCTGATAAAACAAATATTAAGAACATATATCGAACTTAAATAAAAGGGAAGAGCGTTACTTCACTTGATATCAATAAACATTAAATACCAGACCATTTAAAAGATTACCTAACTTTAAGTGACCTAAAATTCTTAGAGAGGAGTTTGCAACAGCGCCTTTTAAACATTTGTCTGTTCAAGAAAGATGACAAACCTTTAATTTTAGCGGAAAATTGATTATTTTCTATTGTAGTTTTTCTTACAAAGTGACTTTTGGACTCCGAAATTGTCAGGATTCTTTACTTTTCCAGTTTTAAAAACGAAGATATCTTCCCTAATAATAAACAGATAGACGGACATCGGACATGGCACTCTTTGAATTTAGGATGGCCTAACATTATATCTACAAGCTCTTTTAGGAAAGGGAAGACATCTTAAGTGAGACTTGGAATGAGAGAAAAAAAACAGAAAACAGGAAATCGAAAGGGTTGATTGAATTCATTGAATGTTGTGAAAGAGAAGGAAACTGTAAATGATTAAATGGGATCAGAACCAAAAAATAGGAAACAGATCAGAGTTAAAAGATACTTATACATATTAGAAGGATAGGATTGCTAAAGAACCTGTGTATCCGGGTGGACACGGACCACATCTAAACCCTGGCATAAGATTATAGCATGTTGCTGACACATCACATGGATCTGCCAGATCACATTCATCCAGATCAGAGCAGCTAGTTCCGTTTCCGGTCAATCCATGAGGACAGGGTCCACATCTAGTACGGAGATATAAATATTGGAATTTAATTGTTTAGATCTTAGATAAACAAACCTGTAGAAAGGAGGTCGTTCTATATTAAAGCATTCAACATCTCTGTAGCACGGAGATGGAGTTCGCTGACAGATATCTGGAACACAGGTCAATCCGTCCCCTCTATACCCCTGAACAATACACATCAGGACGGATTCAATATTCATCTATCAAATTGTATGATATTGTATTATTACCTGGGGACAGGGCCCACATTTATAGAATGGTTGATCAGATATAGGATAGCAGGATACACCCTCATAACAAGGTTCAGCTCCGCAGGCATCTCTCTCACAGAACCTACCGTCTCCCTTATATCCTGGAGGACAACTACCACACCTTGGACCTTCTATAGTATCCCTGCAGTCCACTCTAGGTGGTCCTTCAAAGCATGGATAAGGGATATCAGAACATTCAGGTTTCTTTATCTTACAGGCTTCACACTCCTGCAGAGCTTTACGCAGCATCACAGTTTCTTCTCTTTGTGTTTTAACCTCTAGCTTGAGACGTCTTAATGCCTGGAAAACAAATCAGTGAGAAATAATTCATGAAAGTGGGAGGAGAAGATAAACAGGTTGCCAGCTAAACACTAGGGGGTGTAGGAAGGAGAAGGGAGATTAATGGGGTAAAAAGAGAGGGTAGAGGAAATATGAGAAGCAGAGATAGATGGACAATAGGAAGAAAAAGGAATGATTGAAAGAGAGAGATTACTAAAATGATCAAAAACCTAGGAAAAAAGGAGGAGGAGAGGAGAAATAAAAAGGATTAACAAAAAGAACGTAATGAGGAGTAGAAAGTATATGAGGAGATGGAAGGATATGAAGAGTGGAAAGTATATGAGGAGAATGAAGGATATGAGGAGTAGAAAGTATATGAGGAGAAGGAAGGATATGAGGAGTAGAAAGTATANGAATCAAATTAAAATTTAAAAAATGTAAACTTTACTTTCTGGTTTTTTAATAATTTTAAAGGACTTTAATCAAGTTATCCCTCTAGTTTAGGTTTTATCAAATACAACATCAAGTACAGCAAGTTTTATATTAAAAATAACAGTTATAATTTTAGACTTAACTTACAGTTATATAAGTGCAGTTTTATGTGTTCTTTATTTTCTGTTTTTACACCCTCTTGACTAAATATACGGGTCGAAACTGATATTGTACATAACGCTCTTACATTTTAATTTGGATAAATTACTTTAAAACATATTACGGAAATGTTTTATGACATATTCGGGGAAGTGCTTTGGAGAGGTTTTACTGAGGTTAAACCCCCAGATCCGTGGGAACAAGAAAATGTAGTTTTCCAATGAAATGTCGTCGACAAAGAGTATTTAATTTTTTTTCTGAAGTGTCGTTTGACTAAATTTGGGGACACAGTAGAAATATGCAAAAATGCAAAAAAGTGCTGCAATGATTAAATTGATTAAAAATCTATATAAATATATATTTGGCATATATAAATGTAGGTAAACTGCCGTCTTCCTCGTTAATTTTAACTTGTGACGTCGTGTATAATTGGTTCGTATCTTTGTTGCCAACTATTGTACTTGATAATCTATTTGGGTTTTTATAATTCATAGTTAATTAATTTAAGTTCCAATTTTCCAAGTTGTTCTCTGTATGATATTAATGTGCAGAAATTCCAACACGCCCATTGAAATCTACCAAAAAGGGAATCATGATCTAGAGTTATCTACCCCTTTCCTTCCTACTGTTTCTAAACTTTCTTTCATAAATTACCCCCTCCTGCAGTTTCAACCCCCTCCCCCCTTATGTTACCCTTCTTATATCCTTTTCTCCCCTCCTGTTAACTTGTTAGGTTTACTATTTAAAATTAATATTATTATCATTATTATTATTATTCTTATTACTACTATTATTCTTTTTATCTAAGCGTATAATGTGTTCTGATGAAAAATCTTATTCTGAACCTGCATTTTCTCAAGTTGACAATTTAAATCCACAAGAACTGAGTTTGCTGATTTCTGGTTCTGTATACTGATTGCTACATCTCTGGGATGATACATTTTCAACTAGTTCAAACCATCAATCCATTCTAACTCCAATACTCCAATTTTACTGAGAAGGGTAGAGATGAGTAAGACGACCATAACAGGGTTCAGGATAATAAAGGAAAAGTGAGAGAGTTGAGAATATCTAACTCACGATGGAGGTGGACTTTGGGGGAGGGGTAATTTTCAGAAAATGGTTTTAATTCTCGTTTGAATTATTTAAATATGATTCTGAAGATAGAGTTACTGGATAAATGTAGAATGTAGAAAACGGAAAGAAGATGTATATGGGGTGAAACTGAAAGGGGTTGTTGTTATTATTTTCCCGCAATTCTCCTGAATAAATATTATTTTAAATATAAAGGTTTAAATATGTTTATTTTACTGATAAGTCGTCTTACTTTCAGAACTAGGGGAAGGAAATTCAATCCCTGAGCAGCAAGGGAAGATTTAAAAGGTTAATAACGTTGTGGATCTAACCCTAAACACATAAGGAATAAGGATAGTATGAGGGTTGGGAAGAGATTAAAAAGAGCAGATTTTTGGTTTCCTTGCTGTGTTTCATCTTCTGCTTTAGCTGCCTCAGTGAGAACGGCATCCTGACCTGTCCTTTCCCAATACAGGAGAAGAAAACTGTAACCTTGCTCCCTCCATGTCCAGACTGATCAAACGCGATCACGAGATGATCGTCCTTGTTCTGGTTCTTAAGAAGTTGTAGCTCTGATCCCAGGTTTATATCCTCGCACCAGACCCCTGAAAGTTATTCAATAATTATGTATTCTTTAGACTACCCAGAGAATATGCATGGTAAGGTTTAATAAACATAAAAAAAGAATTGTTCGACTTGATTTGAAGCCAGAAACAATATTTATTAAGCGCTTCTTTTTAAATCGATTGGATGGTTATAAACTGATACATGTATGGAGTAAGGTGATGTAAACTAGTTTACAGTACTGATACATATATAGATTGATGTGATGTAAACTAGTTTACAGTACTGATACATATATAGATTGACGTGATGTAAACTAGTTTACAGTACTGATACATATATAGATTGACGTGATGTAAACTAGTTTACAGTACTGATACATATATAGATTAACGTGATGTAAACTAGTTTACAGTTGTGATACATATATAAATAAACGTGATGTAAACTAGTTTACAGTACTGATGCATATTTAAATTAACGTGATGTAAACTAGTTTACAGTACTGATACATATATAGATTGACGTGAAGTACACTAGTTTACAGTACTGATACATCTATAAATAAACGTGATATAAACTAGTTTACAGTACTGATACATCTATAAATAAACGTGATGTAAACTAGTTTACAGTACTGATACATATATAAATTAACGTGATGTAAACTAGTTTACAGTACTGATACATATATAGATTGACGTGAAGTACACTAGTTTACAGTAATGATACATATATAAATTAACGTGATGTAAACTAGTTTACAGTACTGATACATATATAAATTAACGTGATGTAAACTAGTTTACAGTACTGATACATAAATAGATTGACGTGATGTAAACTAGTTTACAGTACTGATACATATATAAATTAACGTGATGTAAACTAGTTTACAGTACTAATATATATACGAGGTACTATATGCTGTGTGAAGATTAATGTAGGAATATAATCCCAGTATTATTCCAGGTATCACGTGCTCATTCAATAATTCATCAATTCATTCATTTAATAATTTATTAATTCATTCATTCAATAATTTGTCCATTCATGGATTTATCTTCTCCATTCAACCCAATTCGACTATTTATTTAAATTTATGGATTGTACAATCTGCGGAGCACAGAGAAAACAATCCATATTTTCGATAACTCTGGAGATTACATGGCACCATGGTTCCTATATATCAGTAGGAAGCATGGAACTATGGTTCCTATATATCAGTAGGAAGCATGGAACTATGGTTCCTATATATCAGTAGGAAGCATGGAACTATGGTTCCTATTTATCAGTAGAAAGCATGGCACCATGGTTCCTATATATCAGTAGGAAGCACGGAACTATGGTTCCTATTTATCCGTAGGAAGCATGGAACTGTGGTTCCTATATATCAGTAGGAAGCATGGAACTATGGTTCCTATTTATCAGTAGGAAGCATGGCACCATGGTTCCTATATATTAGTAGGAAGCATGGAACTATGGTTCCTATATCAGTAGGAAGCATGAAACTATTGTTCCTATTTATCATTAGGAAGCATGGAAATATGGTTCCAATTTATCAGTAGGAAGCATGGAACTATGGTTTCTATGTTTTTATCATGAGGAAACATTGAACCATTGTTCTGAAAATCAGTAGGAAACATTGTACCATGGTTCCTATATATAAAAGGAATCATGGAACCATAGCTCCTTTCTTATAGGAGAAAACATGGTTCCTATATATAGAAGGAATCATGGAACCATAGCTCATTTCTTTTAGGAGAAAACATGGTTCCTATATATAGCAGGAATCATGGAACTATAGCTCCTTTCTTATAGGAGAAAACATGGTTCCTATATATAGAAGGAATCATGGAACCATAGCTCATTTCTTATAAGAGAAAACATGGTTCCTATATATAGAAGGAATCATGGAACTATAGCTCCTTTCTTATAGGAGAAAACATGGTTCCTATGTATGTAAAGAACACATGGAACCATGTTTTATATACATCAGAAGGAAACATGGAATCATGGAACCTATTTATCAGGAGTAAGCAAGGAACCATAGATTCTAAATATCAGGAGGAGACTTGTAACCACAATTCCTATATATCGGGAGAAAACAATCATGGTTCCTAAAAATGAGAGGGGAATGTGGAGAAAACATGGTTTCAATATATTCGGAAGAACATGTACGAATGGTTCCTATTTATCATAAAGAAAACATGGAACCAAGGTTTCGATATATTAGGATGGAAAATAGAACCATCCGTAGGAAAAGTAAACCTTAAACAATACTTGCTATGATATTAGAAGGAAACAATTGAGACATGAGACAATGGGTGCTGTAAATCAGGAGGAAACTGGGGTAAAAATAACAATTATGGAACATTGGTGCTGATATTTCAGGCTGATTATGGAACCATGAAACCTATTTGTAAATCAGAAAAAAAAGGAATCTCTTGGTTCCATTAATCAGGAGAAAGCAATCATGGTTCCTAAAAATGAGAGGGGAATGTGGAACCAGCAACTGAATCAGTGGGATCACATTACACCATATGCATCTAATTTCATTAAACCAGCATGAAGCATAATTGAAGACAAGAGTTTGAATGAAAATCTTGGATCATATTGTTTCTATTTGTAGAACTAAATCTTACCGTCAGGATGAACTAGAGTTAATTTGATGGTTCCTGTATCTTCTAATAAATGAACTTTAAACTGATTATCAAGATCGGGAAAGTTTATAAGGAGAAGAGGATCAGGACTAGGAATCCCGATCATTCGTCTCCGAACCCCTTCAATCACTATCACAAAATCATTATGACGAACAGCTCTCTGCAGGTCCTTGGAAAAGGCGTGGGACTCCACCAGGGACCCGTTGATCTCCACAACGAGGACGGAGAGAAGGAGTATAAATCCCTTCATGGTAGAGAACAGTTTAATCTCACACCTGGAGAAGTTCTTGGGTCATCCCGGATACTATCCTTAGTTTTCAACTTCTAAGACCTATATCTTAAGTGTACACCTGTGTTTCTATCTTTGGGACTAAGACTGAGTTTTCTCTGAGTAAAGGTTGTGTGCGCTCCTCCGATCCTTCTCTTTCCAACACCGGGCACTGCGGCGGTATTCACGGGGTGAGTTTCGTACTTGCTTTAGATTCGATATTCAGATAATTTGATCCAAGGTTGCAGTGTGGTCAGGGGGGCCTGTGTGGGCACATTTCTCATGATGTCATTGGATGAATGTTCCTCCAGGTGTCCCTTAAACCAGATTATGCAGCTCTACAACCATTGTCCACCCAATCCATATTTGAGAATAGGATTAAACCATACTTATATTTCTGAAACCCTAATCCGAGCTCTTCCTGCTCCGTGTTCATCAACACCTGGCAGGTTTCAACCCTCGCTCACGGTGATCCTTACATCTGACAAATTAAAAAAATTCCTTCGTTTTTTTATCGTGTAACAACTTTTATTTGGACTAATAATAAAAATTTTTAAAGTATTATATACATACTTAAAATACATCAGGACATAACAAGCCGATAAGGGCTGTTAAAAATGAAAGGCCCAGTACAAAAAAAAATACAAAAGAGGAGGAGCGGGAAAAATGAAAAAAATGGTGTACTATTGATTTTAGTGAGGAATTTGCATGTCATAGAAAAGGAGAGAAGATTGGAAGAGCATTTACCAACACTGATCTGCAAAATTATGACTAGAAAATCATGTAGTTAATCAAATATTCATAATTCTGCTTGCAGAGTCCTGTTTTTGCAATTAGTTTAGTTAATGTTTAAATATATTCCTTCCCACCCAGTAATTTAGCCAAATTTCTGTTATTTATTAACATCTTAAACATATTAGATTTCTTTGTTCTACGAGGCCTGGAGTTGTTATTTTAAATAAAAGAATAATGGATGAGTGTAAGGAATCATACTTTTCCTTCTTGTTCTTTCTTCTCTTTACTACAGGGTTACCCAGAAATCTGTTCACTACAAGGTTACCCAGAAATCTCTTTACTACAGGGTCACCCAGAAATCTCTTTACTACAGGGTTACCCAGAAATCTCTTTACTACAGGGTTACCCAGAAATCTCTTTACTACAGGGTACCCCAGAAATATCTTTACTACAGGGTTACCCAGAAATCTCTTTACTACAGGGTCACCCAGAAATCTCTTTTGCTACAGGGTTACCCAGAAATCTCTTTACTACAGGGTACCCCAGAAATCTCTTTACTACAGGGTTACCCAGAAATCTCTTTCCTGCAGGGTTATCCAGAAATCTCTTTACTACAGGGTTACCCGGAAATCTTTTTACTACAGGGTTACCCAGAAATCTCTTTACTACAGGGTTACGCAGAAAGCTCTTTCCTACAGGGTTACCCAGAAATCTCTTTCCTACAGGGTTACCCAGAAATCTCTTTCCTACAGGGTTACCCAAAAATCTCTTTACTACAGGGTTACCCAGAAATCTCTTTACTACAGGGTTACGCAGAAATCTCTTTCCTACAGGGTTACCCAGAAATCTCTTTCCTACAGGGTTACCCAGAAATCTGTTTACTACAGGGTTACCCAGAAATCTGTTTACTAAAAACTCATAGACGATTGAACAGATCTGATCAATAACCATTATTTTAGTGATTTGTTTTCTCTCGCCAAAGATTTGTTTAATTTAGACAATAAAAAATCTTTTATTGAAGTAAACATTTATTATTAAAACACTGGATTAAAACTTTCAAATGCAGACAAATCCTTTTAAGAGAAAGCAAAAAGAGTTACAAGAATCCAAACCAAATATTCCCCATTCCTCTTCGCTGAAAAGGGCGGGAAATAAACTGTCCTGATACAAGTTTTTATGATAATTGATCTCCATGTTTGGTAAACCCAACTCCGGATACAATATGCAAATATGTTCAGGTTTAGTGTTCATCAAGGGTTAGGCAATCCTTCACTTTTTATTCATCACTCTAAACTTTTGTTTTTCTCTCCTTTATATTATCTGATATCTCCATGCAATGATGGAAATATTGTTACGCAATTCAGTTCTCTTGAAAGCTTTGATGATATAGAATTGATTGAATTTTAACGTTTTTAATTTTGAAAACTGATTATTTTTGTCGTGGTTTCCCCACAAAATTTATTTGCGCATTTCGTTTCTACTGCAGGGAAACATATAGGAATAATCAGAATTAAACCCTCTCAAATCTAGAAATGTATCAAATAATTCAAGTGTACAGCTGTCAATCGGGCATTGCCATCTTTGCATGGAGGGTCACTTGTAATTTCGCTTATTAGATATTACCTTTTAGCAATGACTTTTCATTTTTACGTTACAATAAAAATCGTTTATTCTCACATATTTCATCTTTTTTATTTAAATACTAAATCTTTACCAAAAATCTAAAAAAATCAATTTCACAAAAAAGTTCTAATCTTTCTAACTTTTCAACTACAACTCATTCCATGATAAACTTCGTTTTTTGCTCTTTTACTTATTCTTGAGTACATAAGCTTTTTCTTTTTTTTCTCCCCCCCCCCCGCCCCCGTCTCTCCCATGAGCAATCCCGTCTTCTATGTAGTCTCCCTATTCTTAAAGAAACTCGGAACATGTGCGCCTAAGAAGCATGAGAAGCAAAACAACGCGAGTTTGAAAAATGAGATTTAGCTTAAGATATTCAATCATTCAAGAAACCTACAGAAATAATATATTATCTCTAACCTATAGATATTATCCCAAGCCTGAAGATATTATCATTAGCCTGAAAATACTATCTCTAACATGTGGATATTATCTCTAACCGGAAGATATTATCTCTAACCTAAAGATATTATCTCTAAACTGTGGATTTTATCTTTAACCTACAGATATTATCTCTATTCTACAGATATTATCTTTAACCTGTGGATATTATATCTAACCTGTACATATTATCTCTAACCAAAAGATATTATCTTTAACCTACAGATATTATCTCTAATCTGTATATATTATCTTTAACCAACAGATATTATCTCTAACCTATTGATATTTTCTCTAACCTATTGATATTATCTCTAACCTATTGATATTATCTCTAACCTATTGATATCATCTCTAACCTATTGATATTATCTCTAGCCTACAGATATTATCTCTAACCTGTATACATTATCTCTAACCTGTATATATTATCTCTAACCTGTATATATTATCTCTAACCTAAAGATATTAGCTCTAACCTGTATATATTATCTCTAACCTACAGATATCATCTTTAGCCTACAGATATTATCTCTAACCTACAGATATTATCTCTAACCTGTATATTGGAACCAGGGTATAAAATATGCTAATATTGAAATCTAACCGACTCACCAGGATTTAATTAGCCCTGTAGGAACCAGGGTATAAAATATTCAGAAATCTAACCGACTCACCAGGATTTAATTAGCCCTGTAGGAACCAGGGTATAAAGTATGCTAATTCAGAAATCTAACCGACTCACCAGGATTTAATTCTGTTTCTATTTCAATTAGTTAATGTACATTTTATGCAGAGATGGTTTTTTTGATTACGTGAGGATTATTAAAGGGACTGTTGACGGAATTTTAAATGACTCTTCATTTTGAGAGTTAGATAACCGATTCACGATGGTACCATGCACCCTTTATACTTAGTTTAAGTAAAAATAATGGAGATACCCTTGTTTTCTATCTGATATATAGACTTATGACTTGGTTATAATTTTTATATGCATTGCAGGTTCTCTTTAAAAGTGACTTTCAGATTGATGCAACAAGACAGGAAGGAATTTGTCAGAATTGATCTCTTTTCCTGATAGAAAATGACGATTTTCGATCTAATAGAACCAGGAAAAACTAGGAATCGTATCCTATGACTTTAATGTTTACATATGTTGGGTATCTAAACCTAAGAACGTATATGCATGTATTGAGTATTGAGTGCGGGGGATGGAAACCAGATTCAGGTTTAAGGTTCAGTTTACTCCAGGTGCGGGTGGGAACCATGTATCTTAGAGTTATACTCGCCTTGTCATTTTTGGTACTATTGGTCCAGTCTCAGAGAAGACGTAAACCAGATTTTGACGAGGTTAACAATTTCTACGTAAAAAATGTGTCTATTCTTGTTCTGATTATTTTAGCTCTTTTATATTTTATTATTATCATCATTATTATAATCATTATTATCCTCATTAATATCATTATTATCATCATTACTAGCATTATTATCCTCATTTTTATCATTATAATTATTTTGTTTTTAATTTATTTATCAATTTAATTATTAATATCTTTTTAAATATTACTATCATCATTATCACTACTATTTTTGTTATTATTATCATTTTTATTATTATTACTACACTTTATTATGGTTTAAAGTTGAATGATTAAGGATGAAGAGAGAGATATGAATGGAGTTGGGAGGAATTATAAAGATGTTGGAGTGTTTCCTTTCCCACGCGGAGACACTCCAGTCTTCCATTTCGACCAGGGAGATGAGGTAAACTAAACCCACTTATTAATGTCGTCTTTTTCCTCTGGAGTCAAATTTCAAACTTATATACTATCTATATTATCTGGTTTTATTTCTAAAGTATCTGGAACACTACAGTGTTTGGAGTATTACAATACCTGGAGTAATACAGTATCTGGAGTAATATAGTATCTGGAGTATTACAGTATCTGGATTATTACAGTATCTGGAGTATTACAGTATCTGGAGTATTACAGTATCCGGAGTATTTCAGTATCTGGAGTATTACAATATCTGGAGTATTAAAGTATCTGGAGTATTACAGTATCTGGAGTATTACAGTATCCGGAGTATTACAGTATCCGGAGTATTTCAGTATCTGGAGTACTACAGTATCTGGAGTATTACAATATCTGGAGTATTACAGTATCTGGAGTATTACAGTATCTGGAGTATTACAGTATCCGGAATATTACAGTATCCGGAGTATTTCAGTATCTGGAGTATTACAATATCTGGAGTATTAAAGTATCCGGAGTATTACAGTATCCGGAGTACTACAGTATCTGGAGTATTACAATATCTGGAGTATTACAGTATCTGGAGTATTAAAGTATCTGGAGTATTACAGTATCCGGAGTACTACAGTATCCGGAGTATTTCAGTATTTGGAGTACTACAGTATGTTGAGTATTACAATATCTGGAGTATTACAGTATCTGGAGTATTACAGTATCCGGAGTATTTCAGTATCTGGAGTACTGCAGTATACTGTAGTACTACAGCTACAGCACCTTGCTCCCTTGATTACTGGAGTCTTGAGTTTAATAAGACGAAAATAAAATTTATTTCTGCGTGAATATTTAGAAATATATCTTAAATAAAGCCTGAATCCCCCGCACACCTGTGTTTTACAGCTCTTATATGTTCGTCCAAATTTACATCTCCCTCTGATCCCCATCCTTTTTCCCTCTTCCCCTGATGTGTATAGACAAGTTAAACCCTAATTATCCTAGTCTAGAAAGTTCATCATTCTATAATCCTACTCGACAGCGTTTCTTATTCTTTATATCTAGAGATATAAAGTTGTAATCTCTGTTTGTCTGTCTGTTTATTTGTCCGATCATAACTCAGGAACCCCTTGACCGATTTGCCTCAACTTTTCTATGGAAAAATCGGGAGAGCCACGGGAATGTTTTTATCTTGGTTTTGGGATTCTAAGTTGAGTGGATTTACTTTTGTAGCGAAAATTGAATTTCTCGGTAAAATCATCCAAGTGCGGGTAAACGGCGGGAGTAACTATGACTGATTTGCCTCAATTTGATTTGATTAGGGAACTCGGGAGAGTCACGGGAATGATCTTAGGTTGGTTTTGAGATTCTAAGTTGAATGGTTCAAGGAAAAGAGGCCAATAACCACAAGGGGCGTGTACACGGTGTGGGACTAACATGACTCTGGTCTACGCTGGGTTTCCAAGCTAGTGTATATTACAACTCCAGGGTTTCATTTTCTTTATATGCAGATATATTCCTGCTTCAGGGTTTCATTTTCTTTATTTGCAGATATATTTCTACTCTGTAAGGTTTCATTTTCTTTATATGCAGATATATTACAATTTCAGGGTTTCATTTTCTTTATATGCAGATATATTACAACTCCATGGTTTCATATTCTTTATATGCAGATGTATTACAACTCCAGAGTTTCACTTTCTTTATTTGCAGATACATTATAACTCCATGGTTTCATTTTCTTTATATGCAGATATATTACAACTCCATCGTTTCATTTTCTTTATATGCAGATATATTACAACTACATGGTTTCATTTTCTTTATATGCAGATATATTTCTACTCCAGAGTTTCATTTTCTTTAAATGCAGATATATTACAACGCCAGAGTTTCATTTTCTTCATTTGCAGATATATTACAACTCCAGAGTTTCATTTTCTTCATTTGCAGATATATTACAACGCCAGAGTTTCATTTTCTTCATTTGCAGATATATTACAACTCCAGAGTTTCATTGTCTTTAAATCCAGATATATTATAACTCCAGAGTTTCATTTTCTTCATTTGCAGATATATTACAACTCCAGAGTTTCATTTTCTTTCTATTCCTGCTTCAGTTGGTTATCTTTACTTTTATTTCCTACTGAAGGGTTTCAACATTTCTACCTATTCTTACTCCAGGGTTTTATCATAATTATCTATTCATTTTTCAGTTTTTTATCGTATGTATCAATTCCTGCTTCAGGATGTCGTCATATTTTTATCTATTGCTGCTTCAGGGTTTTATCATATTTTACTATTCCTGCTTGAGGGTTTTATCATATTTTTATTCCTGCTTGAGGGTTTTATCATGTTTTTATTCCTGCTTGAGGGTTTTATCATATTTTTATTCCTGCTTGAGGGTATTATCATATTTTTATTCCTGCTTGAGGGTTTTATCATATTTTTATTCCTGCTTGAGGGTATTATCATATTTATCTATTCCAGCTTCAGGGTTTTATCATATTTTTATTCCAGCTTCAGGGTTTTATCATATACTAATGTATTCCATCTTCAGGGTTTCATCATATACTAATGTTTTCTTACTTCAGGGTTTTATCATTAATTTATGTATTCTTACTTCAGCCAGAAATTTAAAAGAATATCGTTGAACCAAACTTCCGAGTTTCCTTTTTTGATTCAACAAAAATGTAGAATATGAAGAAACTGAATAAAATAATATTTCATAACAAAAATGTTGATATCCACAAAACTGCCTAACACTATTCGTAAAACCCGGGTTTCAAAGCTGGTTTTTATATCGATACTTAAATTTTGGGCTCAGGGTTTCATTATTTGTTCATTTATTCTTACTTCATATTTCATTAATTCTTACTTCAGGGTTTCCTCATATATTCGGGTTTTATCTTATATTCATGTATTCTTACTTCAGGGTTTCATCAAGACAATCCCAGATTTGATCGAAGGTTTGGATAAGATCCGTGGTATAGTGAATACGCAGAGAAAAATCACTCAAGCATTTGGCGAGGGATTTGACCAGTGTGAGTCCTGTGGGTAAAATCTAGACTAGTGTTAACTTTATTCAATTATAAAAACTAATCAAGTGTCTATATTGTAATAAAATAAATGATAAGTATATATTTATTATTAAATTCTATCACGAGATTCACAAATAGTTGGAAGACGGACCTCACAGGTTAAATCATGTAAAGCCATCACATCCTAGAGAAAAATCGATGAGAATTTTTCTATAATTCTTAAAAACAATAGCTAAAAGTAAGTGCTTCAAAGTTCTAAATGATCATGTTTAGGACCACAAAAAATTATGAAAGCTAGTAGAGGGGCGTACAATCAAAGGCCAAGGTGCTGTGTTACTTGAAAGTCGACCCAGTCTTGAAAATTAATTCAACTTTTCATAGAAGGCTGGATCTATGTGATCTTAGCAAAATGATGTTTTAGAACTTTGAATAGTTAAAGCTTGAAATATTATAGGTTTACGTTATCCGCTTGCAAAAATACTGTTCATTTAGTTCATTTAAAGCAGATTAAAACTAAGATGTTTGCATTAATTAAAAGGATTTTTTGAACGTACAATGTGCCCCAATAAACATGATGATTAAAGAATGACAGGGTGTATTCTTGAATTTAGTTTATTTTGTATAAATACCAGCTTTAACATAGTTTCCTTCATTTACTCTGCACTGTCAATTATGTTTCAACATTTGAAATTACATCACCAAATACGAAGGATAATCGAGCAGGGTTTATGACAATTAATGGGACTGTAAGCGTAATGTCAAGTGACTCTTCATGCAAAGATGGCAATTCCCGATTTACAACGATACCCTCGAAACATTTTTCCGATCATTAATGTGGAAGATATTGTTGTTATTCTAGGTTTAAAAGTGTTTAATTTTGTTAAAACCTACATGTTTTTCTAGTAGAAATGTGCAAGTCACTTTCGTAGAGAACCCACCGTTGAAAATAATCAGGTTTTAAAAGTGTGAGCATTGATTTATAATTTATACTTGACAGAATAAGCTTTTAAAGGTACAGTAAATAGATCATTTCCATCTTTGCATGGAGGGTCACTTGAAATCACACTTACAGTCCCTTTAATAACATCACAGCTTTTAGAACATTTTTATTATCATATTTTGTGGGACGCACTGAATAAAAAAAATATGATTACCGTCTCTTCATCGTGAATTAGTGCAACACAGTCCTCTCTAAACAAAACCAAAACGTTTCACGAATGTTGTTCTTTAAGCAAATTGATAATAAAAACATCTGTCATAACTCCTTAAATATCTATAAAGTTGTAATCTCTGTTTGTTTGTCTGTTTGTTCGTTTGTCCGATCATAACTTGGAAAACCCTGGACCGATTTGCCTCAAGTTTTGATTGGGGAACTCGGGAAACCCACGGAAATGTATATCTTAGCTTGGTTTCGAGATTCTAAGTAGGTCGACTTAAATAGCGAAACCTCAGTTTCCCTGTAAAATCATTAAAGTGCGGGTAAATGGCGGGAGTATCATTTGGTAACCTGGGCAGCACTGGCTTCCCAAGCAAGTAGCTTCATAAATGTTTTTAGAGGTTTTTGAATAACTGTCAGAATTTAATTCAAATTCAAATTGTACAATACATATTTTCTTTTAGTGAAATTTTCAGCAATTTTAAAAGAAATGTTTAATAACAAATCTTAATTATTTAATATAAAAATCTCAAGAATTTTTTAATTTATAGATTTTGTTCTATCATATTCTATAGTCCCCCCTGCATCGTTCATCTTAAACATAAATCTATTAAATCAAAAACCGTCAAAACATTAGTGGTTCCTGTGGTTTTCATCTCCGTCCGGTTGTGCTCCTCTATCCCCTTGCTCCGACCAGGGTTCAACTCCTCTCTTGATCCCCTCAGCTCTTCCATTCTCCCAGAACACTCCCTCTTTACTCCTACCAACCCGTCCTCCGATCCAGACACGGGTAATATTAGTATTCAGAACCTAACCATTTTATTTTCTTTATAATTTAGATTTTTAAAACTTTTTAAAGAAAGTATTTAAAGACAAAAAATAGATAGAAGAAGAGAGTTGGATAAAAAATGCATAGCAAGAGAGAAACATTACATAGAGGACTTTTTGTGCGAGAGGTTCTAAGAAACAGTTTTAAACAAAAAACCGGAAAAGGTTGTTTTGCAGAAAATGGAAATCTAAAATTACCAATACTGGAGATTGTAGAAATAAAGGAAAAATTTTACTAAAAATCACATCGCCTGTCCTAGTTATAAGGTCTTTTTTTAAATTTGAATGTCCCATTTTATTCTCAATCGTTGCATTCAATATATGATTTTACTTTAATCAGCTAAAAGGTATTATATCTACAATTAGAAGTCATAATCTACAACTGTTATGAGCCAAACTCTTTGATCTATTTCGTGAGGAATGAAAATTGTCATACTCTCTTATCTCACCATATCAAAAACCTCTTTTCTTGCTTCTATTTGGTCCAACGAGACAATATTCCGTCCCAGCTTTTTACAGAATAATCTTGATTCCGGCCATGTCATCTCTGCCGCGTTCTCTTCCCAGCTTTTCAAATACCGAGGAGTCGTCTTCCTAAAATCACATTCTTTTTGGTTCTATGGGATGATCTAGATCATATGCGGGAATGATTTTTCTTGGGTTTACAAAATAATTGATTTTTAGAACAGATCTTACTTTGTTGAAGCTTGCAGAGAGGTGAGAAACAAACTGCCAAAATTCATCGAGGTCTCCGCCTTTGGTTTATTTATTTATATATCTTTATTTTCTTTTGAAGGGAGGGGAGGTAGCTTATTTTGTCTTTATTAAAAAGAGAAGTTGTAAAAATGTCTTCTTTTGCTTTAAAAAGTTTGGATGAAAAATATTTTAGATTATTTGTTTTCAGAAAATAGTGTTTTATTGTCCAATTTTCGCAAATCTTGAATTGTTGTAAAAATTCGGGATTTTTCTTACAGAGCCGTATTTTATAATTGAACTATGTATGAATGGCTGAACTGCTTATCAATAAGCAGTTCAACGTACCTAATTAAACTGCTTCTCGCTGTTTATAAATTCCGACCTTGATATAACTTATTTAATTATAATAATTTCTTTGAATAAATTAATCCCTGATGTTTTGTAAACATGTCATTTAATCTTTGATTAAAGTTGTTTTCAATTTCTCCAGGTAGTCTCAGATCTATGGAGTTCTCATCAGACTCCGGGTCCATACTGTACTCGTACTCAACCTGAACATATATATATATATACTCCAACTCTTTAATTAAAATAAAGACCGACTATAAATCTTAAAAGGAATTGAGTCTTTGCCACAAACTCTGATTTTCTAATCCTAATATCTTTGCAACCCATGCATGGTAAAATACCTTAGATATTTCAAACTATAAATTCTGTAATATCAGATAATTTAAGTTTGAAATATCAAAGGTTTACATCATCAGATTTAAAAGATATAGGGATTAGAAAATTCGAGTTTGTGGCAAAGACTCATTTCCTTTGTGGATGATACTTTAAGGAAACAGATTGATTTTAAGGAATTAAACACTTAGTATATTTTTATTTTTTAATACCTATATCTTTGCAGCCAGAATTGTATTCACGCCTTTGATATTTCAAATAAAGAATTTTGTTAAATCAAAAGTTTGACAATGAAACATTTGCACCAATACGACTGCTAAGGTATTTGATTAGAGAAAATACTTTCTTGGAAGTGTTTAGCTCCTTAATTCATTATTAAGTAAAGGGTTGATAGCAGTCAGCAAACGGAAATTTCTTACATTCAATACAACAAAGGAATTTTAATATCTTTCATCAAAACATTATCTTGTTATGTCAACAGCTCACGTGGTCCAGAAATTATTATATTTTAACCAAAGAAAAATAAAACTACTTTACAAACCTCATAAACATAGTCAGGATCAGGACTGAGGAACAGTTCTGTTTTCGAAACCGGAGCCAGTATCGGAGCCAGAGTTCCAGAGGCTTCCGATATCGGAGAGGGATGTCCAGTGAGTTTCTCAGCAATCAGAAGTTTTCCAGGGGTTTCAGCTGGTTTAGGATCAGCAATGAGAGTGTTTTCTTCACTTCCAAATTTTATCCTTTCACTAGGATTGTTTTTAGAATTAAACTTCTCCGGATCTACCTTGTTTGTTGGTTCAGATTGTTTTCCTGTAGCTGAGTTCTCCTTGTTGGATTCTGTCCTACTCAGGTTGGGATCTTCAGTTGTTATATAAACTATATTGTTTGGTTTTACGACGTTAGGACTTTTCTCGGAGTTTTTCACATTTTTAAAAGAGGCTTCCCCAATTTTAATTTTGGTCTCCGAACCATAATGCGAATCAGTCTCTGACGGGTTAAGAGAAGAATTTGGAGTTTTTTCAGATAGGTTAAATTGCACCTCCCCATCTACAATGCCTGGAGATTTATCCACTGGTTCTCCGTACTCTGGAGAAGAATTGGATGTGACTACTGATTCTGCTAATCTAGGAGAATAATTGGATTTAACCACTGGTTCTCCATATCCTGGAGCAGAGTTTGAGTTGATCTCTGGTTCTCCGTATTTTGGAGAAGAGTTAGATCTAACCACTGGTTCTCCGTATCCCGGAGAAGCACTAGATTTAACCGCTGGTTCTCCATATCCTGGAGAAGAAGTAGATTTAACTACTGGTTCTCCTAATGCAGTAGAAATCACTGGTTCTCCGTATTCTGGAGAAGATATGGTTTGAACCACTGCATTTCCGTAACCTAGAGAAGAGGAATCCGAGTTCAAAGTATGATCCGGAGCTTTATCAAAAGGTCGATCTGTCCAGGAGAATGATTCCATCACTTGTTCTGCATCATCATGTCAGAGAACTATCAATAAATAAACCGGAGACAATTAATCTGACTCCCTAGATTCATAATTATCATATTTGACAGTAGACAAACATTAAACATGGATACGGCTAAACCCTGTCCTTGATGTAACCTAGAATTATTTCTCATGTTGGTATTTATCAAATATTTGAATAATTTCAAGACAATTACTAATTTTGGACAACGGAAATTTAGTCTCGAACAAAAATGTCTTTTAGTGGTTTCGAAAACAATTATTGCTTGAAAGGATTTACTATGACGTTTTTTTAATGAAAATTCTTCTTAAGGAAAACATTCCCCCTTGAACAAACCTTGAACATTTCAATCTTGTTTATTCTCTGCAGAAAGCCTAACATACGTGAATTCTGATTAAGATTCTGTTGTACCCGGAGCTGGTGTTGAACTGAAACCCTGATCCCAGACTCTTGCCTAGCTGTCAGGGTCAGAGGGTTCGGTATAGGCTGGTCAATCGGAGTATACTCCAGTCCTTGCTCTTGAAGAACAAATCTAATCAACAAAAATTTAGCGAACCAAAGAGGAAGGACAACAAATAACATTCAAATGTAGCTTGGAAATGGGGTGGAAAGTGTGTGGGGGGGGAAGTATTAAATGTAAATAAGGCACCCACCCCCTGATTTACTTCTCTTCCCCCCATTCCCATATATTGAAAAATATGTGCCAAAATTAAAAGGAGATTCTCTCCCGCATCTACATTAAATCTGGAACCTGGAAGAATTTTTGGTTAGAAATATTCCTGATATTACAGAGTTCAGTATAAAAGGTTCAGGTTCAGTTTCGAAGGAAGACTGAAAGAACGGAGCAGAAATTTGGATCGGGAGAGATGAAGGATTTACTAGCGGAGCAGATCCGTCCTCACCAGAGGGTTGGAAGGAAGGAGAAGATTCTTGGATAGGACTGGTTAGACGGATATCCCCGGAGTTTTCCACTGTGGGTTTCGAAGGGTTGGGTTTGCTTGATTTCTTAAACCTCTCCGGGACAAGTCGGTTAACTAATCAGATTAAACATTAAATCTGTTAATTTTGGATAAATTATACCCGTTTACCCGCGCTTGGTCGTAAATTATGAGTTTAGCTATTTTTCCATGTAAACAACTCAGAATCTTAACACCACATGATTCTCCCGAGTTCCCCAATAGAATTTCAGGCAAATCGGTAAAGGGGTTCATGAGTTATGTTCGGACATACAAACAAACAGACAAACAGAGATTGCAACTTTATTTATATAGAAATATTAATGCACATGATCAAATGGTTGAGGCTGGATATTTTGAGTTGAAGGTGGACTCTTAATTTGTCTGGTGATACCAAGATCTTCTCCAGGAAACAAAGTTGACATGAAAATGATCAAAACCTCACAAGATAATTAAAAATACCCAACTCATCTCAGGTCTTAACTTAATCAGTTTTATATCCCATGTGGCCAAAGTAATATGTTTAAAATATAAAAATACGATTAGTTCATTGATTAATAAAATCCAGCAAAGACAATATAGCAGTCAGCCCTGGAAAATAAACTTATCTTCATACCCTAAACTATATTTTCATGTTATTTTCAATTTTCTTTGCTACCGCAATTATAGTTCAAAACGTCCAACTCTTTGGTTGCAGAAATCAAATATCATCAGATTATAGATTTAATGTTTCCTATATCGGAGAACGTGCTCATGATTGTGTGAGAGAAGGATAGGGTTCTCTGGGTTGTTATGCTTCTATCCTTCTCATCACTTGTCTCCAACCCTATTGGACCATAAACCCTGGGCAAATATTTTGTCCTGGTTCGCTGTATCTGGTTCGTCCTATGTTGCAGTTTAGCATTTGTCCTGTTTTGATCTAGGTTTGCTAAACTCATGTTTCTCTTCTCCTCCTGCAGCTCTTGAAGTTTCTCCAGCAGAAACTGATCCTTGAGTTCCTTCATAATAAAATCTGCTCTCTTCCTTTCCAGGATTTCCTTTTTATCCTTCACCGTTATCTCAGTTCTATCAATCTCTTCCTTATTATTTATCTCCTCCCCTGATACTAAACCTGGATACAGAAGAGCTGATATATGAGAAAAGGAGAAGCTTAAACAGCCAAAGATGAATATAACTTTCATGGTAGGATAATATACACTATGCACTGTTCATGTTAAAAGATCTGAAAATGTTTAGAAAAATTCATAAAACATATCTTATTATGGATTTGAACACTTAGTTCAAGATTTTATTTGAAACAGTACGAGAATCTTCTTTAATGAAAATATTAGCTAGGATTTAAATAGTTTATATTTATGATCTTGATTTCAATTCAGCTAAAGGGACTGTACATGTACTTTACAAGGGCATTCTATGAAAAGAGGGATATGTCCAATTCAAATTGGTGAACTGCCTTGTAATGAGCAAAAATTTTGCATATATCTCAACTTTATATTTAAAATTATTGCAGATACTCTATAGGTGAATGCAGATTTCTGCTTAAGAAAACACGAAATAAATTGTTAGAGTTAAAACTTTTTAAAGGGAGTGACCGGCTATGTAAGGTAGTTGAACTGAGTATGCAGTGTTGTGGAAAACTTCTTTCGGATTCATTTGAGACATATTACACTTTTTAAAGATCGGTAAATCCTGAGTTTGAGAGCAAATTCGACGTTCAAAACTCCTACTTTGGGGGTGGATACATTTTCAGAATTAGTTTTTTTTTAATTATTAAATGACGACAAAGAAAAATAAAGTAAAAATTATACAGTAATCTAACTAGATGGCTAGGAACATATTTCACAAAAGAAATTTGTCAATAAATCAATGCTAAAATCGATTATTTCGTTTTCATTATTATATTGAATTTCTAATTTTCTTTGAATTTATTCGCAGATTTCTTCAAATTCTTTAAATTTCGTCTTTTCAATAATAATTATAGAAAATCTGCGAACATCTTTGTGAATAATGAGAAACCAGAATAATGTAGAAACTAATAATTGAACAAGATTACTTATTTTTGATGATAAGATTAATTTTTATTAGCTCAAAATGTTCCTAAACATGACGTCTGTAGTTTATTGTAGAATATTTTTACATTTTATGTCGTCGTTAATTAATAATTTAAAAAAAAAACTAATTCTGAAAGCGTATCCACCCCCAAAGTAGGAGTATTGAACGTCGGCTTTGCACTCAAACTCAGGATTTACCGATCTTTAAAAGTGTAATATGTCTCAAATGAATCCGAAAGAAGTTTTCCACAACACTGCATACTAAGTTCAACTACCTTACATAGCCGGTCACTCCCTTTAACTGGAAAAACAACGATATCCTTTCCATTATTGATCAGATAAATGTTTACAATTGTGAATCGGACATGCCCTATTTTTAAATGGAAGTTAACTTGAATGAATGATGGCCAAGATTTTCATGATTTTTATTCAAATCCTGTAATTTGAACTATTTACATGGTTAAATTGAACAAGGTTTAAACTGAACTTGAAATTAAACCATCTGTTCCCTGATTGCGATGAAATCACTGGTTGATAAATAAATGTGTTGTTATGAAGGTATAGTTTATACTGGCGGACAGATCTCTTTCACGGTCAAACTAACAACACTAGGGAACACGCTCCAACAAGGAAGAGCCCCCCCTTACCCCCCCGTGGTTTGGGAAGGCGGATGGAAATAGTAAGGGGGGGGGGGGGGGGGAGTATTTTTTAAATTATGTTTTTTTCTTTCTTCAAAAGTAGCTTTTACCTTTTTAAAGTCAATAAATCAAAAATGAAAGAATGCTCAGATTTAATATATTTAAACTACAGTTACATATCTACAACTTTAGTTTCTACTAACTTTATTTTAATCTCTCTCACATGCCATCTTCATATTCCTTAGCTAACCACAGTTAAACCCTAAATAAGCCAGTCATAGAAAGAATTAATCCAATGTCGTCTTGACAATTTTTCAATGGGTTTTACACCATTTTAGTATTTGCGAAATTAAATAAATATCCATTAACATACGGGAACAGTTTTAAAGAGCTCCATATAATCAATTAATTAAAGAGCTAAATATCTGCAATATTCCATTATCAGAAAGTGAAGAGAATACGACATTTGATGAATTCTTTCGATGTATGGCTTATATAGTGTTTACTGTAGCAGAATGCATAGTTCAATGATCTACGTTTTCTGGTTGCAAAGGTTTAACCATTGTAAAGGAACTGAGTTAATGTCACAGACTCTGATTTTATATCTTTGCAACTAAATTCAAATAGGAATTTTGTTAGATTAAATATAGGGTGTCCCAATAAACATGAGAATTCAGTGACGAATTCGATATCGTCTTTTTAAATAATTGTTTGATTTAGTATAGTGATACCTACTGAGAAAGCTGTAATCTGTAAGAGTTTCGTCTGCTATGCATAACATGTTCACATTTTGTTTGTTTATGTTTTGACTGCATACGGTTGTACTTAGTAAAACAAGAAAATTGCAGTATACAAATAGAGTAAACTTGTCCGTCTTCACTATTCATCTTGCGGAGACATTATAGACACATCTTTACTGTCTTTTACCCTTTTCATAAAATAAACTCTAGCAGACAAAATAATATCATGGCTTTTGAAATTAGGAATTACAATGCTTATTCATAACAAAGACGATATCGAATTCGTCACTGAATTCCCATGTTTTTTGGGACACCCTGTAGTCTAAGTATAAAATATTAACGGGTTACACCAAAAGTGTGCAAAGATATGGCCGGGTTTGAGGCAAGAACTCAGTTCCTCTATTGTATAGGAATCCCATAAAAATAGGAAATAAGGGACGAGATTCAAATCGTCTTCCATCCACGCAACATTAATTAATTCTTTAAACATTAAAAAATAAATGACCACCATATTTCCCTAAATCTGAAATTTCCAAAAGTGGAATTTTACTTTCAAAAATATCGGGGATATTACAAATGTTGTGGTCTTTAAATTTTTCTTAATGTTACAAAAACTATTAAAAAAATACCATAGAATCAAATTTGGGAATTCTTTATTGTGCAAACATATTTATAAAGATCATTTTATAAAATCAAAGACAATTTCAATACCGCCTCTTAATTTTCATGTTCTTTGAAACACCCTGCTTGTGAAGAGTAATTAAATTCTTCACAGTTCGTATATTTAAGACTAACTGTGAATTTAATGTCTTCTTGATTCTGAGCTGGGAACTTTAGAATTTGATACTGGATACCCTTAATCCCGATCGCTTAATCTAAATATCCAATGTGGACACTTATAATTTCTTGCTTAATCTTCTCTTTTTCTCTCTTTTAAGTTATTGCTACTAGATTCCGACCAATGAGAGCTCTCTCATTAACGCGTAAAATTTCAAATTTCCCGTCTTCGGGTTGGCTGTTCGGGATTCTGCAGACGCCCCTCTATTGGTTGAATTCTACACATTTTTCAGGATATAAACTAAAGATTGAATTGATCTCAAGATTGATAAAAAAGGAGATCAAGCATAGATCTCTAAATCTACGGTTCCAAAGTGTTCAGCTCTGTACATTGATCATTAACCTTGTTTGAAACTGCTAAAAGTATGATTCGTTTTGGTATTAAGTACAGATCACTCCCACTTCTCCCACTTGTTCATTAAACACCTTCTAGTCATGCACTACTGCATTATGCAGCATAATTCCTCACACCTGGTGGAATATGCACCTTATACATCTATAATTGCATCCATGCATTTTAGATTTATTTATAAAAAATGCAACAAGTTTGGCTTGATGGTAACTAAACAGTTCTGAAAAATGATCAAGATATTACCATTTCTCAAGATGTTTTGAAGATTTATGAACATTTTTCATCGATTTTTTCTTTTACAATTGTTTAATTTTTCTGAAACCATATGTCGTATTATACTTCCTGGTTATTTTCATACTAATTAGGAGATAGGTTCAAATATCAAATAAGGATTTGATGTTTTGTCCATGAAAAATTTCACAAAATATGCTATAGCCATGGCAAATTTAGTAAAATAAACAAAATTATGATAATTACATTTCCACATGATTTGTGAGAAGCCATTTTAAAAAATACGACTTATTTTGTTTCTAGAATCATGTCACGCAATGTCAGGCGGATTTTCTTCTTCAAGTTCTTCTTCGCTGATTTCAGAAGTTCCGCAAACTCTTTTTGCAAAGTTTATATTTTTGCAAATTGTAATTAGATTCGGATAAAATTTCCGGGCTTCAGTTTTAAATATGAATATAGAACGGGGAAAATATAACACTGATAATATTACCAACAAAAATATAACTTATAAAAACAACCAATCATGACCAAAATTATAATGAAAAAAAAACATCAAATATATAAACATCTCATGGAAACTCGTTTTCTCAGATGAGGTTTTCTTTATAATACGCAAGAAATATATAGTTCCTTGAGTGATATTATGTACACCAAAACCCTAAGTAATTTAATGACGAACTATCTGTGAAGAAAATGTTCTTAAAAAAATAATATAGAAAGTGTATATTAATTCAGATTATTCATTAAGGGGTTTTATAAATAAATAAAGGTAGAGAATAAAAGATTCTGTCATCGAATTATTAAAATAAAACACTAAATCTAATTTTTTGAACATATCATTATATTTATTACAGAATAACAGTTCATTTAGTTTTCATTTGTTCCTTTATCATTGTATAATTATTCTCCTTATTCTCATCTTCTCTCTGTAAGGTTGAATCTTTATCCTGGTCGGACATTTTACTATTTTCATTTTCAAATCTCTCCCTGGTCCTGCTTATATCTCCGATATTTCCGTCTCCTCTGATAGACTTCGGTTTTCTTACTTTTTGTATAATTGAACTACGGAACCATCTCCCCTGGCTTCCACGGATGGGATCTAAAAAGTGAAGCAAATTAAAAAAAAAATCATAATTTCGAGGAAAAAATAAATTATTATAAAATAGATAATATTATTGTTGCCAAAGTGGAAAATTTAAAAAAATGAGATTTTAAAGGAAACGTGAAGGTAAATATAATATATATAAAATATAAAACCTTACTATTCATAGAGTTTGGATTTAAAGAGTCAGTGAACGGTCTATGAGTAGTATCAGATCTATTGGAGATATCTAAGCCCAGGTCCGACCTGGAATAATCTGAACTGTTTCCAGGACCAGGTGTCACATGATTTACACCCTTATATCTTCTTCGTCTTAGTATGGATTTTGGTCCGATAGGTTCTAGGTTAATCCTAGAGTTGGCTTCATTAGGCTCCTGGTTCATCCTAGAGTTGGCCCACACATGTTCCTGGTTTATCTTGGAGTTGGTTCCCACAGGATCCTGGTTTATCATGGAGCTGGTCCCCATAGGTTCCTGGTTTATCATGGAGTTTGTCCCCATAGATTCCTGGTTTATCATGGAGTTTGTCCACATAGGTTCCTGGTATATCATTGAGTTTGTCCCCACAGGTTCCTGGTATATCATGGAGTTTGTCCCCACAGGTTCCTGGTTTATCATGGAGTTTGTCCCCACAGGTTCCTGGTTTATCATGGAGTTTGTCCCCACAGGTTCCTGGTTTATCATGGAGTTTGTCCCCATAGGTTCCTGGTTTATCATGGAGTTTGTCCCCACAGGTTCCTGGTTTATCATGGAGTTTGTCCCCACAGGTTCCTGGTTTATCATGGAGTTGGTTCGACTGGACCCTAGTAAATAGTCATGGGTTTAAATAAAAATTATTTGTCATTGGCTAAAGATTTTAAATTTGTTTAACCCTTTCTTCTCACTAAAAATGAGACCTCCAGGACTTCCTTTTCGTGGTTAAATTTAAAACAAAAATTAATTCTTACAACCTGCATAGCCCTCCCTAGCTCCTCTAGTTCCTTTAGCTTTACAGATCTGACAAAGGAACTGAGACTTCTCCTCACACCTGTTCAGGGTTTGGATGAGAAAAAAGTTTTGGAGCAAATTAAATTTTCATCGTCAATGTTTAATATTTTAATAAATTGTATAAAAAAAACACATTGGAAACAAACATTTTATTTAAACTTTATTAATTAAATATAAGGAACAAAGAAATTTATTACTCGCCACAAACTACTCAACTTTCCTTTACCTGGTTCTCTGGTTCTTCATGCAGGTTGGAGCAGGGTTGCAAACCTGGTTCTCTACCATTTTACAGGAGGGAACAGGAACAAGTTCACACAAGGTGTCCTCAGTTTCCTTAGAAGTATGGATATTCATGTAATCTTGAACTAAAGATGGAGATATATTCGGAAAGTCCCGAGTGTTTTCAAATGACGGGTTCTCGTCCGAAAGACTTAGTGGAGATCTTCGTTGCAGGTTTCTCCTGGGTTGGATTCCTATGCAAGTTTCATCCTGAACCTGCTCACACACTTCCTCAGGTTCAGTCCAGCATTTTTCTTCTGCGGAGCAAGGTATCGTCTCACACTCCACCTCAGTCTCCTCCCTGCAAGACTGATTACAGGATTCATTTCTCGTTTTACAAACTTCTCTCTCAACCAGTCTGGGAACACTTTTACAGTGTCTCCGAGCTATATTTCTAAGCGGTGCAATACAGGACGAATTATTAGAAATCTCCTCGCAAACCTCTCTCGGCACTTCAACCTTTATAAAAAGATATTATTCCAAGTTTAATCCATTGTTTAGAACTTACATACCGTAACAGTCTCCATAGTTACAGAGCAATCAGATTCAGTTTCCTCAAGGTAAACCGTTTTAGTCACATTCTTGCAAGAGATTCTTATCTCTGGTCTACACCTGGACTGATAACCAAGTTCTCCGGGTACTCCGGGGTCTGAGTTTAACTCGGACCTACCGGAAGAGGGTGGTGGAGCCGGAGTTACATAGTTTTCTACCAGGTTTTTATCATATATCTTGTTGGAATATGAACCAACATATTCCTCTGAGTATTGTTTAGGTCTAGGATATTGATGATGTGGATGGGATAGTTGAACCGGATCTGGAGTATTTAACTCAAGTATCCTTCTAGAACCTATGTCAGCTTTACTCAGCACTAGGAGTTTCCCATCTCTCTCGGAGCAATCTAACCCAACCTGTACTTGTCGGCACAGTTGGAGCAATCCTTCCCTACTCCTGAAATGTTCCCAATAAAAAAAAAACATATGAATTGTGTAATTAATATTTACGCCTATTTTTTGCTAAGAATCTTGCTTTTGATTGATACCATTTGATTTATACAACAAATACTGTTCATCCTCTAAAAATTAAATACTTTAAGCAAAAAAGATAAATATTTTATAATGGTCGCGGATTTTTAAAATTTTTATATTGATAATGATGTACCTTCGAACCAAGGTGCAGATCTCTCTCTTAAATTCCTTAAAAGCAGTTTAATCTAATTAATTTGGATATTGGATAACAGGAACATAAATACCGATATTTCGGAACATAAAAATGTAACAGATACCGATATTTCGGGACATAAATGTAACAGATACCGATATTTCGGAACATAAATGTAACATATACCGATATTTCGGGACATAAATGTAACATTTATGATATTTCCGGACAAAAATGTAACATATACCGATATTTCAGTACATAAATGTAACAAATACCGATATTTCGGGACATAAATGTAACAAATACCGATATTTCCGGACATAAATGTAATAGATACCGATATTTCGGGACATAAATGTAACTGATACCGATATTTCGGGATATAAATGTCACAGATATAGATATTTCCGGATATAAATGTAACAGATACCAATATTTCCTGACATTTATGTAACATTTATCAATATTTCCGGACAAAAATGTAACATATATCGATATTTCCGGACATAATGTAACATACATCGATATTTCGGGACGTAAATGTAACATATGTAGATATTTCCGGATATAAATGTTACAGCTACCGATATTTCTAAAGCTATTTCTAAGCACTGTTGAAAATACGACGACCTTTAAATATCTTTCTTTTGCAAATGAAGGACCGACTGGTATGGCTCAGGAACATTTGCCATAAATACATTTTCCATAATTACACTTGTCATAATTACACTTGACATAATTACGCTTGTCATAATTACACTTGCCATACATACTTTTGCCAAGTAACACTTGCCATAAGTTACACTTTCCATAATTACTGTTGTCATATAATTGTCTAACTTTTATAAAGATATAAATCTAACTATTTTTTTATAAATGCGTTAAATTTTCTCATGAAAAATTCCCAACTTTAGTTTTCTAACAATGCTGCCGGGAGAGATATGAACACTAATACTTGTAGAAAGAGCTTGGTGAAGAATCAATGACAATAGAGCAGTAACTTATCATTACTGCTCATGAGGTGCCCTCATTTAGATTTGTAAATTGTAGTCACAAAAGTTATAATTGTAGTTGTTCAATAAAAAAATGTATGGATGTTAATTCTAACTATAATTATGACATGTGTAACTTATGGCCAGTGTAATTTATGGCAAGTATTTCTTATGGCATACTTATTATGGAAAGTGTAATTATGGCAAATATATTCATGGCAAAAGTATTATGGCAAATGTAACTGAGCCACTTCTACCCATGTCTCTCAGTCACGTGATAAAACAGATTTCTCACTCCTTGATTAAGTAGACCTACCCCAGGACAGTGTTCTATGCGTCTAACAACACAATGTACTCTGATCTCAGGATTACAAATCTGCTGAGGGAATCTAAATAAAACTTATTATTGTCAAGTCAACAAGTTTAGTATATAGAGTAACCCACAAAGGATGGAACTTGAATGCAGACCTAAAACTCTAAAATTGTAGTTATCTAACAATATATTTCATGATTTGGCAAATAATGAAACAAGTTTACACTATCAGGGAGTCAAAAATGTAAGAAAAAAGACTAAGTAAATTCCTGTGAAGTCTCATCTATTGTGAATAATCCTGTCTAGATCAAGGGGTGAATCCCCAAATTTTAGGGTTGTACACTATTACCTGTACTAAACTTATCATAACTCTTTTCAAAATTCTTATCGTTTTCGGTCACATGTTTTTCCTTTCTTCCGGGAAATTGATTCTTTGCCACAAACTATAATTTTCTATTCCCTATTCCCTATATAAATTTGGCTTGTCTGTCTGTTTGTTTGTTTGTTTGTCAGTCTGTTTGTATCCAATAAACGTCAAAACGGCTGAACCGATCGGGCCCAAATTTTTTGTGGGACCTCACGTGACCACAGGGAAGGTTTATGAATGATCAAAATTTCTAATATTTGTCTCCATCAAAATTCGATCGTCATTAAATTTTTGAAAATTTTGAAAATCCGCGAAATTGTTTGTGAAAATCCGCGAATTATTTTTGTTTTGTTTTACGATGTACACAAAGAGAACATGTTCACAATTAATTTAGAAGATGGGTGCGAAGCGCCCTCTAAGGCTAGTTCCCTATATATTTGTAACCCAGCGTCGTAGACCTTAAATATTTCAATCTATGAGTTCATGTTAGATAAAATAATCTAAGAATGACATATCAAAGGTTTGCACCATAAGGTTGTAAAGATATAGATATTAAATAAACTCAGATCTAATATGAAAATATAAAAACATTTATGTGCATTGTACTAATTGTACATATACAGACCTGTTGGGAACCTGCGTACATTTCTCAACAATCCCACATTTAATCTGACTCACTATCTCACACTTTTCTTTCAAATCTCCTTAAACATGACATTTTTAAATTATTATTATAGAACGTGTTACTTTGCGTATTTCTATAAGTCTGAACCTGAGATTTGAACACAAACATATTGAGGTTGTTCTCTACACTCCTCAACCTGAATACAATCTTCTCTAGGTTCAGGTTCAAGACTGCAGATTGTCTCCTCCATATTCTTGCAATCTTCTAGATCTTCGTATTCACAACCAGGATTCTTCTCACAAACCGGAGCCTGGTTCTCACACCCGTCACAGAACCCTTCTCCAGGACACGTATCACAAGGATCCTGAACCTCGAGACAGAACTCCTGATATTTAGGAGAACATTCAGGATCAGGTTCAACCTAAATACAGCTTCATTATGCAACAGTACAAACTCAAAAGAAAAGCTTTGTATAGACAATTATCGGATGGGACAACTTCCAGAAAGGTTCTGAAGAAGACCAATTCCAAAGCATATTTTTATTTCTAGGTTGATAAGTTCGGGCTACATGCTTCCTGATGCAATTAGAACTGCCACCAGCAATTTTTTTACCTTTTCAAGCTTCCTACCTGAGCGTAGCTGATGCTAGAACCTAGAGCAATTAATGCGTCCTGTGTTTTCTCTTCCTCACAAACCATCTCTACAGTTTCTCTGCACTCCTCAATTATATCTTCTCGTGGTCTGGAGATAAGTTTCTCCTTACAATTCTCTTTAGGTATCTCTCTTAGCTCCTGAACCAGATCAGTTCTACACATACTCTTGGAGCAGTTACCTTTGACTAGCTCCATACTGGTTGAGCAGACTATCTCCATCTCTGTAAACTGTTCAAGTTGACAGCGCGGAGGAAACCCGAGTTCACAAGGTTTATCAAAGCAGTTTGTTCTTGTCATATTTTTGCATTTTGTCTCTTCCTCGCATTCTCGTGGTTTACATTTCTCCACGTCCTGCATCCTACATTCAATTAGAGTACAGAGAACAGGAGAGTAATCTAAACCTGTATCTCCGATGTTCACACCAACGCCGAATAGGTCTCTGTTCCTCGTTTCCTTTAAACCTGATCCAGGCTCAGGATTCGTCCGTTTCTTTACTCCTGATCTTGGTTTAGGGTTCGTCCGTACCTTCCCTCCTGATCCAGGCTCAGGGTTCGTCAGTTCCTTTACTTCTAATTCAAGCTTAGGGTTCATCTTATTCCGCTCCTTTATTGCGGATATTTTTAGGAAATCAAAATCTTGAAGATGATCAGGACTGAAGTATTGGAGAGACTCTTTAGGTTTACAAACCTTCTCCATAGTTGTGGAACACACTAAAATTAATTAATTAATTCATGAAAGTTTAATTTATGATTTCGGCAATTTATCTTTATGATTAATCAACTGAATCAAGGTTATATTTTTAGAAAGAATTTAAATTAATTTCCTTGGGTAAACTCTGTTGTACACTGTTCCTCGTGAATACAAGTTTTCTCCTGGTTCTCAGTACAATCCATCCTACACCTCAAGCACTCACCCTGACAGGATTCCTCGTCCTTCTCCAGGATACAGGACTCCCAACAGATATCGGATACTTCTAGGATTGATAAACATTCGTCCTGATCCGGAATATTGGGACGAGATAAGACGTTTGAAAGTTGAAGAAGAAAAATCAAAATCATTTTTGAATCTCTCCCAGGATATCTTCATCAACACATTAAAGTAAATGAGATTATATAAAAATAAGGAAATCTAGAGAAGTTTGTCCAAGGAGTTAGCTGATTAAACTGTAGGTTCCAGTAAACCAGGAAACCCTGAGATTTAAAGAAATCACAGAAGAGGAAAAATTACAGAGTTTTCATTTAGAAATTTGTATGAATCTCATTATATTTTTAATTGGTTTGGATAGTTTAAAAAACTCACAAATCACCACATAAAGATTATACATCAAAGTACTTACAAATTGTAGAATAATGTTTTTAATTGAAAACTCTATGTCTATTGAGCCTCTGAGTCAAGGATAAACAATTCTCGGATAGTTTCTCTGGATCGTCCAAGAAATATTTATCCAACAAATTCTCCGTAATTCAAGATTTGAACTTCAATCATAAATCTTACTTACATACATAAACAATATACATGAAGTGCAATAAATACAATTGACATACATATATACATATACGTACGTACCTAAATATTTATACAATATGAATAAATACATAAATACAATATATACATTCAAATTTACTCCAGCAATGTATTACATATATACACATATATTACATACATATACACTTAGTATACAGAATGAGCAAATAGGTAAAAAGACAAACTTAAATAGTTTATCTAAGTCAACTAATGGGAGCAACTGGATTTGTAATCACAATTACTTTCGAAAATCCATGGAGCCAATTACCAAAATTAAATTATTAATAATAAATTCGGGAATTCTTCTTTTGTATTAAATAACTATTTTTATACCAAAAATGGAAAAAAAATAAGAGTTTTATTGTAATTCTACAAAACATAAAGTTTTTTTTCGTTTTCCATGCTAGAAAAAATAGTATTTAAAACAGGGTTTTTTAATTAACATAAGGGAAAAAACCAAGAAAACCAAGAAATTCCAATCCAGTCTAAAACCCACAACATGGACTGTTTATTCATTCAGTAGTTTAAGAACAGGATCCTATAAGACTAATTGACGGGAAAAATAATGACAAAAACATCTAACCCATCTTGAAATGTTTAAGGTTTGTTTTCAAAATACTAATTAGGCCAATGATGGAGATACAGGGTGTTCCACGAAACATGACAGTTGGTGAATAGTTTAAAATGTCTTCTTCTATAATTTGATAAGTTGTTTGATACCAAAGATGATGATATCATAGTAAAATTGATTTCAAGCAAATATATATTTGGGTAAAAGATTTGTTTAACGAAATAAACTGGAAAAGTCTTAAATAACTAATACAGTATCATGGAAGACGACATTGAAAATTATTCACCAACTGTCATGTTTCGTGGGACACCCTATATTATAATTTTCTGGTAGCATGTTTCTAGTCGAAAACCCATCACACGAACAACTTCTTAAGCTTCATTAATCATACTTAATACAAAAAACCGCATGGAAAGTATTCTGTTTTAACGGCCTAAAATGTAATGAAAACCAATAACTTCAAAAAGATAGATTGGTTGGGTGATGCATTTGCTGATCAATAATAAATCAGATTGTCGAATTATGTATACATGACATACATTTGTTTTTGTGTCGTTTCTGCAGAGTAGTGGACAGTTTTTAGAATACCACTGGCAACGCCGGGTACTTCTGCTAGTAAAGCAGTATTACCTTTTCTAATTTAATTTCGTTGGAAAAGGCGGAAAGAAAAAACCTTTGAAATGAAAGATTTCAATCCGTGCTAAATTCTTTTCCAATATTCAAGCTTTGAGGATAAATGCAAAAAGTTCAAACTTTGATAGGACACGATATATCCCCCCTAGTTTTTATAGAGTCTAGAGATCTGTCCATATCAGTTTATTAATTCATTTCTTTAGGCAAACATCCGAACCTATCAGTCGAATATTGAACCCGGAGACAGCATTATGGGAGATTATAACAGAAGTTTATCCTTAGAGACAATCCTACAGATTCAGGAAGGATTTAGGTATAGTTCAGAATTAAGGTTGGATTCAGGTATAGTTCAGAATTAAGTTCAAATTCAGGTATAGTTATAATTCAGAATTAATGTCGGATTCAGGTATAGTTCAGAATTAAGTTCAAATACATGCATAGTTCAGAATTAAGGTAGGATTTAGGTATAGTACAGAAGTAAGGTAGGATTTAGGCATAGTTCAGAATTAGGGTAGGATTCATGTATAGTTTAGAAGTAAAGTAGTATTCAGGTTAAGTTCAGAATTAAGGTAGAATTCAGGTACGATTCAGGAAATTCAGATATAAGGTCGAATTTAAGTAATTCAAAATTCTGGTTACTTTTTTATTTCTGGAATGGTTCAAGCAGTTCAGAATTAAGATGGGATTCAGGGAGCTCAATATTCATAAAGGATTTAGATACATTTAGAATGCAAGAAGTTCATGTAGGATTCAGGGAGTTTAGAATCAGTTAGGATTCAGGGATTTCAGATTCAGTTAGTATACAGGTAGGATTCATGAAGGATTTTAGTAAGTTTAAGTAGGGATTCAGGTGGTTCGGAATTCATGTAGGATTCAAAAAGAATTCAAATATAGTTTAGAATTCAGGTAGGATTCAGCTAGTTTAGATTCAGGTTGTTCAAAATTTAGGTAGGATTCAAGAAGGATTTTTGTAAGTTTAGGTGGCATTCAGATAGTTCAGAAATTCAGGTAGGATTTAGATTCAATTTAACATATGTAGTGATAATTCGAGTAGCTCGAAATTTAGGTAAAATTTAGGTAGTTCAGAATTTAGTTAAAATTTATGTAGTAAAGAATTTAGGTAAGATTCAGGTACTTCAGAATTCAGGTAGTTCAGGGTTAATCAAGGATTTAAAAGCGTTTATAATTAAGGAATGGATTGAGGTTAGTTATCGATTCAACGAGAGGTTTAGGTTTGGTTATCGATTCAACGAGAGGTTTAGGTTTGGTTATCGATTCAACGAGAGGTTTAGGTTTGGTTATCGATTCAACGAGAGGTTTAGGTTTGGTTATGGATGCATAACTCCAAACGTCGGATGGTTTTATTGCACCTTAAACTGATGATTTTAATGAATTACGATTTATGATTTCAGGATCACTGTTAAAACCTCAGCAAAAGCCAGCGTAAAGATTTGAGAACTTCCTCACTTTAAATGAAACTTATTGTGCTTTGGTTCAAAATATTAACAAATATTCTCGTACTTGCTTGTAGAGTCCATCACCAGCATAAACAGTTTTGTTTCTTCAAATAATACAGTTGTAAGATTAAAAATAATTTTGTAAATATATATTGTTGCTTATATAAATGTTTGTTTTAGTTCCTTTGATCCTCGTAAAACTGGCTTAGTCCCAACAAGGTATTATATTTTATTAAAGTCTCATTATTATTGAATAAACCTGTATTCATATCTTAGAGAACTTGGTCCCCTGATGAGAACTCTTGGATATAATCCAACAAAAGAAGAACTGCAGGTTTGTTATAGTCCTACTGGAGATGGTTTTGTATAATACAGAACTTTCTCCAGTAGGACTAGTATACCTAATACAGATAAAGAACCTTCTCTAGTAGCACTTTGTCATGACAATATAATTTACTTCTTTCAAGCTAAAGCTAGAAATAAGCGCGTTATAGTCTGAAAATGTACGATACATATATCTTTGGCTAGAAAAAAATATAGGCGAGTTAGTAATGTCAACCAAAAGGCCAAGGGGTTGCGACACTTCAAAAGTCGAAAATTGAAAATTGAAATTCAAGAGTTTTGTATATTTGATGAAAAAGATGGATGATTATGATTCAAGAGTGTTGTATATTTGATGAAAAAGATGGCTGATTATGTTTTGCGTTTACTTTTTGTATTTCCGTCAGAATTCATCTGCTTCACGCTCCTGTCAAATGAAATGTCCGAATTATCAACTGTCTTTCAAATTTATACATAAAGTATGAGACATGGAATTCTTTCAATACCACAATAGAAATATTGCTGGATATATTCAATACCACAATAGAAATGTTGCTGGATATATTCAATACCACAATAGAAATGTTGCTGGATATATTTAATAAGTATCTTCGCGAGATCGATTAAAGGAATTGAGTCTTTGCCAAAATCTCAAATTTTATAATCACTAAAATTTTGCAACTTTATGGTTTGGTGTAAAACTTTGATATTTCAAATTTAGATTATTTGATCTAACAGAATTTATAGTTTGAAACACCTGTGACATTTTGTTGCAAAGATAAAGGGATTAGAATATCAAAGTTTGTGGCACAGACTGAACTCCTAATGAATTCGTGACTCTAAACTGAGAAGATAAAACCGAACAGTATCTTCGTATCCGTCTTATTTGAAGTCTGCCCCCGTAATTAAAACCTAAATATTGACAAATTTTAAAACTTCAATTTGCATTTTCCAATCTTCAAGTTTCTTTGCTGCATATTAATTGATGGACAGGTGATAATTACACCCAATGCAAGAGTTTCAAGTACTTTAGGTTGAAAGTAAATTATTTACGGTTTGGTAAATATTCTTTTTTTTGTTGGGGTGAACCAGTAACCTCTAATTATTAGTTCGAGGTCGATCCGCAACATTAGGCCAAATCATTTCCCCGGGACCGAATTTAATGAATTTAAACTGCCAAACGCGGTTCAAATTTGAATCACCGATTATAATCCTTCCTTTGAATCGATACTTCACATTTGAACCTGCAGTAGGAAGTTTAGCGACGTAACTTAAATTCATTAAATTATAGTAATCTAGTAATGGAGGTGGATGGATATTATATATTCTTGGATCTAGTAATGGAGGTGGATGGATATTATGTATTCTCGGATCTAGTAATGGAGGTGGATGGATATTATATATTCTCGGATCTAGTAATGAAGATGGATGGATATTATATATTCTTGGATCTAGTAATGGAGGTGGATGGATATTATATATTCTAGGATCTAGTTATGAAGGTGGATGAATATTATATATTCTCGAATCTAGTAATGGAGGTGGATGGATATTGTATATTCTAAGATCTAGTAATGGAGGTGGATGTATATTGTATTTTCTTGGATCTAGTAATGGAGGTGGATGGATATTGTATATTCTTGGATCTAGTAATGGAGGTGGATGGATATTTTATATTCTTGGATCTAGTAATGGAGGTGGATGGATATTATATATTCTCGGATCTAGTAATGGAGGTGGATGGATATTTTATATTCTCGGATCTAGTAATGGAGGTGGATGGATATTGTATATTCTCGGATCTAGTAATGGAGGTGGATGGATATTTTATATTCTCGGATCTAGTAATGGAGGTGGATGGATATTATATATTCTCTGATGAAGTAATGGAGGTGGATGGATATCATATATTCTCGGATCTAGTAATGGAGGTGGATGGATATTATATATTCTCGGATCTAGTAATGGAGGTGGATGGATATTATATATTCTCAGATCTAGTAATGGAGGTGGATGGATATTCTATATTCTCTGATCTAGTAATGGAGGTGGATGGATATATATATTCTCGGATCTAGTAATGGAGGTGGATGGATATTATGTATTCTCGGATCTAGTAATGGAGGTGGATGAATATTATATATTCTAGGATCTAGTAATGGAGGTGGATGGATATTGTATATTCTCGGATCTAGTAATGGAGGTGGAGGGATATTTTATATTCTTGGATCTAGTAATGGAGGTGGATGGATATTATATATTCTCGGATCTAGTAATGGAGGTGGATGGATATTTTATATTCTCAGATCTAGTAATGGTGGTGGATAGATATTGTATATTCTAGGATCTAGTAATGGAGGTGGATGGATCTTGTATATTCTAGGATCTAGTAATGGAGGTGGATAAATATTGTATATTCTCGGATCTAGTAATGGAGGTGGATGGATCTTGTACATTCTAGGATCTAGTAATGGAGGTGGATGGATCTTGTCTAGGATATCTCAAACTCCCTGATTTCCTGGATATGATGTCCAAAATTTTGGATAAAAGGTCAGATACTCTTCATTAAGTACGTTTTATTAAAAACTGATATAATGATGATAAATGTTAATTCTTATAATCAAACTTAGAAACGTTATCCTTATTAATGATAAAGTACATTGGAACTAAATAAAATGTTGAGAAAGAATTCCAAATTTATTTGGTCAAGACATTTTTCAATAATCACCTAACAAAGTGTATAGTTACAACTTACAAAGTGACATTGATGTGATTGATACAATGAAGAGGACAATATACGGATAATATTTACAGGGTTACCCACTAAAGATGAAGAAGGAAAAATTAAAACTCTTAAAGTACGACGATCTCAAGATTAAATATGGACTTTTCTGTACTTGCTTTTCAAACTATCTATTACAAAGATAGAAAATATGCAGCTACAGAAAATCAATAAATGTAAGAAATAAGGCTCTAAAAATTCCGTACAGTCGTCTCTCAATGGAACTACTTCTTTTACCTACCACATGCCTGGAGGAGGTACCTAAGGAACCCTGTTGGGAGTCCTTGAATACCTGGTCCAGTGCAATGATAATGCTAATTGTGTGCAACCAGACTTAAGATTTAAATATGTGGATGATCTCACAATCTTAGAACTCTTATCTCTCTCTCCCTGTTCTGGAAATATCTCATCCTACAACTGTAAGCTCCATGTACCATCGGATATAGGAACCGACCAACATAATATTCATTATTTTCTAATCTACTCACGCAGAATCACATTAATATCATCTTTGAGTGGACAAGGAGCAATAAAATTATGCTTAACGCTGCTAAATCCAACTACATGATATTTACCCGGAGATATGGTTCACTCTGTACGAGGCTGAACCTAGAAAGTAATATTTTGGAAAAGGTGTCTGCAACCAAACTTCTAGGATAAGTGAAGATTTAGATTGGGAACTAAATACTCCAAACCTGTGCAAAAAGGTATATTCTCGAATATCCTTGCTCTGCAAATTAGAATATGTTGGTATGTCTACTCAGGATCTACTCAAAACCTATATATCGTTTATACGCTGCCTGCTGGAGTATGCCTGTGTGGTCTGGCACTCCAAACTGACGGTCAACCAGACCTGTGCACTCGAACGAGTGCAGAAAACCTGCCTTGGTCGAGAATATAGAGGAGAAGTTCGTCGAGAAAAACTCAGTCTCTCGTTTGGGAAAAAATGTCTTTTAAGCGTAAACCACAGGTCCCTGTTTCCGAGAAATATATCTCTCCACAACTATAACCTTAGAGGACAGAATCTGTTTACAGTTGTTCAAGCCAGGACAGAGAGGTTTAGGAGATCATGTATACCTTATATCCAGAGATTACTGAATAGTAATAGATAATATTAATAGATAAACATATATATGCTTTTACCAATATGACAAATTTAAAATGTATAATTCATATTTTTTATGAATGTTAATCCTCAGTTTTTTATCATAATAAACTCTGTTTATTTATTTATTTATTTATTCGTCTCTCATAGTATCATGAACTTGTGTCATGAACCCTGTTAAAGAACCAATCTTAATGATTCTGCCAAGTAATAAGAACAAATCTGATCCCTTTTATCCAAATATAAATAAAAAGTAAGGAATAGACTGAACGGCTATGAGATCTTATATAAATATATTAATGGAATACTATATTAGAAGAGAAAATTGATATGTATAATGATGATGAATTTCCAGGCTATATATAGAAAAAGTAGAAAAAGTCTTTAAAATGAATTCAATTCAGTAAAGCCATCTTCTACGCGGGAAAAGTTTTAGTTGATACCATTTTTTAATTCAATATCGCACTATTGTTTCAGTAGAAGTAAATATTTCCATATATCTCTACTTGGATGATGAGATAGATAGAAAGATAGATGTTACCGCCATGCATTGTCTATTGCATTAGAATAGACAACAAACACATGACTAAACTCAGATTGGATCAGGCGCTAATGGACTCCGCATACAAGAGTGATCGAGATTACCCATGCTTAGTCTCAGCTGATAGATTTTAAAATATTATTCTTAGCTAATGAATTAAATATTTAAAGGGACAGTAATGAATTAAATACTTAATTGAAAAGTTTCAGCTTGCTAATGAATTTTATGTCCCTCTTGTAAAGGAAGTTTCATCTAAAATTACATCTACAGTCCCTTTATCCTTTAAAGGAAGTTTCATCTAATATTACATCTACAGTCCCTTTATCCTTTAAAGGAAGTTTCATCTAAAATTACATCTACAGTTTAAAGGAAGTTTCATCTAAAATTACATCTACAGTACCTTTATCCTTTAAAGGAAGTTTCACCTTAAATTACATCTACAGTCCCTTTATCCTTTAAAGGAAGTTTCACCTTAAATTACATCTACAGTCCCTTTATCCTTTAAAGGAAGTTTCACCTTAAATTACATCTACAGTACCTTTATCCTATTTTATCTTTATCCTCATTGGGACTCCCTGTAATGTGAAATATTTAAAAAGGTTAATAAATGGATAAATAAATATAACATGAATTGATTGGGCCAAAAGATGCGCTTTTGCCCCCCCCCCCAAAAAAAAACGCGTTTCTTGTAAAAGATTTGAATTTTTGCCGCGAACTCAAATTTTCTAATCGCTATGTCTTTGCAACACAATGTCGTGGACCTTTAATATTTCAAACTATGAATTCTTTTAAATCAAATAATCAAGTTTGAAATATAAAGGTTTACACCATCAGGTTGCCAAGGCTATGGGAGTGGGAAATTTTGAGCTGGTGACAAAAACTCTGTTTCTTTCGTGAATTCTTTAAATAGTTTCCTTTTATTTAAAAATAGTTGGACTTTTAACTCGTTTTAAAAATGATTACACGATCAAATTATTTGACTTCAGCTTGTGTCATCATATTCGACAGTTCAATGTATTAACGAATTGAGTCTTTTCCACAAACTCTGATTTTCTATATCTCTGCAATTCAATGTCGTTCAATGTCGTAAACTATTTCAAACTATCTATGATCCAATAACATATGTTTGAAATATCAAATACCCTTAGATTGCAAAGATATAGGAATAAGAAAATTTCAGTTTGTGGCAAAGACTCAATTTTTTAAGAATCCTAAAAAACTGGTTTCTAGAAACTTGCTAGCATTGTTTTCCAGGAAAGTATTGATGATACTCAGAACATTTTTTTTTTAAAAGTTGGGATATTATGCATTTTAAAATAGGAGATTCCTTTTTTGACAGAAAATACATAGTCTCATAGTCTGTACTTCAGACTATAATATTAGAAGAGATTCAGAGTGTTTCAAAAATATATAAAAGCTATTATGTATAAGATTTTAAGACCTCGTCGTTTTTGAAGTGTCGCAGCACCTTGGGCTTTGGTTTTACCTCACCAACTCATTTTACTTTTATAACGTTAGATCTTGCATGTTTTCAGGTGAACCCTGTGAGTGTGAAGTATATTACCTCGCTGCTGCACTTGAGAAGATTAATGTTGAGATAAAGAGGAAAATTAATGAAGAAATTTAATTAGAAAGGTTTCATATTTCGTCACAAATTGGAAATTGGAAAACTAGTAGGAAAACTAGTAGGAAAACTAGTAGGAAAAACTAAAAACTATTTCAAAACATGGCTAAGTAGTTAGTACAGATTGCACGGATAGTAAAAGATATGATATAGTTTTTTACATTGTTTACCTTGAAGTGTCTTAAACTCCACTCATTTTCTAATTAAATGAAATGTTATGTTATGTTCATCTATATAATAAAACAAGACATTCGTATATGTATAATATGTTTCCTATAGCAGGCCACACGGCTGGACCGATTGGGCTGAAATTTGTTGTGGACACTCATGGGTGGCCGAGGGGAGTTATAAAGGCTAAAAAAAATCGAATTTTTTTTCCAATTTTTTTTTCAACATTTTTTTTGGCCACGGGCAACGCCGGGCCCTTCAGCTAGTTTAACATAATTCAAGAATAAAAACATCTAGAATTTTCTCCGCGCAAGAGATTTTTTATTTAACAACCTCTACGGACTAAAACAGGTCTCTTTCTGCCGGCTTATTCTTGTATTATCCTACTGGGTAGCCACTAGCCACGGATCGGATTATTCCCCTTAATAAACACCAGAGATAGAAAAAACAGCTCAGATCCGATTCATCCTAAACTCCATTTAATTTGTTTGTGAAAACTTACCGATGCGAGCCAAGATGTGCACGCTCTCACTCAAAGTCTAGCAGTATCATGCTAATTGCTCCTCTTAAACTTCAGCTAGAAACAAGTCCTGCATAAAGTATAAGTGACTTGCAGTGAGGTAAAAACAGAGCCCAAACCGTTGCGATGCTTTGAAGTCGATGGTGTCTTAAATTTATAGTTGTCTAGAATCTAGATGTCAGTGTTACTTCAATGTTCTAGAACTAATGAAACTATATCATGTTAAACCTGTATATACTATGGTTTATGCAGGAACTGCGAGTCCGAGATAGAGATCGCGTTTAGATGTTTCGACAGGCATGGGGTAGGGTTCGTTACAAGGACCGAGCTAATGCATATATTCCAGGTAGGAGGAGAGATGATGCTCCAGATTTTAGCATTTTAGAATATTTGATTCTTTAATAACATACTTTAAGTTCTATTACAAATGAATACGCTGAATTGTAGTTGATTTTCTATATTAGAGCATTTACAATATTACATAATATATTGTATAATATTTTTCAGTTTAATTAATTTGCTGTTTGCTATTTTATCGCATATAATCATATAGTATATCCTATAATATTTTATAGTTTATTTAATTAGCCATTTGCTATGCTCATATGATAAATTTTGTAATATTTTTCATTTAGTTAAGGTCACCAAAAATGATTCATAAGTACCATTTATACCTTTAATATGTCAAAAGTATTGTTTTCATATCTCAAATATCTCTCCACATTGGTTTCTCGATAAACTGTTTAAAAATATACCATCGGGAATTATTTATTTTCCCCAAAAATTATGTATTAATGTATTTATGTATTAATAGATTGGTATGTCCAAATTACGACGGCGCCCTTTAAACCTTTGTCAGTTCAAGGATTCACAATTTAAAGGTTACACGAAGGTTTAAAGGTTACACAAAGGTTTAAAGGTTACACAAAGAGTTAAAGGTTACACAAAGAGTTAAAGGTTACACAAAGGTTTAAAGGTTACTCACAAGTTTAAAGGTTACACAAAGGGTTAAAGGTTACAAGAAGGTTTAAAAGTTACACAAAAGATTAAAGGTTACACAAAGGATTGAAGGTTACACAAAGGTTTAAAGGTTACACAAAGAGTTAAAGGTTACACACAAGTTTAAAGGTTACACACAAAGGGTTAAAGGTTACAAGAATGTTTAAAAGTTACACAAAGGATTAAAGGTTACACAAAGGATTGAAGGTTACACAAAGGTTTAAAGGTTACACAAAGGTTTACAGGTTACGCAAAGGTTTACAGGTTACACAAAGGTTTAAAGGTTACACAAATGTTTACAGGTTACACAAAGGGTTAAAGGTTACACAAAGGGTTAAAGGTTACACAAAGTTTTAAAGGTTCTGCCTTGTATAATATGTATGTATGGGTGTCCCACATCAAATTAGACCGCGTCAATGGGTCTAAATTACGATTTGGGGGACAAATCAGAAAATTTAAGAAGAATGAATCATTTTGAAAAATTTAATAAGGCTAATAGAATTTTTTTTTGCAGAAAATGCTAGATTTTTTTAGTATAATGTGCGTATTTAGGTGTTAAAGATTGGAGATAATCTAATATGATATGGGACGCTCTGTACGTGTAGTAGTGTACTGTTGCAGCTCGCTCTAGCTGCTTAAAAGTTGGCCCGGTACTTGCTATGAACCAGAGTTTACAGTGGGAAGGTCATTTGAAATAACGTCTCCAGTCCCTTGAAGTAAATTTCTGTTTAGAATATCGGAGTAAAGTTAACGGAGGAGGAAATAGAAGAGTTATTAACAGAGGTAAAAGTGAATTTAGAAAACAAAATTTAATGGCAGCAAAATCGTTTCGAAAATTACTTTATTAAAAAATAACTGTTTGATTACTTTCTTGAACTTTATTTCTCCAGAGATCGAATTTAATAAGTAGCGAAACGTAGTTGTACTATGTATGGCTAGTAAAAATACTTTTTAGTGCAAAACTTAGTACTTAATCTATCTGTACCTGGTTCAACTATTTTACGCAATTAATTGATTCCGAGCTCTGGTTTCAGGCCGATGTAGATAAGGATGGATTGATAAACTACGAGGAGTTCATCTACATGGCATCAGTAGAAAACTAAACCTAGATCAGAAGTACAACTCATATGATTTGAGAAGAGTTGAACAAAAGATTTGGATGATGAAAAATAATTATTAGAAATCTTAATAAAATATGTGTATTTTATATTATATTATATCACCATTTACCATGATCATTTATATATATAGCATGTATCCCGGAGTTACGTAAAGGGATAACCAAAAAAAACATAATGAATGTCGGCCTCGTTTTTTCTTTTAACTGTAAATGCTGCTAACGATTATGTATTTGTAAATGTTATATGACAGATCTTGGCAAAAATGCCCAAGGCACATTTTCTGTTACAAATTACTAAATTCTTAGGGCGCAATGATCTTGCGAAAAGGATATGTATCTCTGAATATGATCAACGCGGTTATACTATATAGAGTGATGATGTACGCTAATCCCTCACTAATTTTATAGGCCATGTACTCCACTTACAGTACTCGGGTTGATTTCTAAAAATATTTATTTTCATTTAGCAGAAATAAGTTTTCAATTAGAAAAAAAACTTAAGAAAACTGTTGACATGATTTCAACTTTTCCGTTAAATAGATCGGGATGTACGGTTCACAATGGTACTCTTAAAGCTCTGTTTGATTACAAAGGCACAAGATAATTTTCTCTTTGAAAGTAGATTAGAAAGTAGATCGCAAGGATGTAAGGCAAGGAAAGTCATTTCAGAAGTGTACACATCTTTAGTACTGAAGTGTACTGTCTCTGGGCGCTAATGTAAACACAAGACGGATGTCGAATCCTGACATGGGATCCATCATTCACTTAAAAAATCAATGAAATATTCTGGTCACAGGAAATTATTATGTGAATTATCAAAATTATCAAAATTTAATGCTTTTAACCTCCTCGGATACTAAACGAACACTGATGCATCAATTATTGTTTACAAATTCCGCCCAAAGAGAACTGGTTTCAATATGTACGCAGAGTATACACGACCGCAATTGACTTTCCTTGCATTACATTCTTGGTAGATCGTGATTTCTTTGGAAAGTGACTTGCGGAATATGCTAAAGAAACAATGAAGGAAATTATCATAATTCAGCATTGTTCCATTACTTTTTACCTTAGGGACTTCTATAGCATTTTTATCTAAAAATGCCGATTGCATATCCGGCTAGGAGAATTTGTTTTCCATTTGACTATTGCAGTCTTCTGCTCTTTTATCGTGTGCAGACTGCAGGATTTCATTTTCGCAGGAAGAAGTACTATTGCAGTCTTTTACAGAGCAATATTTCATCGTTAATAAACAATTCTGAGAAAACTGAGTAAAATGTAAGATGCCTCTCTATACACTTGTACTCCGAAAGCGTACTGCATATTTGATATTTGTACTGTATGAGTAGGCCATTATCTTTTAATCAAGGTTATAATGCAAGGAAAGTTAATTGCAGTAGCGTATACTCTGCGCACATATTGAAACCAGTTCTCTTTGGGCGGAATTAGTAAGCAAGAATAGATGCATCATTGTTCGTTTAGTATCCGAGGAGGATAAAAGCATTTAATTTTGATAATTTTAATAATTCACATAATAGTTTCCTATGACCAGAATATTTCATTGATGTATTTTAATGTGGAAGATGGATCCCATGTCAGGCTTCGAAATCCGTCTTGTGTTTACTATACCGCCAAGAGACAGTACACTGCAGTACAAAAGATGCGTACACCTCTGAAATAATTTTCCTTGCATTATAACCTTACTCTTAATATCCTTTATCAGTAAACTGTTCTTAGTGTACACTCAGGCTAAAATAAACGGTCAGGTATCTATGATCCAGCCCCCCTGGATATGACTCATTTAGTGTACTGTCACGTTCTATCTTCTGTACGTCTGTAGCATACTAAAGTCAGAACTTTTGTGTTGTGAATCTCGGGAATTAGGGTTTGCAGCGAAAAGAAAATATCGTTTCGCAAAAATTTTGTATTTTTCGCGAAATTTTGCTTCAATCTATTTCCCGAAGTAAGAAATGCGAAAAAATTCGGAATCTTAAAAAATGATAAATTTTTGCGAAAATGTATCAAACAAGACAAAATACAGCTTCAACACCTATGGTTTTCGCGAAATTTAGCTTCGTTTTGGCATTCTTCGCTTCAGTCATTTTCGCGAAAAAGTTTGCGAACTACGAACGAAAACTTTCGCATTTTTACGCGAAACGTTTCGTTCGCATCAAACCCTACTTGGGATCAAGGATTGATCTCCATCTTATGCAGATCTGCGGATTAATTTATTTCCTCTTCGAAATCCTGTGATAGTCATATTCTGCAGTGATAATTTTTATTGAGGAATCACGCAATGATCCTCAAATTTAAAGTGCCAACATTGGATATCGAGATCAAAATTTACAATTTTCTTGAGCTTGGCTTTAAAGTCAGTCTAGTACTTCAGGACAGGTGTTTTCAGAGAGGAGTAATGAAACGAAAGAACGAGGACGACAATAATTTTAATGTTTATTGGTCACCACTATACCAAGTTATATGATAAGATATGTAGTCGTGATGTTTACTAACTATGAGATATGTAGTTGTGATGTTTACTAACTATGAGATATGTAGTCGTGATGTTTACCAACTATGAGATATGTAGTCGTGATGTTTACTAACTATGAGATATGTAGTCGTGATGTTTACTAACTATGAGATATGTAGTCGTGATGTTTACTAACTATGAGATATGTAGTCGTGATGTTTACTAACTATGAGATATGTAGTCGTGATGTTTACTAACTATGAGATATGTAGTCGTGATGTTTACTAACTATGCCATTCTTACTTTCTTCAAAAAGAGTAAGAATATTTTCCCTGTCTAATCTTTTTTTCTTCTCACAAAATTGGAGTAGGGGTAGAAGTATTGCATGAGGGACATGAGGAAGAAAATGGATGGGAAATAAGAGAAATAAATAGAAACGGGTGATTAGGTATCATCCTTTCACCCCCAAACAAATATTCGTTGATCTTCTTTAAAAAATACTTTATTTCTGGAAAAAGAACAAATATTTTCAAAATTTACCACCCCCCCCCATCCCCCTTCTTTCCAATGCGCTTAAACTCCTATAAGTGAGTAATTGTATCCTCAATAAAACTGTTTCTTACCAAGACTTTTAATTACCTTGACGTATCCTTGGTGACGCTTATACAGTATCAGAGTATCTAGGTACGTAGTAGATACCACGGACACATTTCATTAATATTTACAATAGAAAGCTCTGTATTCTACCAGGGAAAAGGTAAACATTGGAGTAGAAATTTAGAATAATATATTCGACATTATAGTTTAATTCACAAGAATAAATAAATAGAGAATACTCCTTCAGATCCATTCCTTTAATCACAGATGGTTTAAAATCCACGTTATTTCAGATATTTCGCTTTCCAATCCACTCTCCCATTCGGTCCAGCACTTGGACTTCGACCACGGTCTCCTGAACTAGCGCTCTTGTAGTGGGTCTGCTTAGCGTAGCTCACGGATCCATGGTTTGGAGCTCCGATCCTTGGCAATCCGGAGTTCGACCTTGGAAAGGATTCTCTTCGTCCCTTTTCCTTAAGATCTATAATCTCCTCTTCTCCCTCAATCTGCTCCAACCTGCCTGGTCCTGATCCACCAATAGCTCCTGACTGCCGGGCGTAGCTGCGCTGTAAGGTTTGTTCCATTATATGATTGTTTGTAAGCTTGATAGTGCTCGACTGGAAGTAAGGATGTTGAAGGGATTGCTGGGCGCTGGGTCTCTTCGCTGGATTCCAACTAAAATAAATAGTTATCAGTTAAACCCTGATTCAAATACAAACGCTAGTGGTTTATTTTTAAGTTTATATTGTATTCAACAATCTACATTAAAGGGAGTTTCTGAGAAAAATTAAAGTGGCTTACGTCGAAAAATATTCCATTTCATTTTTCGCGAACACTCCCTTTAAAAGAAACGGTCGACGAGAATTCAACATGATTCCTCCTTTACAGAGTCTCATGCCTAACTGAAACGCTAATCTCTAAACCTTTATTGAGCAACAGAGCCGTTTTCTGGAAGTTATATTATAAAAATTTCCTTGACTTTGCTGTTTAAATCTCACCACAATCAATTTTCAGATATAAAACAAAAATATCTTTATCATTTTAACTCAGACCAATGTTTAAAGATTACGGTTATATTCTGACATGGTTTTCTGAAGATTCGCTTAAAATTACGCGGACAAACCGTTTATGTTCAATTTATTCTACACCGGGTTGAAACTATAAAGACGATCTGAAACTATTGAAAAAAGTGCCTCCCAAGGTTTAATTAAGTCTTCGGCCTTGAATATAGCCTTTTAATAGCTTTTTATATGTTTTAGCAACAAAAGATCCGAGTTTATATAATTGCAGGGAAGCATAAATTCCGTATACAGTAATTCCATTTTAAAATGCAAGTACGCCAAATTTATCTCAATGTGTTAAAAGATAATATAGAAAAGTCGATGAAATAAAATATTCAGAACATAAAGAAACAATTCAACTACAGTAAGAACCAGGAAACTCTGGAATAGGAAGACGACTTTTAGACTCAAGTTATGACTTTAAATAGTCAAATGTACATGAGACATAGCAATGGCGCGGCGCAGTGAAAGGAGACCCAGCTCTATTTTTAAGTAATTAAATAAGTTATCAGTAAAACTATTTACTTTGTAATTACACAAAAATAGAGTTTAGTATTGCTTCAATGTCGTCTTCTTATTCCAGTTTTCTGATTTCCATTGTGATTTGAGATCCAATGAATCCCTCTTTTAAAAAATTACAAATTACTATGTGTATTGAAGCTCCCTGTCCAGTTCCAATACTTGAATTAAATACTGAAGTCTCCTTTCAGTCTACTTATTCCATTTAGTTCCAAGGTTAATGTTTAATTATGTTCAATCAGAGTTATAAATCAGGAATTAGAAACTAAAATTATAAATGTCAAATGTCTACCATCAACCATGGTTATGATGGAAAACAGATTCTATAATATAAAAATAAATTATTTAGGGAATGTTAACAAGTTAATAATGATTTCTACTGTCACAATCTAAAACATCTGTTGTAAATTCAACCCCTCAATTATTCTTCAAAATCTAAACCCAAATTTTCATCTTCCTTCCTACTAAACCATTATTTCTAAGCAGAATTCTTTTGATGAATCTCTACTGAACCATACTGAATCTTTCTGAATTTATAAAAACACTAAATCCTACTAAACCTAACTGAACTCTGCTGAACTGATAAAACAATGAATCCTTTTAAACCTTACTAAATTGAGAAAACACTAAATCCTAATAAGTCTTAATGAACTCTGCTGAACTGATAAAATACGAAAACACTGAATTCTTCTAAACCTAACTGAACTGATTAAACACTGAATCCTTCTAAACGTTACTGAACCCCACTGAACCCGACTGAAGGGATAAAATACTGAATCCTTCTAAACCTTACTTAATCCTACTGAACTGATAAAACACTGAATCCTACTAAACCTTACTTAATCCTAAGGAACTGATAAAACGCTAAATCCTTCTAAACCTTACTGAATCCTACTGAACTGATAAAACACTAAATCCTCCTAAACTGATAATGCACGGAATCCTAACGATTCCTACTGAATTCACTGAACCCTCCTAAATACTTTTAAAACCCTCAGAATTCTTCTAAATCCAATTGAATTCTCCTGGATTCTATTGAATTCTGCTAAATCCTAATGAGTTTTGCTGAATCCTATTGAATTCTGCTGAATCCTATTAAATTCAGCTAAATCCTATTGAATTCAGCTGAATCCTATTAAATTCAGCTGAATCCTATTGAGTCCTGCTGAATCCTATTGAATTCTGCGGAATCATATTGAATTCTGCTGAATTCTATTGAATTCTGCTGAATGATATTGATTTCTTCTAAATCCTAATGAATTCTGCTGAATCCCATTATTTTCTGCTGAATCTAGTTATTTGAATTCTGCTGAATCTAGTTAGTTGAATTCTGCTGAATTCCATTGAATTCTGCTAAATCCTATAGAATTCTGCTGAATCCTATTGAATTCTGCTAAATCCTATAGAATTCAGCTGAATCTTATTAAATTCAGCTGAATCCTATTAAATTCAGCTGAATCCTATTAAATTCTGCTGAATCCTATTAAATTCAGCTGAATCCTTTTGAATTCAGCTGAATCCTGTCAAATTCAGCTAAATCCTATTAAATTCGGCTGAATCCTATTAAATTCTTCTGAATCCTATTAAATTCTGCTGAATCCTATTAAATTCAGCTGAATCCTATTAAATTCTGCTGAATCCTATTAAATTCAGCTTAATCCTTTTGAATTCAGCTGAATCCTATTAAATTCAGCTGAATCCTATTAAATTCTGCTGAATCCTATTAAATTCTTCTGAATCCTACCTAAGCATATCCTGCATGAGTTTGATTGCCTCCTTGCTAGCTGAAGGAATGATGGATGTGAGAGGAGTAGGAGAAAATTGAGGAAACTTAAAGTTCATTAACTTTTCTAAACCTTACTTAATCCTACTGAACTGAAAAAAACACTGAATCCTTCTAAACCTTACTTAATCCTACTGAACTGATAAAACACTGAATCCTTCTAAACCTTACTGAACCCTACAGAACTGATAAAACACTAAATCCTTCTAAACCTTACTTAATCCTACTGAACTGATAAAACACTAAATCCTACTAAACTGATAATGCACGGAATCCTAAGGATTCCTACTGAATTCACTGAATCCTCCTAAATACTTTTGATACCCTCGGTGTTCTTCTGAATCCAATTGAATTCTGCTGGATCCTATTGAATTCTGCTAAATCCTAATGATTTAGCTGAATCCTATTGAATTCATCTGAATCCTATTAAATTCACCTGAATCCTATTAAATTCTGCTGAATCCTATTAAATTCAACTGAATCCTATTAAATTCTGCTGAATCCTATTAAACTCTGCTGAATTCTATTAAACTCTGCTGAATCCTACCTGAGCATATCCTGCATGAGTTTGATTGCCTCCTTGCTAGCTGAAGGAATGATGGATGTGAGAGGAGTTGGAGAAAATTGAGGAAACTTGAAGTTCATCCCAGCTGCCAGCTTAAACCCTAAACAATCAACAGTTTATTTAGTGACTAATGATAAGAGGTAGGCTTGAATTAATTAGGTCAATTCTTTGGAAATTTGGAAAAAGCTTTCCACTGGACTTTTACGGTCATTTAAATAAGAACATTAAAGAAATACTAGTTAAAGAGATTATCCACGTAATTGTATGTGGCCCTCACTTTAAAGATTGGAATGTCCAATTCATATTCTTATATCTGATCAAAGCAGCATGAGATATCCTCATTTTTCAAACTGAAAATTGGTTATTTTCCATTGATGTGGTTTCTGTATAAAAGTAAATTTCGGATGGACGAAGCAACGATATTTAATCTTTTGCAATTTAGATGGAGGTTTAAAGGATACTCTTTAGACGGAAAGTCACTTAACCGTCTTAAGTTTTTTTTTACGGCTTAATTTTAGTTATCACTACAATAAATGAGTGTTTCTTTTTCGAACAATATCGAATTTAATATTCAAAAAGATATATTTTATGATTTTTTTGGGGATCAACCAACAGGAATTAAACCACTATACGAAATGTATATCGTCACAATCTCTTTTATTAGTTTAAAACATGGAATTCATTTTAAATTACGACATTTGCAAATATAGGCCGTGTCAAAATTTCTAAGGACTTAAGACATACCAAGTAAACATCCATAATCCATAATTAAGATATCCTTATCTTTTCTAACTGAAAATTGATCGCCTTACATCGCAAAAACGACAGTAATAGTCCCTTAAAATTAGTCTATATTGTCCCTTAAAATTAGTCTATATAGTCCCTTAAAATTAGTCTATATAGTCCCTTAAAATTAGTCTATATAGTCCCTTAAAATTAGTCTATATAGTCCCTTAAAATTAGTCTATATAGTCCCTTAAAATTAGTCTATATAGTCCCTTAAAAATAGTCTATATAGTCCCTTAAAAATAAATTCAAAAGTAAATCATCAAACTACCTTCGGGCCAGTCTCGTTTCTCCGGGGTTCCCAGGACGGAGCAGATCTTAAATATCTCATCGATCTCAGAGTTTCCAGGAAAGAGAGGCCTAAAATCGATTTAATATTAATAATGCATACAGGGGGACGAATACTCTGTTATAAATCCAAGTCATATCTTAACAAAAATCTTATTTTAATAAAATCTTTAATTTTGAATAAATAATAAATTATCCTTCAAAAAGCTTATTAAAATGTAGAGGCACTGTAAAACAGTGTTTTCCTCTGTTTATTTAGTATTATTTTACAATATATGAAAAATAAATGATCGTATAGCAAAAATAAAAATAAAAATTAAATATGTTTCGCAGTGTAAAGAAACCCAATATATTCATAATTTATGCATGTATCTATTTACGTTTTTATGATATATTGTATAAAATATATATGATATTTAATATGAAAATGCATGAATAAATATGAAGAATGAACAATGCTAAATCGATATAAAGCCCTGAGCTCACTATGCAACAATATAATACTATACAAACACTATATTTTGTTATATCTTCATAAGTGACGTTTTTCTTTGTCAACCCTAAGTGAAAGGAACTGTAATCTGTAAGTGTAATTTCAAGTAACCCTAAGTGATAAGATTGCAATACCCGATTCACTTTGGTACCTTAATAGCTTTGTCTGTCTGAAATTATATATCAATGTTTATAGTTTTGAAAACTGATTATCTTTTATTGTGGTTTCTCTACAAAAGTAACTTGTGCGTTTCTACTGCAGTTATATATATAGGAATTAGCAGAAATTAACACTTTTAGTTTAAATCTAAAAAACGAGAATATTCTCCACATCAATTATTTTGAATCAGTTATTTTGAATAATGGGTTCAAGGGTACCGTTGTGAATCAGACGTAGCCATCTTGGCATTGAGGGTAACTTGAAATTATGCTTACAATCCCTTTATATAGAAATAGTTAACGATTGACAGCTTTAAATTTAGGAAACGATATATTGTTAAAGGTTTAGGATTTAATGTTTGAGTGAGTGAGGATTTCGAAGTATACCGATTGACGAATTAATTTTAGAGAATAGGTTCAGGTTCGCATTTTCTCTTCTTCACTTTATCGATGGTACAACGTTTTAAATGAAAGTGTAAACAGACAACTCCGTTGAAGTAGTTCTTAAGATTGTTGAGTTATAGACCAAAACGCGACTGCATTAAAATAGAAGAAACCGAACGTATCGCGCCAAGGTTAGTCGAGAGTGATGCTGTTTTTGTTGTATTCAAAAATATGGTATTTTAGGTAGGATAAAAGTTAATTATTAAGGGTTATATTTCAGGTTAAATGCAATCAGCTTACATCTTGGTTTAAATTAATGATATTCAGGTGAACTAGGTTCTGTTATTCATCCTTTTCATTTTTTTCATTCATTTTGATTTTTTTTTGCTGTAAATAAAAGTTTTCAACATAAATTTCAAATGATTAAATCCACTGAAAAAAAGATGGGTTTGCTGCAATGCAGTTTCTGATTTAAAAACAATTATATTCAATATTTTTTTTTCTCTCTTGAAAATTCTTTATAAGAATTATAGAAATTTTAGCCAGAATGTTAACCTTAGAATGTTAACCTAGAATGTTGATCTTAGAATGTTGACCTTTGATAGTTGACTTTAGAATGTTGACCTTTGATAGTTGACCTTAGAATGTTGACCTTAGAAGGTTGACCTTTGAATGTTGACCTTTGAATGTTGACCTTTGAATTTTGACCTTTGAATGTTAACCTTAGAATGTTGACCTTTGAATGTTGACCTTAGAATGTTGACCTTAGAATGTTGACCTTTGAATGTTGACCTAAATCCCAGTGTTCAGAGCACAACTGTAGATATGAATGTGCAACAAACATTTACATACATGTAACAGAACTTATAAACATATTTGCATGTGTATTAAGTATACTTTCAATTTTCCAATTCAGAATTTAATGAATTTTAGCTCGGTCGCTGAATTATAGGACGTGGGAAAATCCTGAATCGCCGATTCAAGATAAGTGGTTGAACGGTCTCTAAACCTAGCTCAAATTTACTAAATCCGGTCACGGGTTTAATACCTGAAAGTATATAGTTCTGCCATAATACACCCAACAGCCCAGATATCAATAGGAGCGGAGTAGAATGTACTGAAAATATTAGCTTCAATAAAAAATGCTTCTCAGGATGTAATAAGAGAATTATGTGATTTTAAAGGAATCGAGTCTTTGCCACAAACTCTCATTTAAAAATCCCTATCTTCGCAACCCCAAAGTGGAAGATCTCATTAATTCTGTTTGATCAAATAACCTAAGTTTGAAATATCAAATGTTTACACCTCTAGATAACAACGATATTGGGATTAGAAAATCAGAGTTTGTGGCAAAAACTCAGTTACTTTGTTCCCCTTTGTTAGTAGGTAAAATCAATTTTGCTTTAATGTTTTCCATTCTTTTTATGAATTTTTGAATTTAAAGGAAGCGGATTCGAATTCTAAAAGAGGAATTCTTAGTTCTTAGTTCAAGTTATAGATGATCAAAAGCCCGACCTTTGTCCACTCTGACTGAAACCACAAAATTCTCAATTCTTTGATACCTGGAGAAAATGAAACCTAACCTGCGGAGTAGAACTTCTGGTGCTCGGTACCACCTGGTGGACACGTAATCCGTATACGGGGGCCGGGAACGGATTTCTCGAGCTAAACCAAAATCTGCAATCTTGACAAGATCAGGTCCCATCGTCAGCAGGTTCTCTGGTTTCATGTCTCGATGAAAGTATCCGTGCTTGTGCATAAACGCCAGTCCTTGTAATACCTTAAGAATATAATTTTAAAATTAATCATGTATATATATATAAAGTAGTAATCTCTGCTTGCTTGTTTGTAAGTTTGATCATAACTCAGGAACCCCTTGACTGAAATTCCTCGAATTTTGATTGGGGAACTCGGAATCCATGGAAATATTTTTAGCTTGGTTGAAAAATTCAACCAATTTGTTTGAAAGGGGAAGAGATGGCTGTTAAACTTTTATTAGAAAAATAATTCACAAACATAATAAATTCTACAGCAAAGACAATCAAGAAAATGGTCAAGCGTTGTCCCAACATTGTAAAAAGAAAACCGAAAACTAAGCTAAATCTGTAAAGTTTTAACGGAAAACGTTATGAATCTTTTATGGGGTTTAATTGAAAATTCATTTAAAAAGATTGTTTATTTGATAAATTCTCCAACCCCGACCTGGTACATCATATTCTTGATCATATTCTCCGGGAATAGTTTATCCCCGTGATCATATCTCTCCTTCATGAGCTGGTAGAGGTTCCCCTGCATGTACTCAAACACAAAGTACAATGTGTCGTTCTCACGAATCACCTGCATATAAATATTGTTAACGAGGTTATAGTGTATAGAGTGATAATGTACGATAATGTACGTAAATGCTTTGAACTACGCCGAGAACGTACTGCATATTTGATTATTAAACTGTGGGCATCTCCTTCTGTCTTTTATTAGGAAACAGTTGTAATTGTGTACAGCTCTATAGGCTGACAGGTAGACAACTACCAACCCCCCTGAATATTGTTAAGCAGTAGAAAATGTTACTGATAGTAATCACAAAGGAACTTACAAGAAACTAGGTACAAGGTTTGCATATACAAATAAGATGTACTGCAATTTCCGGGAGTAATGTAAACAAATGTCATACATGCCGAGCTACCCAGACTATGCTTTGTTTACATTTCTCTCAGAAACTACTGTACACATTACGGCAGTTTCTTCAATATTCTTTTAGTCTGAGGAGCACTGTGTTTGTTTCATTAGCGTTAGATTAGGAAGAACTGTTAAGTTTTCATGTAATTTTTGGGAAATAAATTTAATTCAAAACTTTGAACTCCATAGTTCTTAATGAACTCTATTTGGTGGTCTATACCTCCTTCAGTTTCACAACGTTGGCGTGTGAAAGTTTTTTCAGGCTTTTGACCTCCCTCAGGTTCATGGCTTCCTCCCAGGAGTAGTACTTCCTCTTCATCCTCTTTATAGCAACCTTAATAATAATTAATAATAAAACAATAGGAACAATTTACATAATAATAAACAATACTGAAAATAGTTGTTATTATTAATGTCAATTGTAATTTTTGTTTTGCTTTTTTATATGTGATGGTTCAGTAACAAGGGTTTTATTGGAGAAAAGAATATTTGTAGACGAATTTACTCAACAAAAATAGAACAGTAATTTAAGAACATGTAAATAAAATGTATTCTTAAACACCGTTTCAGGCTGAAAGGGACAAAAAAATGCATACTGAAAGAGACACTATTATTTCTACTCTCCGTGGGAAAAAACTGCAATATAAATATTCTCAATTAATATACGATTTATTAAGTTTTGATTTGTCCCCCCCCCCTCAAAAAAAAAGTAATTGAAGAACAAGAAAAAATCATATTTTGTCAAATTTGTCACTTGTGATAATGTAATTAATTTGTGAATGAAAAGCTAGATTGACAACGAAAGAAAATGCATGATAAGAAATTGAGTTTTTGCCACAAACTCAATTTTTTAATCCCTTTATTAAAATTTATTTTTGAATTTTAGTCTTAACAAAATTTTGAAATAGAGCAATAAATATATTCTCATGACGGTTGTATCTTCTGAATAGCTGATAATACATCTGTTTTCTGTTCCGCTCTTGTATATTGCCCAGAGCTACCTTTTTTTGCAATTTTCTTTTTCATACTATTCTTTAATTTGATATCTAGGTGCCATAAATATCAAATTAGTATAGAAAGTTACTGTTTGTGTTCTATGCAAGGTTGTACAAATTCTCTAATTAGGTATATTGTAGAATGGGCGTGGATTGATGATGCAGCTTTTTGATCCAGATTGTTCATATTTAATTATATCTATTCTTACAGGTTGGAAAAAAATGAAGTCACTGCTGAACAGGGTTTGGAAATATTCAAGATCCATTGTCAGAATTTTGCCATTATAATGGCAAATGGGATAAGAAAGGTTAGGCAAGAAGTGGGTATTTTCGATAAACAATCTCTTGATTCCTGTAAGATTCATCTCGGACAGATACTTGTATCATATAAAACTTACATCTTGATGATTACACAGAGAACTAGATTCAATCAAAAGAATTAGCGTCTTTCCGACTGGTTAAGGCTACTTAATAACAGCTCCCTAGGCTTGTTGTTAAGGAATATATTAAAAGCTATTAGTAAAAAAATCTGGATCCAGTTAGGTAAAAAACCTTCATTCTCCAGGGTACTACAGCGTTAGAAGATGAATGCAGGCCTNCCCCCCCCCCCCCATGTACACCTCTCTCTCTCACCCTGTATCTCTGAATACTTTCAAAAGCGCTCACTATAAGACTCATCTGTTGCTGAATGTACACTGATATGTTTTCTACCTAATATCTTTGCTACCAGATGTAGTAGAAATTTGTCATATTAAACTATTAAATCTGTTAGATCCAATAGTTTGTTTGAAATATCTAAGGTTTACACTAATCGGTTGCAAATATATTGGGATTAGAAAACTTGAGTTTGTGGCAAAAACTCAATTCCTGTAATAAATATTTTGATTGATGTTTCAAAAATCAATCTAAGTTTTTTATCCATTAAACTGTTTTATTTCCTTTTATTAACCTTGTCCTTGAGTAACGTATTAAACCAAAATTAAAATAAACACAATTATGTAAAATATACTTATAAATCATATAAACTTAATCATATTTTGTTCTATTAACTTTTTATTTTTATTTTAAATAAAAAACTTATTACTTTAATTAGTCGTTAGCATGCTAGTTAGAAATAAGCCTAAGGTTATGTAATTTAATTTAAATTAATAATCAACTGAATAAAATATTTCCACGTGAAACCCGGTAATACAGTGCAACCTATAAAACTGTGGAAGACGACTTGTATTCCTCTTCCAAAGTTTTATGGGTCTTGCTGCTCAAAATACTTATTTAAGCACCATAACGGGTCTGTTCAGGCTTTTAATTTATCGTTATGCTTTTAGGATGCTTCGCGCCCATCTTCTATTTCAATTTTTAATCTGTAAGCATCTTCTCTTTGTAATTATAAAACAATAACAAAAAAAAAGTTTGCGGATGAAATAATATTTTTTCGCGCATTTTAAAATTTAACAAAAATCCAAAACTGGTCGACACACATTTTTGTAATTTTGAGCATCCATAAACACACAAAGTTTGGGCCCGATCGGTTCAACTGCTTTGACGTTTATTGGACACAAACGGACAGAAAGACAGACAAACAAGCGAAGTATATATATAGATTTAATAAAATACTAAAAACGGAATGTCCTCGTTTTTTATTATTTATTGATAAAAAAACAGAGAACATACCATGCATTGTTGTGGCAAGAACAAAGTCTTTATTCCTTTAAAGTATAAAAAAACGCCAAATACCTTGATAAAATCAAGCTCTTCCAAAGGAAATAAGAAGTGGTTATATCTATATTAAAAATATTGCTTTGTATACAAACAATGATTATGAGTGACGTGAATCAATAGTTCAGTTCATTCAAGGTTGTTTTAAGAATAGAAGAAGAAAAGCACTCTGTGTGATCATAATCAACAAAGACCTCCCCCCTCCCCCACCATCATTACTTCTTTCAAGGTTTCCAAGCAACTTATTTCAACACCGGGAATAAAAATCATAAAACTTTTAGAAATAATCAAATGTTAATTAACGTATACATAAAGAGAGCCATATATGACCATTAATTCTACTAATTCTGTAAGATAGTTAAATCTGGCTCCCCAGTATCAACTCTTCATACAATCAATTTCAACTGTACATCAAATTAGATGTACAGTGTTTGGTGTCATTTACATGGAGAAAACTATATTTTGGCAAATTAGAGATTTCAAACTTAAACGATTCACCCACTATTTTACTAAAGCGTTTTAATGACAAATCTTAACAATAAAAAAATTTGAAATTTTTCAAATGCAATAATTAATTGGACTGAGCCATTTTACTCAAAATTTTCAAATAAAACCATTGCATTTGCGAGGATTGTTGATTTTTTTGCAATGCTGCTAAGTGCTCTTTCTTTAAAGATAAATTCCAGGTAGGAAAAACTCCACCACCTCCGTCCTCGTGGTGTAACATGTACGTAGGTATCGGTATAAAAGCCAGCCAGTCATTACTTTTATTTAAAGGGATTTAAATGTGTTTTTAATAAGACACCAAATCTTGACTTGGCCGATATGAAATCTGCTGCCTAAAAGACGACAGGTTGAATATATCTTTTTTCGTGGAAGGCAACTCCCGAATTTCTTTCAAAAATGCATTCATTTACAATCAATTTTTGTAGGGGCGGAAATTGGGACTTCAATGTTTGTACTATTAAAATACCTTCAAAGTAAAAAAAGTTTTCTCAATAGTTGATGAATAATTAGGCCAAATAATTAAAAACTTTCGGACAATTTCCCCATTGCTAGTTTAATATGAAACTTTGTGAAGAATCAATGTCAAGTCACGAAAGTCTGTTATTTCAATTAATAAATCATATTCTACCAAGACCTTCATAAAAATCATACAGTGGTCTCCAGAATGTAGTAAAAATGAGACCTGTCTTTATTTAAAGTCTTTTTTGACAACTTTACATAATATGATAAGAGAAAAATTTCCGTGTGATTTTTTAATCGAAAATTTGTCATTTAATACATTTAATACACATTTTTATTTTCTCCAAAAGTAAGTAAAGTATGGAATAGTAATGCAGAAAACCTTGTTATTTAGGAAAATGGGTTCGAAAGTGAAGGCTACTGATGACTTAACCAGGACATCTGTATTAATGATGCTTGAGTAAGCGTAACGAACCTTATCTTTAAATCTATGTATCTAACATTTAAAAGATGTTATTTCATGATATTAGAAAATGGAACAGGAATATATTCAATTAATTTTATAAGGTCGCTAGAACAGATTTAACCTTACACATTCTATAGGGTTGCCCTAATATCCCTAGCTATACTATACACACTATCAATCAATAGAAAATGTCAGATTTCTCAACTCCTGTCAATATGTAAATACATTGTACAAACAGCAAGTTACTTTATGTAGATATTTTGAATTTTTCTGAACAAAGAGATGGCAACAATTATTCATCCATATCGCATTTAATTGTGCATAGCTCTTTAGAGAGATAAAAAACTTTTCTTTAATTAGACTATTATTAATTTTATAAGTTATCAAGCAGAACTTTTCTTTCGCTTATTTATATGGCTTATAAATTCAATATCATCCGGTGTATAAATTATTTAGAAAAAAATCCGCGCTGCCGCCGTTGGTATTTAATCTAAATCTGAGATGATATTTTCAGTTAAATTTAAAGCATTTTTTCATATAACCTAATATATAATGATCGAAAATAAAACATTTTGTGAAAAAGAAAAGTTTAATTAGCCTTAGCAAATTGACAAATTAATTTACAATCGACTTTTTCTTTTTAACAGTTTAACGCCAACCAAATCCAGTGTTTTTTAGAGACTTAGAGCCAACATTTATACTAAATTTTCGGAGTCAAAATTTTCTAACTGATAGCTTCAGAAATTAGAAGATTGCGGGCATCATTATCATTATCTCATATATCAGGGTGTCCCAATAAACATGGGAATTCAGTGACGAATTCGATATCGTCTTTTTAAATAATTCTTTGATTTAGTATAGTGATACCCACTGAGAAAGCTGTAATCTGTAAGAGTTTCGTCTGCTATGTTCACATTTTGTTTGTTTATGTTTTGACTGCAGACGGTTGTACTTAGTAAAACAAGAACATTATAGACTCATCTTTCCAGTCTTTTACCCTTTTCATAAAATAAACTCTAGCAGACATAATTTATTATGGCTTTTTAAAATAGGTATGGTAATGCTAATTCATAACAAAGACGATATTGAATTCGTCACTGAATTCCCATGTCTTTTTGGACACCCTGTATAATACAAACATATGTGTAGAAAGGGTACGATGCACCAGAAATTTTCATTATTTTATCATGTAAAGCCCGTATATAATCTACAGTATATGTATTGCACTAAAAAGAATGGAATAGAAAGCACTATATTGATCTCAGCCTTTAGCAACCATGCACGGACATTTAGTTTAAAAATAAAATATAATAATTTAACTCTACTTATTAAGTTTTAAGGGGTGAATTTTAGGTGGGAGGGGGGGGGGTAATTCAGTCTACAATTTCTAAGTATATTGATATGTATTTTGTAGTTTTTTTTCCAATCATTGACACTTTTAAAGATAAATTTTATAATGAAAATTTAAAACGAATAGTTATGCATCTATATTGCTAAATCAAGATTATTTCGTCTTCAAAGTTGATTGTAATTTTAATCTATATTGGAACTAAATACCGGCAACAAACTGTAATTTGGAAAATTTTATATCTTTTCAACTAGACATAGATATTTCAAACGTTGACCATTTGTGCAGACAGAATTCATAGTTTGAAATATCAGAGTTCACGTAATGAGGTTGCAGATGCAAAATAGAAAATTAGATTTTGCATCAATTTATCAGTTCCTTTCCATCTAAAATATATATCATGCAGTGAAGTTGTAATTTCAATTGATTCTCCATTTATAGATTGGCATGTCTAATTCTCCATTTAGAGTGACATGTTTGATTCTCCATTTTTATAGTGGCATGTCTGATTCTCCATTTATAGAGTGACATGCCTGATTCACAACGCTACCCTTTAAAACTTTGTCAGACCAAGAATGAATTAGATATCCATAATATCCATAGAAATCAAGTATTATCGTTAGTATTGATATAATCAAGGTTTAGTTAAATATCTAAGACTTAAATAAATTGCAATTTTTATTAAAATATTGCAATAATTTCTTCAAGCTTGGAGCTAATGCTACTGATTAGTTAAAACCACCATTTTTCTGGTTTTGTTCAAAACTAGCTTCTCAAACTTTAGGACTGGTGTCGGTGATGATTAAAACACATCGAAATATATTTCCAATAGTTTGAAGTTGTGCATTCTACAGATATATAGAGAACACTCTTAACACATTTTTACAGTTGTTTAGTTTTCTTTAACTTTTCATTGGAGGATAAACTAGGTTTTTTCTGATGTCAAATTATACTTTTAATAGATTGTACAGTAAAAATATGATATAGGCATCTTCTGTTCAGATTATAGGGGACTTCAAATTCAACCCAGTCTTTATTGATGCAACTTCTTTTCAAACTAGATGCGCCTACAGCTAGACATTTAGGCAAGTAATTGATAAATAAAGTTGTTTTCAGAGTTTTAATGTACATTGATAGCACACTTTGTTGCTAAACAAAAAATAATCTATTTTTAAATCCCACCTTCTCTCCAGTATCAACCCTCTGACCGAGCACCACAGAACCATAGGTTCCGTCCCCTAGCTGCTGCAGGGTTACATAACGGTTCATTGCTCCCATAGCCGTTCTTTCACTGGTTCATTTTTAAACTGTACTTCCTACTCTCTCCTTCCCTTGAAGATCTGTATCAGGGTTGGGAGCACAACTCACATTGTAACCAATCAACGGGTCTAGTCAGAGGTTTCTTTATTACACACAGAGAACTCAGAAATAGTACCACTGTACAGTTCTCGAAGTACTGTCGTTAGAAAACCTCAACTGTACAAACAGTACTTTTTAGTAGATTTCCTTATAGCTTCCTTGTACTGAGTGTATCTACCTGACAACTAAACTCTACCTTAAACTTGGGAACCTTTATTTCCGGCTTTTGTCCTCTGTTTAGTCGGAACCATGGAAACCAGAACCCGGCCCGCCTGGTTTCTCCGTACTCAGGTGTAGGGTTTACTCCGGGGTTGGCAGGATACATGGATACAGACCAACCCCAGCTTTACCAGCCTTCTCCACACTTAAATATACTTACTTCCGCTTTCAGATATTATGTTCAATAATAATATTATTGTTAATAAATCTTTATTCTAAAGCAATAAAAGATTTTATATTTATGTACATTGTATTAGATAACAGGCAGGCCCTTTTAAAATAATTTAGGGCTGGAACTTTTAAACTTTGCTTGATTCTAAAAGTTTCAAACTTTGCTTAATTCTAAAAGTTTCAAACTTTGCTTAATTCTAAAAGTTTCAAACTTTGCCTAATTCTAAAAGTTTCAAACTTTGCTTAATTCTAAAAGTTTCAAACTTTGCTTAATTCTAAAAGTTTCAAACTTTGCTTAATTCTAAAAGTTTCAAACTTTGCTTAATTCTAAAAGTTTCAAACTTTGCTTAATTCTAAAAGTTTCAAACTTTCTGACAATAAGTTGAGAATGGGAATAAAAGCTGATATAATAAAAATATAAAAACATAGAAATCTAGAATTAAGTTAGCCTTTGAATGACTTATTGAAATCTATATTAGAAGTCCCCGAGGTATAATGAAAACCAACTACTTCAAAGAATGGTTACTTGGGTTTGATTAATTTAACATGCACATGAGTGTGAAGGCTGTGAGCATGTATTTCATATTAAAATTAAAGTAAAGTGAGTTTAAAATTCTGGATTAAAGCCTTTAGTTAAAGGTACGGACGCAAAAGATACCTATGAACAAACTCAATAACAGAAATAGTGTCCTTAAAGAGCTGAAATCTCCTGAAACGCTGAAAAAATGTTCAACTTGAGACTGGTTTCCGGAATCCAACCACAAAAAAGGCAAATGTTTGGAAGTAAGGAAACTTTTTCAGTATTTTGAAGAGCAAAGCTACCTAGAGAAAGTCTTCAAAGGAGATTAAAAATTGTCTTGTAGTCCTCGAGATAAAGTTACAAAGAGAAAATGGTTTTATTTACAGGCGTTAACATGTCAACATAATATCCAAATAGATAAAAATATGATTCAAAAACGACAAAGGAGATAAGTGTGATATCAAAATTATATGCAAACCTTTGGATTAGTACATTATAGAGATCTTTGTATTCATCAATATTTCCTACTCCAACAAATGATTATTTTCTTTCTGTTTTTATCAGATATTAATTGAACCTTTGTGCTGAAGAGGACTGTCGACCTTACTTCAAGTGACCTTTCATACACAACAGACGCTTTAAACCTTTATCTGAGTTACAATGAGGAAAATATAGTCGTTTTTAATCTTAAAAGCAATAATTTCTCTTTTGTCTTTGCTGCATAAAGGAATTGCGTCCTTTTCACAAACTCAAACTTTCTCATCTCTATATCTTTGCAACCTGATGGCGTAAACATTTGATATTTTAAACATACATTATTTTATATAAGAGAATTCATAGTTTAAAATACATAAGGTCTACGACATTGGGTTGCAAAGATATTGGGATTAGAAAATCATAGTTTGTTACAAAGATTCAATTCCTTTCCAAGTCGCAATTTTAGGAACACCATAATTAAAAATTACCAACCGTGAAGATCTATAATCAAGGATATCTCCATCTTTTTTGCTTGAACGGCTGTTTAGTATGTAAGGGTGATAAGACAGAACAGGGTGGTTCAATCTCTATCATATATCAACTTTCATTGCTAAGAGAGTAAACTAATCAACCATCACTTATAAATGTAAAACAAAACCATATTGATATCCAATATCTACCCAAGCTTGGAACAAGTTATAATCAAAACTAGAGTTATAATGTGAAACTACTTTCACACAAAGAGCTATCGTAAATTGGTAAACACGGTGAAAGTAGAACTGAATGTAGGATGGTAGGGTTTTTCAAATTTGCCCGTGATGTATTAGGAGAGTTCAAAATCTATTGTTTTTGTTGTAAATATAAACAATAATTAGTATAAGTGATGGCACAGTCTCGGCAAGGGAAAATTCAACCCCTTAGTCAACAATTTCCTCGTAGTAATAAATTTTATAAAACTGCACTCCTCTTACACCAGTCTATAAGGTAGAACAAGTACGTCGTAGTAATAAATTTGATAAAACTGCACACAAACTATATTCCTCTTACCCCAGTCTATAAGGTAGAACAAGAACATCGTAGTAATGAATTTGATAAAACTGCACACAAACTATATTCCTCTTACCCCAGTCTATAAGGTAGAACAAGAACATCGTAGTAATAAATTTGATAAAACTGCACACAAACTATATTCCTCTTACCCCAGTCTATATGGTAGAACAAGAACATCGTAGTAATAAATTTGATAAAACTGCATACTAACTATATTCCTCTTACACCAGTCTTTAAAGTAGAACAAGTACATCGTGTAATAAATTTGATAAAACTGCACACAAACTATATTCATCTTACACCAGTCTATAAGGTAGAACAAGTACGTCGTAGTAATAAATTTGATAAAACTGCACACAAACTATATTCCTCTTACTCCAGTCTATAAGGTAGAACAAGAACAGTGGAAAGAATTAATCCTAAGAATCAGAATCAGAATCAGAATTAAAAATAAGTCTTCAGAAAATATCATCTTATAAGATTATTTGTAATTTTCTGACTAAACAGAGAAACCAAAACAATAATAGGGGATGAATGGGCATAAATGCCATGCACCTCCGACANTAGTTTGAAACCCATATTTTTCTGTTTTAAGAAATCGTTGTTTAAAACATATATTCGCCTTTATTGTTACTTTCTTTACAGATCTATATACTCTAAAAATAAAATCTAAAATCTTTTATAAAAGTTTGAGGTAATTGTGTTTTTCAACGTTCCAGTTTTTTCCTTTCTTCATCAACATTCTTTTCCTTCTGATTTCCCTTCGGAACAAGTTATAGCTCACTCCGAATATTCTAATTTTCTTGAAAGACGTTTAGGAATTAATTATTTAATTTGTCTAGAACTGTAAATTTAGCTGTGCTTTATCTTCTCTGAAATATAGTTGAGGAGCTCTAGCTTTAGAACTGGTATCTCCAGGGTATCCAGGAACCTGAGAAGATGTCCAGAGAAACTGTTGTATTTCTTTTCCTGGCTCCGGGTTGGGGTTTTAGTCCATTGGTTCCTATCCTCTAACACCTGAACATACAGGAGTATGAGGAAGTTAACTAGGACTGGATAAAATCTAGACGATACCTGTCCGACAATAAAATCTCCAAGAATATAGATCTTCTCTGGTTCAAGCAGATCCCCGGTTAGTTGCTCCCGGAGCACATCAAAGATTTTTAGTCTTAACTCCGGCCACCGAGTTACAGCAGGGATAAGAGAATTAGGGGAGATATTTTCCAACATCTTCCAATCTAATCAAATCAGATTTTAAGTTTAATGTTTATAGAGCGGAGTATATTCAAACTTTACTTTAAAGGAACTCCAGGCACACAATTTCAAGAGACCGTTAATTTATAGAATTGTATGTTCAATTCACAACTGTACCTTTAATCATTTGTCTAATCAAGGATAAATCAGATATCCTAGTTGTTAATTTATAGACTTGTATGTCCAATTCACAACCGTATCTTTAACTATTTGTCTGATCAAGGATAAATTAGATATCCTAGTTGTTAATTTATAGACTTGTATGTCCAATTCACAACTTTACCTTTAATGATTTGTCTGATCAAGGATAAATCAGATATCCTAGTTGTTAATTTATAGACTTGTATGTCCAATTCACAACTTTACCTTTAATGATTTGTCTGATCAAGGATAAATCAGATATCCTAGTTGTTAATTTATAGACTTGTATGTCCAATTCACAACTGTGCCTTTAACCATTTGGCTGATCATGGATAAATTAGCTGTTAATTAATTATCTTTATTGTAATATCTTTGTATAAGTGACTCACAGATTTATCAAGCAGAAACATTGAGGAAATTTTCAGAATTCAACACTTTAAGATATAAAAAATAAAAACTTTTCTTATTTTTGCTTAGATATTTAGTTTATAGAGTAGCGTTGACTAAATACTTTTTAGTCATACGTAATAAACAATAGACTGTAGAGTTAACAAAAAACCTGACCATCAAACATTACTGACATGGCCTATCAATTCCTATTTAAAGAAATATAAAATTAATGAATTTGCGCTAGAGAAAAAGAAAAGGTAATTTCCTCCTTTATTAACCTGAAGATCCCACTTTTTATACAATCCTCCGACCATATTAAATCGACCTAGAATTTGGATCCCTTGCATACCTAGTTCTTGTTTCAGGTTGACTAAAATTCGTTCCGCGGCATCAACGCAATCCACAGAGGAGGATTGGGGACATCCAAGGATTAATACAAGTTTTTCGGTCTGACCTAACTCAAAACCACGATTAAGGAGAAAATAATGATTCTTGTGAATTTAAAATCTAAAATTTTTATTTTCCAGAACTGCAATTAGAAAATAAGGTCTTGCTTCCTGAATTAGTGATGTGATGAATCTCAGCATCAAACTTCTGTTGATTAATCTCCAATATCCGGGATAGGTTTACTAGCTTCAGATAGACCTAGAGAAATATATGAAGGATTTAGCTCCAATATCCGGGATAGGTTTACTAGCTTTAAGTAGACCTTGAGAAATTAATAAGAATTTATCTCCTGCATCCGGGATAGGTTTACTAGCTTCAAGTAGACCTAAAGAAATAAATAAAGGATTTATCTCCAGTGTCCGAGATAGGTTTCATACCTTCACATAGACCTAGAGAAATGTATTAAGTATTTATTTCTAGCATACGTGATAGGAACTTAAACTAACTATATATAAAAGATTTATCTTCAGTAATCAGGATATGTTTCCTAGTTTTAGATAGACCTGGAGAAATATTGTGGCTCGGTTTTAATCTAAGATCAATATATTACCTTAAGTTGAGAATACTGAGGAGTGTTTTTTAGTTTCCCAGAGAAATACAGAAAATCATCCCTGCAGAAAAACCTCTAAATTTATCTCTCAGATGAGAGAGAAAAATGAACATTTGTTTAAAGTTCTAAATGTTAACTGAAATATTAAATTTTTTGAAATTTATTTGATAGCCAAGATTTAACTAGTTTTAATAAGTAATTCTTTGAAAAAAGTTAAGGTTTTCCTGACAAGATTTCGCTGCTCAATACAAAACTCATATTCTGAAATTATAAAAAGATTTGTTTCAAAGAATGAACCTAAAATGTCAGCTACTGACATTTTGTTGTGTCTAATATCCTTAATTCATATAAGAGTTAGCTTTTTAGGGCGTGCTCATTTATATATTTAAGTTCAATGCATATCCCTAACTTAGTTTTGAATTGTCACGTAAAAGTTTTATAATTTTGTCAGTAACCCTGTATGGTTAAAAATCTTTCAATTAGATAAAAAATTTACGAGTTTGGGTTTTTCTTGCACAATATTCAGTGAAACATGGAGATCAACCACTGCCCACGTCAAATTATAGGGAGGGAATTAAGTCTTTGCCACAAGCTCAATTTGTCTAATCCATATTTCTTTGCAACCTGATGGAGTAAATATTGGATATTTCAAACTTAGATTATTTGATCTAGCAGACTTCAAATATTAAAATTGCAAGTTAGATTGAAATCTTGCATATTTCCAACCATAGTCTTATTGGAGAGATCTTGACAAGAAAATTAAGTTTAGAATTTTTAAAATACAACCAAAAAAAGCAAAAGTTAAATAAAACTAGAGAAGATGTCACGCCAGTAATTTCGCATAAATTGGACACATTCCTTATGTTTAGGTTGAATTGTATGTATCCATACCTAGGTCATGATATCCAAGTTGGGAGCGGAGTTGGGCGAGAAGCTCCTCGGATTCTTTGCTCCCAAACCTCAGATTCTCACAAAGAGCTAGAAGAAGTATTTTACAGCTCTGCCCAACCTGATAATCCTGTAAAACAGGAGTTAAAGGAACGCCAAGCGAAATTTCAAGTGACACTCCATGCAAAGATGGCAATGCACGATTTGCTATTATTATTATTAGTATTACAGTTTAATTCTAATATGCAGATGGTTTATATAGGTTTACAATTTAGTGAACTTTTTAGTGGTAGGTGATTAAATCAATACAATGAAGATGACTTTTTTGTTTAAGTTTTGATTGTAAACAAGCTTTTATCGAATTACAAGTTTACAAGTAATCCAAAAGGAGCTTTTAAATTTGACAGGTACTCTAGACTTCTATGTTTATGTTTAACAGCTTAATAAAAAACTAAATTAAAATCAAAAGTATTCTCCTTTGTATTGATATAATCACCTACCACCTATGATATCTAGACCTCAAAATGCACTCACTTATGTTGGTAAAAGTGTGTTCATGTCATTTTGTGTACTAAAACTCAATTCGTTTGGGGCATAACTAGGAACTTCACGTGCCACAAAACAGACTCTCTCATTAGTTAAATATTCATTAATCCCAACCTGTAGCATAGCAACATCGTCCCAGATATCAAGTTCGGACAGTTTAGATAGTTTCACGGATTCTCTGATCATTGAACCTAAATGCCGGAGAATTTAACATTTCCCGGAAAGAAATTGAGTCGTTGCCAAAAAATTCTGGTTTTCTAATCTCTATATCTTTGCAACATAATGTCGTAAACTTTAAACATTTCAAACTATGATTATGTTAGATCAAATAATCCAAGTTTGAAATATTAAAGGTTTTCCCCCGAGTTATAGTGAAAAGACGAGTGTATTATGATATGAAGGGGTACCGACCTAGTAGAATTGTGTTAATGGAGCGTTAAATGATCGGAATACGTGTTTTAACCTCCCGATATTCTCTTGAAAACTACGTGATAATTAATTAGGATACCCATTAAGTCGATTTAATCTAGGTCATGTTCACAAACAATTTGGGCCCGTTCGGCTCAGCCGTTTATTGGATACAAACAGATAGACAGACAAGCAAAGTATATATGCTAATTGTCGATTTATTAAGTTGAACTACACACATTTTTAAGACTGATCTAATATGCAAATGTGCAATTCTTAAAACAAAATAAATGTAAACGTTTTAGACAAATTCAATGCTATCAAAAAAACTCGTGAAATAAAAAGGATCATATGCTAATTTCCAATTTAACTTTAAACTAAGTAAAGCTTATCTAAGAGCCTAAGCTAATTGCAGTTAGACGTAAGGAAAAAATGTTCAAAATTAGTAGATATTTAACGATTTGGTATCCACAATTAATTATTAGTATTTATCAATGACAAATCTGTTCAAAATTGACAGATGGAAAACAATTGAAAAGTCAGAAGCTTTCTATTTTTCTTTCTTTTTATGTCAAGATCAGGCATTATTCAACATCTAATGAAAATCCTCTACGATAACCCGTTACTCTACAGGGATAGCAATTGTCCTCAAATTAAGTTAAAACTGGATATCGAGATAAAGCGTTCAAGATTAACGATACTTTACATACACAACAGTTCCGACAATAGTACAAGGTAAAATGTTACTTATTGTCTCTTTGTTGAACCTAGCTCCTAGTCCTGCCTCTGGAATCAGTTTAAAGAAGAAATGAAAAATTCTCTCCGATATGTCCTTGGTGGTCATTTCTAGAATACGGAATCTGAAAACGATAAATTTTCTGGTTCGCGAAAATATAAAATTTATTTTATAAAACAAAAAAGAATGAAGAACTTCATTTGTTCTTTTTAGGTTTCAGCGATTTCTTAATACCACCAATTTTTCCTCCTTTCTTTACTCCTCCGAATCCGCCTCCTCTCTTCATTCCTCCGCCCCCTCTTTTAGCGCCTCCACCTCCTCTTTTCATGCCTCCTCCGCCCCCTCCTCTACTTATTCCGCCGCCACCTTTTCTAACATCATCGTCAAATGAAGATTTAGATTTTTTCCCACCCTTTTTAGGTTTCTTTTCTCTAATGCTGTCCTCCTTAAAAACTGACATTTTCTTAGGTTTCCTGCTCCTCTTGGCTTGCCTGGCAACGAAGTTGGCTTCCATCTCTAACGCTTTTTGTTCCTTCGCCTCTGCCGGATCAACCGGCGTAGCTGCTTCCTTCTTCTTCTTCATTTTCTTTGTTATCTTTCTGTTTTCTTCTTTAAGTTTATTCTTCTCGTCTAATCTCTCCTGCTTGGACTGAAACCAGACCCTGTCCGGATCCTCCACCTTGTCGTTGATCTTGTTCTGCAACCTGTTCGCCTTGTTCTCAACCTTGGCGATCTCTCGCTCCGCCGTCTCCTCCTCTATCACCTTCTTCACGTCCTCTTCTATTGTTGCCAGCTTCTTCCTGTACTTCTCCACGATATCGGTTGGGATAACCCTGGATTTAACAGGATCACGGGCCCGTCTAACAATCTCTTTGACCATCTTCCTCTCAGACTCTCCAGAGATAGACACGGATCTAGAAACAGGAAAATAGTTTTTATATGTATACATATCTAAAGATATATGTTCAATATGCACTATGTAGATTGAGATTTAATCTAAAGAATTTGAATCCCAATTTTTTTTCATGAAATTTAAAAGAATTAATCATTAGGAATGTTCTAAACGCTAGAGTCAATTCTAACATCCTTAGTTTAATATCATGTATTATGATAAAAATAATTAGAATTTTTTTGTAGAACTTTTCTTACAAAACTTATTAGAAAATTATGATCTGGTTAGATTTGAAAATGTTTTGTTTACCTGCCGGCTCTGCCCGCCCTAGCTGTTCTTCCGACCCTGTGTATATAATGTTCTAGTGTTGTTGGCATCGTAAAGTTAATTACTGTCTTTACTCCTCTAATATCCAACCCTCGAGCAGCTACATCAGTAGCCAGGAGAACGTCAAGCTCATCCTCCTTAAACCTCTTGAGTGTATCCAAACGCTGCGGCTGGGACATATTTCCGTGGAGTTCTCCTACTCTTACTCCAAGTAAACCCAGCATTATATGTAACCTGGAGAAAAGAGTAAAATTATGTAAAATTGAAAAAATCGTAAATATGATTTAAGGGGCTGTTCGCGTAATTTCAAATGACATTCCATGCACTGAGGGCTATGCCCGGTTTACAGTCTCAACTCGGCACAGCGCATACCGGAATTTTCAGCTGAATACAAGCGGGGTTCGACAAGTTATCTCTGTACTCGACGAACACACAAAGGTTTAAAGGGTACCGTTGAAAATCGGGCATTCTCCTCTTCACATGGANTATCTCACCCCTTCTTTACCAAACAAGGTTTCAGGGGTTCGTTGTGAATCGGACATGCCATGCTTTTTTTTTTTTAAATAACTAAACACTTAATTAATCGATAAATTAGCAACCAATCCATCAATAAATACAACAACCAACCAACAGACTTTTTAAGAATTTAACAAGCCAAATACAAAAGAAGCTATTGAATCAAACAAAATATATAAAATCATTTACAAGCAAATTTAAAAAGTTTAAATTTTTTCTTACTTTATTACTGTCCACAAATATTTTCAGTGGTTTATTCAGAGATACTGTCGCCAATTGATTAACCTGGGAGATCAGTTTTAGAGAATTTGTATTTTAGAATTAGAAGGGGGGGTCGTTTATAATGGCTGCAAAAAAGCAGCAATTGTCAGAAAAATGTTCCAAGATTTTATCCCGGTAACATCTCAATAAATTCCTGGTGACGATCAAATCTCGCATTAAAAATGAAAATAATATTATTGATAGATATTGCTCAATACCTAATGATTTTTTTGAGTAACACAAAAAGCAATATTAAATATCTGAGTTTTCTTTTCAGATTATTTGATTATTTTAGTCCTAGAATTTGATTGTACAAGATCTTTAAAAAATGATTTGTTTAGTTGATCTCCGAGAATCTGATTCCTCCCTGTTCTGTCATGGTAGCGGAGAAGAGTAAGGTTTGTCTAGTCCTGGCACAGGATTTAATAATCTCCCTCATCTGCTCAAAGAAACTCTCCTCCAACATACGATCTAAAAACAATGGTTCAAAGAGATCACAGATTGCGACGCCAACAATTTTGAAATTAACTAGTTTTGAACATTTTTAATATTTTTTCAACCTACAAGTGTTTTTTTCAGTAAGAAGACATACTTCACGTGAATATATGATTCCAGGTAAGTTTTTGTCAGATATGTGAAACTTTATTCCTTGAGGTGATCACTCACCTGCTTCGTCTAAAATTAGAACTTCTATACTCTCCAGGGAGAAGGTTGGAGTATTCTTCACGTGATCAATTAAACGACCCGGAGTAGCGATTACAATATCAGGATTCCGTCTCATGATGGATTCTTGGGTCTTCAGATCCAATCCTCCAACAGATAAAGCAACCTCCACAGTTGTAAACTGAGCCAACTGTTTTGTAACTTGGTAGACCTAAAATATAAAATTATGTTACAAAAATGTCTAACTTTTTATAAAGAAAACTTGTCAAAATAAATTAGAATTTCTTCCAATTCAGTGGAATATATTTTCAACGATTAACGCTCTGGGGAAAAAATGAAAACTTATAAATAAGAAAGTTTTCCACTTTCTTGACATAAAAATTTTATTTTTTTCACCAAAATACTTTTCGAAAGAGGTGTGAGAAGGAATGACTCTTGAGAAAATATTTATAAATATATCTCTGTCCTAATTTTAAACCCCAGCCTACCTGTACACCTAACTCTCTGGTAGGAACAAGGACAAGAACCCTTGTAACAGCAACCTCCTTCGGTCTGTATAGTAGACGCTCCAATACAGGCAGCATATACGCAGCAGTCTTTCCGGTTCCTGTAGCGGCGCAACCACAGATATCCCGGCCTAGTAGAGCTACAGGTATAGTTGCAGCTTGGATAGGAGTAGGATGGATAAACCTTAACTCTTCTATAGCCTTTAATAGTGGTCTGGACAGGTTCATAGAGGTGAAGGATGCCTTGTCGTCGAATACGGGTGTATCGTCAAAGAATCCTTCCTCTTCGGACTCATCCTCCTCCATCTTGATTTCTATCCCTGTATCTCCTTCTCCAGGGTTCTTTGCTGCACGACGGAGCTTTCGCTTCGCGTCCCGTTCTTTTATCTACGAGTAGAGATTTTGTTATTTTCAAGGTTGAGATAAATGATTAAAAATCGCAAGTTATTCAGAATCATTATCATAAATCTTTTGCACAAAGATTTTCAAAGATCGACGTACTATCAATTATTGTGAGTATAAATGCATAAATAATGAAAGTATAAAGAAAATGGTAATACAGGGTACACGAGCAGCCACATTTACTGATGGAAATTAGCTTTAGAGAAGTTTTACAAATTTTACAATGTTTTTTATTCTAAATGTTGGCTTCCCTTACCTTATTCCTAACTTTAATCATGAGTGAAGATATATACAAATAATCGATCAAACACTATCGCTTTAAAACGATCGCCTTTTTCCCTCAAGTTTTCTTAATTTTTTCCTAGTTTAATCAAAACAAAATGGCAACCTTAACTCCCTTAACAGATTATTGTGATAATAAGATTCAACCCCTTCAAAATGGTTAGAAAAATGTAGCAAGCTAGCTTTTAGTCAATACTAGCCACATCACATTGGATTTTTTCAAAGTCAAACTATATGGTTTATTTATGAAATGAACCATAGTTTGATTTGAAGCATTGTGAAAAACCCAGTCCTGAAGCTCATTACCTTAATATTATCTGCAACCATCTCATCATCGGAAAGACTGTCATCTGTCTCCGCCTCACTGCCAGATATTACTATCTCTTCTCCGCCTTTATCCTTTCGCTCCCTCCGGAATTTGGCAATCTAATTCAATTGTCTTCAAGATATTGTAAAAAAAAGAATACCTTAGGTGGGAGTGGCCGGGGTGTCAATGCTTTACCCAAAGTTGATATCGAGATATAATTTTAACTCATTGTGGGAAACTTAACTCACCATTACTGGGAATGCATTACGAATTTTAAGTTTCTTGTAAACACCGTGAATATTTTATAGAATTTATGTGATTGTGAACCTATATTTAAAGGTTATCCATGAGTTTTAAAGAGATATTTAATCAAATAAAATAAAATTCCTGCCATATTTGTATGTTCTCAAGACAAGTAAACAACGGTCAAAAAAGGTTGAAAACAGATAAGATAAAGCGTATCCAGGAAAACCCAAAATGATGATACCTCACAGACGAATTACAGAATTTCTAAGGATCTTCATGTTTTTATAGTTTCAGGAAGTCATCTTATCCTTTGTGGGTAACCCTGTAACTACAAATCTCGACCGTAACACTCTTTATAAAATTAAATAAAAAGGTTCGACTGTTTTAACGTAGTTCATAGAATGCGGTAAACCCCTGTCTCATCTTAAAACAACCCCAATCCATTGATCTTTAACAAACTTTCTACACTTTAAATTCCACGCAATTAACCTATAAAACGGGCTGAGACAAAAAGAAATCGGAAATTTTAGGTAACGTCGAATAAAAAACAATTAAATTTTGCTCACGTTGCAAAGATTCGTAGAAGAAATTTATTATTCTCCGAGTCTTAGAGGGCAGCCCTGAATGTATGTTGGTTATGCCATAGCGAGTTCAAACCATAACGTTTTATGTATACAATTCGCCACACCATAATTGAAATAATTAGTACATTACTTATAAAAAGTATAGTACACTACCATATAAAATGGATAGATCGACCTTAGAATTATTCTTCATCATAGGTCCGTAGACGGGATACTACTATACATTCACTCCCAGTTCTTAGTTTGAATTAAGTAGCTGGCAAATTACGTTTCATTGAAATGATCAGAAACAACCTCTTTAACAACAACCTTTGAAGGAATTACCTAAAAATGATCATCCTTAGTTTTGGTGGTTAAAAACCGAGTATATAAATAGGATTTAATAGTTATGAAACGTTACAAAAATTTTAAAAAACACCAAAGTTTAGGAAAAAATTACACTATATGAAATTCTGTTTAGTGATTTGAATTGTATAGTAGCCCAGTGATAAGGTAGAAGCACATCCAACGGTTTGCCTGAATAAAAACAATTTTAGGATTTGGTAGTTTCGGATTTTAAGGTGAAATACATTTTTTCCAAAAAAAAGGGAGCACTGGCTCCATTACAGTGAACTCGCTAGTTATTTACCTAGCGGGATCAGTTCGTGGGTCCAGTGCTCCCTTGAGCACTGGACCCACATGATCCAGCTTAAAAAATGTTAAATGGATATGCTATCACCAGACCACCGTGAAACTATACATCCTTATGTTAATTTCTTAATTTTAAAACCCTGGTTTATATTAAATGATAATTAAAATGAAATTAAATGATTAAAAATAAAAATAAAAATAGAAATAAATATAAATTAAAGTAGAAAGTTTTAATTTATGATCCTATTGTACCTTATTGTTTAGAATTTTAGTTTTTTCCGCATTTTCTTTATAGTAAAAACAAATTGTTCCAGTTTAGAGTCCGGGATATCCATTGGCATGTAGTATTTTTCCAGGTTTATTGGAATTTTTTTAACAAAATTTTTAATATGTACATGTCTATTTGAGCACTCATTGTATTTAATTGTTGATATGAATTTTTTATTTTGGTGAGGTTTATCCTTTTTCTTGTGTAGTTCCATGCATTTTACTTGATTTTTTGAAAATCCTTTGAGTTCAAGAATACAACGAACTATTTTTGATTGGTTTTGTAACTCTTTTTTATCAGTACAATGTGTTCTTGCTGTGTCCTGTCTCAAAAAATGATCTATTATTACATTAGCTAAAGGCTGCTGACAAACCACGCGAGGGCAATACCAAAAATGATCTACATAAATTCACGGTCGTCAGGATATTTAACCTAGATGTACTAGGAATACATACTATTTGTCAAACTTTGTCACCATAAATTAATGAATGTACTTTTCAATATACTATAAATTAAAGACATTTTCCTTGTCGTCTAACGTTGTTTTGGCCTTCTTTTTAACATACTTGGCTATATCATTCCATGTATCCTCCATATACTCTTTCTGGCTCCCTACAAACTTAAACCCAGTATCAAAATCTTTCTGAACTTTCTTGGATGCTTTCTTCTTCATGGGTTTTCCCTCATCCTCTGAATCACTGGGCTCGGAGAAGTTTTCAACATCATCTCCCTCCTCGATAGTTTTCATCAAGTCGGTTGTCATTGTGATTCTGAAATTTTAAATAATTGACGCAGAGCGTAACCAAGTTTAGCAGCTTAACGTTTATTGAATACAAGAGGATACATTTAGATGATTCCAATCTTGTTGGCGACGTCGAGGGCATCATAATCCGGAGCAAGACGGACATAAGCCTTCTTCTGACCGTCGGGTCTCACAAGGGTGTTGACCTTGGACACGTTGATGTCGTACAACTTCTTCACGGCAGCCTTGACCTGGTGCTTGTTGGCCTAAAAAAATAACATTAAACCGTTGCAATTAATTTAACAAATGTTCCAAGTCAGGGTTGGTTTTCACAATAGTTTTCACTAGGAATCAATCCACCCAAAATATAAATCTGATCCGTAAGGAAAGGATGACTTGAGATAAAAAATCTAGTTGATCTCAATTTCAGCCATGATAAAATCCACACCTCGGTTTTGAGCTTTATGAATTATGATAGTGACACTTAGATCTTAAAATGATTTCCGTCTTGAAACTTAAGTTATCAAGTCACTTCTGATTTTTAAAAAAATATCCTAGATTCATTCGAAATTGAAAACTTTTAATTGCAGTAAAGTGACTTGCGGATTTTTGGTGTTAAGATGTTAGTATTGAAATTTAAAGTAAATTAACCAACGAACCTTTCCGTAGCTTGATAATCAGAATAAAGGGTTCATTTACGAAACAGATTTACAACTAAATTATTAGGGGTTCATAATAAAATGCGAGGGGGGGGGGGTAAAAGTAACAAAAACCTATCAGTGAAAGAATTTAATGAATTTACGCCGCGTCTAAAATCTCCCAAAAATCGGTTTCAATTGAGGGCAGGCCTTAATCTTGAAAAATTAGTACAAATTTAAGTGGAACCAAAAACATTTGAGGCGCGGCTTAAATATAAACTGAGGCTCAAATTCTTTAAATTTGGCCTCGAGCTAGGAACTTTAGAATGAGATACCTTTAATCCCGACAGCTTAATCAGAATATCCAATGTGGACACTTTTAATGTCTTGCTTACCCCCCTCTTTTTATGGATTTAGTGCAGAAATATAAAAAAAACCAGTTTTTCATAATAAGAGAGTCTCTTCCGGTTCAGTATTTTAATCTTAGATGGTTCGCAAAATTTCAAATTTCCTGGCTTCTGATACGCAACTTTAATTGAATTTTATACACTTTTCAGGATACAAGTACAAGATTAGGTTAGTCTTGAGATTAAGAAAAAGGGAGGATCAAGCATTGATCTAGATATCCATCATTCTAAAGTTCCCAGCTCAGTTGATCTTTTTAGTAATTATACCTTGATATCGCAGATGAAGACAAGGGTGTTGTTATCCTCGATCTTCTTCATGGCGGACTCGGTGGTAAGGGGGTGCTTGATGATGTTATAAGCATCCATTCGGTTCCTTCTTGGGGTGGACTTCCTAAAAACACATTTAATAAATTTCAGATCTTTCAGAGTGATTCATAATACATTAAAATTACAGATAAACTTTTGGGTCACATAAACCTTAACAATCCGGAGATTGCATCTTTCTAAAACTAGCTTGACTAGCAGTAAAGGATGGGTAGAGAATACGAAAATAAATATTATCTTCGAACAGTTCGTTAAAATATTTCATATATCTGAAAAAGGTACAGGATTATTAAAAACAGGGATACATATTTGAGAAATGTCAACCCCGCGCTCTGAAAGGATGAAAATTGTATTCGAAGATTCGGGAAAGGTTAAAAACATTCTTCCGGTCCTACTTTTAACCTTAACCCCCAAAACAGATTATATACATGTCAAACATGCTAAAGCCAGACTATGTAAATGTTAAACATGCTAAAAACAGATTATATACATGTCAACAGGCTGTCAATTTTTGTAAAAATGTCTTAATTGAATTATTATGTTTTATATATAAGACGATAATAAGGACGACTTAAATGCACACAAGCTGTAACATGATTCATAAGTAAACCTCAATTTAGTAAAATCCGATTGTGTGTGTACTATTTATCCATCAGATAAGAATTTAGAGCAAGACATCTAAATGATCAAATTTTCGTCCCCCAAAGTACGTCTTTAAGACAGTCTCTTTTCTGACAATTATTAGGAAGAGAACAGGCTCTGATTGAGGTTTACATTATAGAGACAGATGATTTTAGTTTTGTACCTGGGGTACTTGGGTGCCCTTGGGCAACGGAAGGTCTTGGGTCTATAGAACTTGACGCTGGTGCGGACCTTCTTAACCCTGGTTCCGTGGAGACCCTTCACGACCTTCTTTTGCATCCTGCGGGCCTTGATCACAGCCTTAACGGGGGCCTTCTCGGTTCCCTCATCTCCAGCTTTCTTCTCGGCAACCTTCTTGGGTGCAGGCTTAGAGCCCTTAACAGCCTTAGCTGCTTCAGGTTTTGCGGCAGCTGCTTTTTTCGGCGCCATTTCTGAAATAAAAATTATGATCACATATGTCAGATTATGGTCTCTGATTTTCGGACCCAAAAGAATAATACTTATCAACTGTAATAAACTTAATAATGTGAATTCAATAAATATGCATATTTATGGGATGAGGCGACTGCTAAAACTTTGTATTAAGGTTCCCAAACAAGGAAACTAAAAACATTTAGCTAGATGGTATCACCTGGCTGCCTTTCTTGGACTAGACATAATTTTATACGTCATACCCCCCATACAAGATATACATGGGGTTTCCACCAACTAATATTCAGGAACATGACTAGAATTGAAGAAAGGCAATTCCTTTTTTATAACAAGAAATTTTTTTTAGCTGTTATCAAGCAGTTATCACAGAAATATGACGAGCACCACTCCTTGCTCTACTAAGAAACAAACATGAATAACTGCGGGATCTGAGATTTATGACAAAAAAGTGATCAACACTATTTGTCCGATCATTGCCACACTACAGTGGTATCAATGTTAATTAATGTATGAACACGTTCAATACTTGATCTTTGATCTAAGCAAGATCAAACAACACTGTTTCCCTTCCACATATAAAGATGTATCCAGCGATATTGTGATGGAAACCTAATCTAAATTGATAGCACTAATTAAACAATCCTTAGATCGAGGAGTCTTCACGAAATAATAAATTTTCTCCGCATGCTGCACGTGTATAGCCTGTGCGCAAAAATTACGAATGCCGCATTGTAAGTTAAGCCTTGGAACATACTAAGATCTCCCAAAAAAATAAGACGACATATCCTTGGAGTATATTGGATGTTTAGTATTAAAAATAGAGATAGTAAAAGACATTTTTGAAAATGAAAAATTCAACTTAAACTTAAATTCTATGAGATGAAAACAAGGAGATATCGTATCGTTTGCACTAATGATTGATCGGACTAACGTACATTCGCACTAACGTTCATTCGGACTAACGTTTTATTTGAGGGTTAGGTTGGCCTAAGACAATTTCTGGGCCGAGCGCTGTGGCTAGGACAGGCTATGGGGCCGAGCACCGCAGCTAGGACAGGCTAGGGGCCGGGCGCTGCGGCCAAAAGTGTTACTGATCAGCTGACTTTAGTGCAAAAGTACGTTAGTTTAATCGGACATTAGTGCAGACGATTTAGCATCATAGGACAGAGGTCCAGAAAATAATTATGACTCGTAAAAGTTTCCGGTTTTAAAAAAAAGTCCGGAGGACAATTGTAATCTATATAATAAAGCTCTTCGTTCATTTATATGGGCAAACGGCTGAATGAATTGGGCTGAATTTAGTGGAGAAACTTTTAGTGGAATTATAAGATTTTTGTTTTAATTCTATTTTAAAATTCCACGGGCAACGCCTGGCACTTCAGCTCCTTCAGCTATCATAGTTTGTAAAAAAGAAAGATTACAAAACGGCGGTGCAATGAATAAAGTAAATTAAATCCAAATTTTTAACAAAAAAAATGGTCTTTTACTGCCTCAGAATTCAAGCCTTCGTGGCTTGGCATTTAAAAATAATTGTTTTACTTTGCTATCCCTGATTCCCCTGCAGATAGCGCCCATCCGATTAGGATGAATAGATTTTTCTTTCAGACTTCTCTCATAGTGGCTCTGGTCCACGTATACAATCTTCTTAGTGCACTGAATGAACAGCAAACTAATTTTTTTTTATGTTCTTCACTCTTGAGTTTAAGATTTGAAAAGTGTAAGCTTTGAGTTCTAGGACGGGGGGGGGGGGCTACTCCCAAGCATTTCTTCTCTAATTACCCTTGTAATTCTCTCTGTCTTAGACTTTTAGTAAGTTCCATACTCTCCATATGATACATGTTCAAATTATGCATATCTTCTTAAAGTGAAGTCCAAGAAAGAATTTTCTTTAAAACTTTTATAATGTACTCATATTCTCTCAGTGCTTTATCCGATTTTTCTAAATTAGTATCCACTATTCATATACCCCTCGATACTCATTTTTATGATCGAAGAAGATCGAAATATTGGTATAATTTTTCTGCCATGTAAAGTACGCACTTTAAACAAAATTAGTTTTTTAAACACGAACAACCGACAATTTTGTACAAATAGAACAGATAACAAATAAAAGTTAGACAGAAAAATTTTCCTACCTTTTGATTTTCTTTTTTACAACACCTTTTCTCCCTTTCTTAGAATGTTTTTTTAATTGACCCTGTCCCTGTTAAAGACAATGCTTTATATTTAAGCACTGTTTGTTATTCACCCCGTATTAGCATTTTTATTCACCCTACTATAGATATTAGGAATTTTCTATTCACCCCTTAGATAAAGCAATGTTTTTATTCACATTTTCAGGTTTTTTTTCACCCAGTTCACCCAGTAGATTCAGGCAATGTTTGTTATTCACCCTGCAGTACATATCGACAATTTCTATATCCTCCCTGTAAAGATAATCCTTGTTGATAAATAAACCTGTAAACGCTATCACGCGTTTTATTCTCCCTGTATTGTGAATATAAACAAAATCACCCTGTAGATAAAGGCCATGGTTGATATTCACCATGTATATATTACCCTTGTTATTTTATGACCCAATAGATTTAATAATTACATAATTGAGCCAGACTTATATTCTTTCTGTAAATATTAGCAATATCTTTTATTCTTCCTGTAAATATAAGCAATATCTTTTATTCTTCCTATAAATAACAGCAATATTTTATATTCTTCCTGTAAATATTGGCAATATCTTTTATTCTTCCTGTAAATATTAGCAATATCTTTTATTCTTCCTGTAAATATTAGCAATATCTTTTATTCTTCCTGTAAATATTAGCAATATCTTTTATTCTTCCTGTAAATATTAGCAATATCTTTTATTCTTCCTGTAAATATTAGCAATATCTTTTATTCTTCCTGTAAATATTAGCAATATCTTTTATTCTTCCTGTAAATATTAGCAATATCTTTTATTCTTCCTGTAAATATTAGCAATATCTTTTATTCTTCCTGTAAATATTAGCAATATCTTTAATTCTTCCTGTAAATAACAGCAATATTTTATATTCTTCCTGTAAATATTAGCAATATCTTTTATTCTTCCTGTAAATAACAGCAATATTTTATATTCTTCCTGTAAATATTAGCAATATCTTTTATTCTTCCTGCAAATAACAGCAATATTTTGTATTCTTCCTATAACTATAAGCAATATATCTTTTATTCTTCCTGTAAATATAACCAATACTTCATATTATTCCCGTAAATATTAGCAATATTTTAATTCTTCCTGTAAATATAAGCAATATATTTTATTCTTCCTGTAATAATTAGCAATATCTTTTATTCTTCCTGTAAATATAAGCAACATTTTAATTTTTCCAGAAAAAAAAGCAATATTACTATAAATCCCTTTAAACCATATCATCATTATCTCCCGAATAATTGATAGAAATGTTATTGAAAAAAAACTAGAAAATTGTTTATTCATATTTATATTTTGTACTCCTAATTTTACTGAGTAACAGGTTCCATAAAACATGATATTTCAATAATTGATTTTGTGTATGCTTAAAATAAATAACAAATTATCATCATCAAGTGTATATAAACTATTTTCTGAGATTACGAAGTGTAAAATTTATCTTGGTATAGAACTCCGTTCGGAATCAAATATCTTCCGCACAAACTTATCAACCTTGACAAGGATTATCGTATCCTCCTCCTCCCTCTCATGATATCTAACTTCAAGTCTCCGCCTGTCTAAAACCTTGCAGTGACTAGTTTTCAAGAATTCAGATTTCTTTAGTTCTATAATATAGCACTTTGTCTTGATATCACCTTTATGGTGTCCGAACCTTCGTGCAAACTCTTTGAGTTCACGATACAGGACAAAATCTCCCTCACGGTCCATCAACTGGAACTCTGTAGGGAGAGGGTGTGAGGACGCCTCAAACATAAAACTATCAATATCCTCCGGTTCTTCCTTCTCCTCCTCAACAGTTTCTGCGAACCTAGGATCCAACATGGGATCATGAAACTCAGGGAACCCTGATACATTCCATCGTTCTACCGGCGGCAGGGATCCACGAACATTCGGCGGTTTTCCATGCAGATCGGCGAGTATGTTTGTAAGGTACTTCTTCATGTTGATATTACCCTCTGCTAGATCTATAGGCATACTTCCACTGTAGTTGTGTAGTAGAGGATCAGCACCGTAGCTGAGCAGAGCATGAACAGTTTCTCTACTCATCCCTTCAACAGCTGAAATAGGTTCACGACATTTAATAATCAATCAATCAATCGTCAATAATAACAATAGAGATAAATGATCAACCAACATTCCGTGGCAATTTCAAGCATAGCTAAAATATCTATATAGCTCAGAACTTTTGAATAAATGGAATGAGTTTAACTTATATTAACCCACATGGATATTAACCGATATCTCATTGGTATAAATCTGCGAAATCTTAATACTATTAAAATTGCAAATTCGGATTAACTAATGAACGGTCTACAAGTATTCAACCTTCATAACAATTATTATTCACCGTTTGAAAATTTAAAAAAAACTATTAAAATCTTGATGGAAATTGATGCCTGTTTGAAATAGGTATTCTTCGCAAATTTCTCTGTTTTTATCGATTTCAAATTTAGATATAATTGGTTACTGATAAAACTATAATTAAAATTGTATTTCAAATAATCAAACCCAAGTGTTAATTATAGTTTTATTACTAATCTCTTTAGAAAATTAATTCTGAATAAATCAAATCAGGGTTTTGGGAAGAATCGTGGAAGCCCCCCCCCCCCCTAGTTTGAACAACTTATTTGGGTTAATTAAGATCTTACCATCATGAAGGGCTCGGGTTCCCTTTACTCCATGAGAAGGATCTGCACCATACTTGAGAAGAACTTTAACAACGTCATGATGTCCTCTGAAAGACGCTTTATCCAAAGGCATGAACCCAGCGTAATCCTTCTCTTTAACAGACGCATCCTGCATTGCAACTGTATAGGCAACAACATCAGGATATCCCATCTTAGCAGCACGCTGTAGAATAGTTTCTCCTGCGTTCTTATCAACTACCCACCGGTTACTCTCCTGGACAACCTTTTCTAATGTGTATTCTATATCATGTATCTCCTCCTGTAATGGAGAACCGGCACGAGAAACATCGCGAGAAGTTTTGGATTTTCGTTTTCCAGCTGGAAAATCCCAACCAGACTTTTTCCCGCGTTTTCTTTTCGGTTTTTTCTTCTTTGTGGAAACAGGTTCAATAGGTTCCCAGACGACAAGGTTCTGGATTGTTACTTGTTTAATCCAGGATGGATTATCATCCAGGAGATCAAGAGCAAATCCACCCAACTCAGTCTGAAGAATAGTCTCCTCCTCAGTAGGTTCTCCGATCTCTTGAGAAAAGGCGAAGGTATCATCCACCTCCTTCTCTACTGGCACAAACTTCTCATTAGAAACCGTTTTGTCGAGAATCTTCTCCTTCAGAACTGGTTTCTCAAAAATCTTTACTTTTTCCTTCAGACTGGATATATCTGGTATTCTTTCCTTATGAATTTGTTTTTCTAAAGAATGCAATTTCGTTTTCTCCGGGATATCCTTCTTTACTTTACCTTTCTTTACTTTTTGAGGAGAATTCATCACTTTGTCAGGTTCAGGTAAAGGTTCGTCAAGCGTAAGATTATCATCAGGTTTAGGTTCGGGTTTCTCCTTTGCTTTACTTTTAATCTTCTTCAAGGGAGTGTCAACGCCAAATACTTCTTTAATAGAAGGGGAGAGGGCGGAAGAGTTAAGTTTACTTCTGGTTTTAGAATCTAGAATCTCAGCAGTCCAGATATCAGGTTTAGGTTTACCAGATTCTCCGAAATCTAGGTACTTGTTCAGGGTGTAGTGACGGAAACTACCAAAACTAGGATTGCTTTGTATTAAGTCTGGAGTAAGCATCGGTAGACCGGGGGTCGGGATTAATCCCATATTATTTTCTGTTACTGAAACCTCTTCCATTTTTGTCATTCGCATTCGCAATAAACGCTTCTTCTCTTTCTTGAACGGGATTTGATACATCCGTCCCATAGTTGCAGCTTGTCGTAGCTTCTTCCGGTTTTCAATAATAGTTTCCACGATAGATGGAAGTTCTCCTCCTAGCTCCTCGGGAGTTTCCGGAGATAATATATCTGTAAAAGTTTTCTTCTCCATCCTTACCCGTTCCATCATAAGGATGTCTGGGGGTGAAACCATATCCTTTCTAGCAAAGTCTTCATAACTCTTCTTAGGTGTAGTTTGTCCAACTAATATTTTTGGTTTAAGCCTGGAGCTGGAGTCTAGGTCTGCAGGTACTTTACATCGTTCATGAAGGCGTCGGACCGACCTGCTCCAGTCCGGAGAGAAATGAATAATACCTCCAAAATTTGGCCGTGGTTTTCTCCTAATCTCGGGAGGGATATCCAGAATGGATTGAAACGTTTTCTCCTCTGGCTCCTCTTTTACATTGTCCTTAAGCAACAAGTTCTTTTCAGGTTTCTTTTTACCCTTATCTCCTGCTCCGAAAGCTTGGTACCATTTATCCACCGCAACCTTGGCTTCCTTCTTCGGTGCTTCCTGTGTGGTTGGAGCAGAGGTCGGGACGGATACCTCAATAGACTTCTCAAATCTGTCAGAACTTTCATCAACTGTTAAAGGAACTTCTCTTGGTTCTTTCTTAGAATAATTTTCTTTCATATCAAATTCATAAATATCATTTTTGGAAGATTTAGATGGTCTTTCTTTCACGACAGACCATTCCTCATGTTTAGGTCGTTTCTTCTTCTTCGAAACAGACGAGTGTTCTTGTGAACTGTTGGAAGAATTGTCATCTTTCTCAATATCCTTCATTTCATCGTCTAACTTTTTCTCAGGCCGGGATTGGTTAGAGTCACTATCATAATCCCGATTAATAAGCGCACTTTTATACTTGTACACAGGACCTTTGCATCCCTGGTCATCTTTAGAATTTTTCATTTTCACATCTTTCTCTTCCTCGTCAAACTGATAAATGTCATTGCCCGTAGAGGGCTTGTTAAGTTTTCGTTTCTTGGATTGATGAAACGTTATCGGAGAATCTTCAGTAGATTTTCTTTTCCATGTGACCGCACTGGGTCCCGGGATCCCACTGTTCTTTATCTCCATTCTCTCCAGGTTCGGAGTAGCATAGGATTCTGAACCAGATCTACTGGATCTTACGTCTGAAGGCACTGGAGCTGGTTCTGGGACAGATTTTGAACTAGATGAACTGGAGTGTAGCTGCTTCTTAGATGGTTGGTTAGGATGGGAGGATTGGTTAACCTGGGAGACAGGTTTAGGTTTCTCAGTATGATTACTCTCCTTTCTCACCGACGTGCTTGAAACACTTGGTACACTGATGGATTGTCTGTTCTCAGGTTTGAGTTTACTCCGGCCATTCAAGGATACTTCCTCTGTATTAGTTTTCCCACCTGTATAACCAGGGGATAGAGAAGAGGTTTGAGATATCAAGTGTTCCAGTGGAGCAGATACCATATCCTTAGTCTTGGAACCTGATTTTTTATCATCAATGTCAGGAACTGACAAGGATTTTGAACTTTTAGGCGGAGTTGGAGGAGATGGAAGAGGAGGAATTGAAGGGGAGCTGGGAATACTTGATTTAACTTTCTTTTCAATCTGCGGTTTCCACCAGTTTTTCAAAGAATTGTCCTCAATACTTTTATCCGTGTTGGATTTAGATTTTGAGATTTGCATTTTGCTCTCAAGCATTTTTATTTTATTCGTCATTGACGCCATTCCCGAGATAGGGTTCTGCCCAGGACCTGGATATATGGAAGAAGAAGACGACGGTTTACTGGAGTTCTTGACCGGAGCAGATGATTCTGTTCTAGGGTTTACAGGCGTGTTTAATATTGGAAGCGTATGTGGACCGGAAGCATCATCAGAGCTCACAGGTAGCGTTAATCCTGGAGGAGTATCTAGTCTCGGAGAATCTGTATTACTCCTCAAGCTAGACTGGGTTGATGCTAGGAATTTTTCCGAAGGTTTAGAAGAACTATCACTGAGAGAAGAGTTTGTTCTAGTCTCCTTGTTCTGCTGGAATGAAGGCACGGAGAAGGAATCAGGGGTTGGCTGGGAGGAACCAGACACAGATGAAGGTTTACTTTGAGAGAAATTAGTATTCATTGTCTGTGAGTTACCGATATAGGAGGGACTCTGGGTAGGATAACTGGGACTACCAGGTGCAGGGTAGGCGGGACTGTTTTGGGGTGGATAGGCGGGACTGTTTTGGGGTGGGTAGGCAGGACTGTTTTGAGTTGGGTAGGCGGGACTGCTTTGAGGCGGGTAGGCGGGACTGTTCTGAGGTGGATAGGCAGGACTATTCTGAGGTAGGTAGGCGGGACTATTCTGTTGTTGATAAGCAGGACTGCCTTGGGGTGGATAGGCAGGACTTTTCTGAGGAGGATAGATGGGACTATTTTGGGAGAGATATGCAGGACTATTTTGAGGTGGGTAGGCGGGACTATTTTGAGGCGGGTAGGCGGGACTATTTTGGGGAGGGTAGGCCGGACTACTCTGAGGAGGATAGGCGGGACTATTTTGAGGCAGATAGGCAGGACTGTTTTGAGGAGGATAGGCGGGACTACTCTGTATTGGGTATGCTGGACTATTATGTGGTGGATAGGCGGGACTCGTTTGAGGCGGATAGGCTGGACTGGTTTGTGGCGGGTAGGCGGGGCTGGATTGAGGCGGGTAGGCGGGACTACTATGAGAAGGATAAGAAGATTTAATGGATTGTGTTTGGTATGAAGGGCTTGGTTGTGTGTTGGATTGTGTTGAAGGTAAGTAGGCCGGAGATACCTGAGAGTATGGAGATAGCTTAGGACTGGGTTGGGAGTAAGGTGAGGCTATAGAGCTTTGCTGAGAATATGGAGACATTTTGGGACTTGCAGAGGGAACCTGGTTCGGAGAAAACTGATTTGCAGGTGAAACCTGAGAGTTTGCGGGAGAATTCTGCTGGAGAGGAGCAGGAGAACTTTGTTGCAGAGCTGCTGGAGAATTCTGCTCAGAAACAGGTTGCGAGTTCTGCTTGGGGGGAACTACTGGGGATTTTTGTTGTGAAGGTAGAGGAGACTGAACCGGGATAGGAGAAACAGCTGGAGTTTTCATCTCACTGGAACTTGAGTAGTTTCTTGTTCTCGTGTTCTGTTTCTGTTGTTCTTTTGGCTGAGGTTGAAGCTGAGGTTGAAGTTGCTGTTGTTGTTGCAGATGTGATGATAAAACATTATTAACCATACTCCGTGGATCACTATACTTTTGGGATCTCTGATACTGGGCAGTGTAATCAGCTAAAAGTTTCTGACTCTCATCACTTTTAGAGTTAAAGTTGATCGTATTGTAAGGACTGGAGTAGTCCTGTCTAGATCTTTGTTGATCCTCTCCTCCAGACCGTATTTGCTGTCCACTAGCACTCAGCAGAGCTTCAACACCAGAAGCAGCTGTTCTTAGATCTGATGTTTTACTAGTATGTTGCTCCGACCTTGACTCTTTACCCACACCTTGCCTTGAAGTGTACTCCGTTGAAGAGTTCCTCTCCTGTTGCCTGAGATCCTGAGCTGCTGTATTAATTTTAGTAGACTCTCCTTTCCCACCCTGCCGTCCTTTCTCCCCCTCCTCCGGGTCCTGTCTAGGGATGGAGAGAGGGCTCTGCTGGAAGCTCTGGTTTAAGCTTGCTGTCTGTTGAATAGCCTGTAATAGCTGTGGGGTCAACCTGTCTCCGAACCTGCTCAGTAACTCTTTGGCAACCTGGTCATTTAGGTCTGTAGTAGAACTCATCCCACTAAATGCAGCAGCTGAAATAAACATATATTATTCAGTTGAACTTACTGAAATATTTAGTCCAAGATACATTTACTCTAGATACATTTAGTCTGGTTACATTTAGTCTGGTTACATTTAGTCTGGGATGCATTTAGTCTGGGATACATTTAGTCTGGGATACATTAAGTCTGGGATACATTTAGTCTGGGATACATTTAATCTGGAATACATTTAGTCTGGGATACATTTAGTCTGGGATACATTTAGTCTGGGATACATTTTGGGATACATTTAGTCTGGGATACATTTAGTCTGGGATACATTTACTCTAGATACATTTAGTCTGGTTACATTTAGTCTGGTTACATTTAGTCTGGGATACATTTAGTCTGGGATACATTTAGTCTGGGATACATTTAGTCTGGGATACATTTAGTCTGGGATACATTTAATCTAGATACATTTAGTCTGGTTACATTTAGTCTGGGATACATTTAGTCTGGGATACATTTAGTCTGGAATACATTTAGTCTGGAATACATTTAGTCTTGATACATAAAGTCGGGACACATTTCGCCCAGGATACATTTAGTCCAGTACATTTAGTCTGGATACAGTTAGTCTAAAATAAAAGATCTAATAAAAGCTGTAATAAAATCTGTAATGAAAGCTGTAATGAAAGCTGTAATGAAAGCTGTAAAAAAAGCTGTAATAAAAGCTGTAACGAAAGCTGTAATGAAAGATGCAATGAAAGATGCAATGAAAGATGTAATGAAAGATGTAATGAGAGATGTAATGAAAGCTGTAATGAATGATGTAATGATAGATGTAATGATAGATGTAATGAAAGACGTAATGAAAGGCGTATGAAAGGCGTAATGAAAGACATAATAAAAGACGTAATGAAAGACGTAATGAAAGACGTAATGAAAGACGTAATGAAAGACGTAATGAAAGATGTAATGAAAGATGTAATGAAAGACGTAATGAAAGACGTAATGAAAGGCGTAATGAAAGATGTAATGAAAGAGGTAATGAAAGAGGTAATGAAAGATGTAATGAAAGATGTAATGAAAGACGTAATGAAAGACGTAATGAAAGACGTAATGAAAGACGTAATGAAACATGCAATGAAAGATGTAATGAAAGATGTAATGAAAGATGTAATGAAAGATGTAATGAAAGACGTAATGAAAGACGTAATGAAAGACAAGATGTAATGAAAGATGTAATGAAAGATGTAATGAAAGATGTAATGAAAGATGTAATGAAAGATGTAATGAAAGATGTAATGAAAGATATAATGAAAGATATAATGAAAGATGTAATGAAAGATATAATGAAAGTTGTAATGAAAGATATAATGAAAGATATAATGAAAGATGTAATGAAGGTTGTAATCTACCTGCATGTGATGAAGAACTCTGCGGAGTAGGATAGTAAGCAGAATAATTGTTTGCTGGTGTTTTAGATTTACTATTCTCCTTCGTCATAGCACTAGAGGAGGATAGAGCTGCCTGGCTGTAAGCAGCTTGAAGCTGCTGAAGGTTAAAGGCGTTGGTAGCTTCCTGGTTCCCAGTAATACCACCGTTCAGCATACCAGCTTGCCGTCGGGAGTTCTCTTGTCGGAGCGAAGATTCCTTCTCATACTGACTCTGCTGTTCAAACTGTTGACGAAATCTTTCAGCTGATTGGTTCATGTAGTTAGCTGTTTCCTGGGACTGGTTGGCAGCCATGTTGGATTGGAGATAGTTGGGGTTCATTGCTCCAGCTCCGTAGGAATTGAGTCCATAATTGCCTGGATACTGGTACGGGTTGGACATCATATGAGCAGCGATAGGATTTGATGTTGGGGTGGAATTCTTCATATGAGCAGTAAGCGGCGAATGTGCTGGAAGAGGGCGCTGGTAGTTAAAGTTAGCAAACTGTCCCGGAAGCCGGAAGGGGGATGCAAACCCTGACATTTCCTTACCTCCGCTTCCAAGAATGTTTGACGCTCCTCCGAACATATTTTGGAGGACGTAGTTCTCGTAAGCAGCGTTGGCGGAGCTTCCGTGTGCGGGAGCAGCAAATCCTGGATGCTGTGCAGCAGCAGCTGCCGCGTAACCAGGAGCTCCGCGGCGTATCCATGCTGCATGAGCTGCTAACTGCTGCTGATAAAGCTCCTTGGACTGTCGGTCAACCATCCTGTAAACAAGAGCACGCCTCCTAAAAAAAGGATAATTTATTTCTGTTCCAGAATCAAACCAAAACACAATTTTCTTTTGGAAACCTGTATTTTCAAAAAAAAAATTATTTAAACAAATTTAAACTACACCATTTATATATTTATTTATATCTTTGTGTGTGAATAAATCTTTATAATATAATAATATAAAACAACTCTGCCACCTCCGTGTATTGAATTATAAAAGTATTTAGTTTGTTCAACCAAAACTAATAAACCATATTTACTTATTATCCAAATGCAGGAAGAAATAAGAAATAAAAGAACAAATTTTCCTTAATATGATTAGTAGATACCCTTACCCCGTCATTTTTATATCAAAAAAACTAATCTTTATAAATTAAAATAATTTTTCTGTGTTTTTTAATTTCTTCCTTTTTGATAAAGTATATAAATTCTTCAGTTTGGACAAAATATATAAATAAATTCTTTTATTTGGACAAAGTATTTAAAATCATTCGTTTGGACAAAATAAATGAATTCTTTCGTTTGGACAAAGTCTCATTTTTTGGCATCCTTGCATATCCTAGCCGCCGTGCTTTCCCCATAAGTGGTCTTACTAAATCCTAACCGAAATTCTAGTTATTAAAAGTTTATAATTTATGTGTAAAAAATGAAAGGGTGGAGGGGGGAGAGTGTCATAAATCGAATAAAGGTTAACTCTGAAACTAGCTAAACCCTTCAATCAAGCGAGAAAAAATATTGGTCTTAAGTTATTGTGGCACTTCACATTGCCACGGCACAAGCTCTTGATGTTTTAGAATCCTTTACCTTTCATCCCAATGTCGTGGACATTTAATATTTCAAACAATGAACTTTGTTGGATCAAAAAATCTAATTTTGAAATATCAAAGGTTTACACCATCAGGATCCAAAGATGTAAAGATTTAAAAAAATAGTTTGTGGCAAAAACTCAAGTTTCTTTGCCACTGGCAAATAAATATTAAACAAATAAGGTTTATGCGTTTTGACAATATTCATTTTGAAAAATTCCTTATTACATAAAAAGATTTTTTATTTTTGTTCTCTTCTTTTTTATTTGAGTTGCTTTGTTTGTATTATTTATTTTAATTTTTTGCTTATATCTGTTATATTATAGGACAAACTCCTGATGATGCCAAAGTTTTGGCGAAATTTGTTGAGAAGAAAATTTTATAATTATAGTGCTAGAGAGTAGGGTTGGGATTTGTTTAAAAACGATCTAAAGTAAACAAATACTAGGTCCGTCCAAGAGAACGATTTTTGGACCCCCTCCGCCCTCCTCCTATCAATTTTGTACATGACTTTTTCAATAATTTTCAATTAAATTAGTATTTATGCGGCCACATGTCTTACATTTAATTGAAAATTGTTGAAGAAGTCATGTACAAAATTGATAGGAGGGGGGGGGGGGTCCAAAAATCGTTCTCTAGGAAATTACCCAAATACTTACTAAATTTACCATTCGAAAAAATAAAATAAAATTGTTTAAACAGTTGAAGAAAAATTTGGATTAAATCAATTTTTCTGATACTTATAAATTAAATACAGTATTTAAAAAAGAAACAACTAAATTGTTAAAATTTGAATTATCAACTTTATATTTCAGTCACTTTTTGCTTTTGCTTTGGTAAAATATTCTTTCTAAACTTTTAAGTAAACAGTTTAGAAACAAAAACATAATTTTTCATGTCATTTATTTACCAACAAATTAAATGTTTGATAAAGAAATTTAAATTAGAATCATAAAATTCAACTATTTCAAAACAAACAATGATTGAATAAAAAGTATATACTTACTCTTCTCATAACGTAATCTCAGGTTCAAGTGTTAAACATTATTTTCACAGATTTTGTCCTGATTAGATCTAAATATTAAAATCTGACAGTTTGAAGCAAGCGCAGTCGGCCATTAATTGCGACCTCTATTTTCCTTCAACTGGGAACAGAGTGTACGCCATGACAACCTGTATCAATGGAGGAGTAGGCTTTAATGTGTAAGGAATGGGATTCCAGTTTAAACATTTTTCATCCTCGAATTCAAATTTTGTTTTAACAACTTATTTAAATAACTAAAAGCCGGGGTACGGGAGGTACAGTGATCGTTGAATTAATACTGAGAAATGCAAACTTTTCAATAAACTTAAAAAATTAAATATATATATATAATATGAGTAATAAGCCTCTGCCCATTCATCCCGACTTTTAAGAATAATTAATCATAATATTTTAAGAACAAATAATCTTAATATTTGATCTTTATGTAATGTTATTTACAACTTTTTTCAATATAGTTGAATGACGATGTAGTAAAAGTTATATGGTCACTATACGTGCATGTAATTTTTTACTTTTTATTTCAAAAATATGTTTTTTAAAAGTAATTATTTTCCAAATTGAAGAAAAAAATTGTTTAATAAAAACTTCCGTGTGTCATCCATGTATTTGTTTTCTGCGTTCTTATCGTAAAAACATTTAATTGATAAGGCCCTGAATTTACTGCAGTCTACTCAAAAGAATACAAAACACAAAATATTCATGAAATGATTTTGAATATTGGTCTTTTCCTTCTAATGTTGGTAAAAGATGGCGATCTAATTATCCCAGAAAAAGATGGAGTCAGGAATGTTTTATCATTAAATATTAAAAAACATAAAAATAAATACTTTATTATCAAATTTAAACATAAATATATCCTCTTACAATGATACTGCACTGTGTTTCATGGAGATATAGAAGATATACATTTTTTGGAGATATAGAACTAGATTGAGGGGGGTGGGGTTTGCATTTATTCCACCATGATTGCCTGCAGCCTAGGCATAAAAGCTTTGTTTACAATCATTGTTCTTACATAAGAACAAATTCCTCTGTCGAATGAAATTGAATATTGAACATTAAATTGTTAATCCTCATAACTTTGCAACCCGATGGTGTACAACCTTGATAATTATTTTTTTTTAACAGATTAAAAAAATTGAAGAATTATAAAAAGTGAATTTAATTGATAAAATATGTGTGAAGGTATTGCAACGGAATCGTTGAATTAGTAGATAGGACGGATGAGAGTGAAAATTCCTGCAGGTTGTATTTATCTCCAGGGTGTCCCACTAAACATGATAATTGAGATACACCTTCGATTTTGATTCAATATGTTTACGATGACCAAATGCATGGTGTATTAAAAGGTGGTTTATTTTTTTTCTAAATAAAGAAGATATCGGATGTTTTTGGTTTTAATTGATGAATTGATATCAAGACGATATGTCTATATATATATATACTTTGCTTTACTTTCCGTTTGTAATCCAATAAACCTCTAAAAGAATGAAGCTATCAGGCCAAAATTATTAATGGCAACCCACATGACCCCAGTGGGAAGGTTTGAAAATTACACCCGAAAAGATTGAATGTCGACATTTATGTTTTGAAAATGCGCAAATTTCAACGGAAAAATTTGCGATTAAAAATGGGGATTTTCAGAGCAGCACTTAGAAGCTAAAATTGTTAGTAGGAAAGGGGCTCGAAGCGCCCCATAAGATTAGTTTATGATATCTCCAATATGTTTGAGAGGACAAAACAACTCTTTGATAATGCCAGAAACTTTGATCCTTATTTATTTCCAACCTTATGCAACCTTTAATAGTTCATATTATGAATTTGGTTAGTTGAGAATAAGAGTTTGAGACGTGATCAGTTTCTTTCTCTCTATAAAAATCTTAAAGACCGATCCATACCTAGATAAGTTTTAGATGGAGTATGGTTACTCAGGATACTGGAGAATATTTCTCCATGAAACCCTGCTCCGGGGGTATGCTTTGTCAGGAGGAGTGCGTCCCGTTTTCCGACTGGTGTTCACCTGGGACGGAGAGAAGATGGAAGTGTGGTGCTCTGCTCCAGAGTTATTCAATATGCAGGTTTGAGTATTTTATATATCAACAATTAAAATTCATTTTATATTTATTTGAGATTGCATTTCTAAAAATGCTTTTAGAGGGAAAAAATTAATTGGATTTTAGAAATGAAGGGAAAAGTGTCAGAAAAAAAGGAAAAAATTGTAAATCAAAATGAACATAGAATATGGTTCAACAGTCTTTTGAAAACCAGTAAAAACTGTAAATGCAAAATGGATTTAAATTGGGATACAAAATAATATATTTAAATTCCCTTTATTGATATATCAGATTTGGAATATATTGGGCCGGTTATAAAGAAATTGGGTCTTTGCTTTAATCATAAAATTTCTAATCCCGACAACCTTGCAATCTTTGATTAAATACTAACACTTGGTTGTGAAGAAACATGGATTAGAAAATCAGAGTTTGTGGCAAAGACTCACTTTCTTTGTTAGTTAAGCGTTAAAACTTTTGATTATGGAAAACACTGTGTCATTGATTCAGGAACCAAAGTATTTGGAATGAATATGAGTGTGGCGGAGAACTAGAAAGGTGTCCTGGTTGGTGGCCTGGACAGTGTTCCGAACCTTCCCAGTGCTCAGATCAGTATCCGGAGTTAAATGAGGTTTTAATCATAAATTATCTTGTAATTTAAAACCTTTACTTTACATGTTCCTAAGCTGGAATTTAGTCTTTTATAATTTGGAATTTTGGCACATTTTAACACAAAAATGGGATTTTTCCTTCTCTCCGCATCAGACCCAAACTGTATCCCGTGAGTTTATGATAAATCACAGGGTTTACTTGGGACTTTTAGTCATTTATCAACTCTACAGACATGGAATTTACAAAACTGACAGCTCTAATAGGAAACTTCAAATTCAATCAATCAATCTTAAATTAACAACTTAGATTTGATTGTTTGTAAACCTAGTTTCTGATTTCAGAGAAACCAGAGCGAGTTTTGTCTCTCATCCTGGGCTTCAACCCTGACAAGGGTGGACAACCTGTCCTTCATTTGCCCGGACAAGTTTGGAACAGATATTCCTGTTTGCGCAAATAGGTAATAGCTAGGTCGGGAATATCGTAGAAAATTGGATAAAACCTGAATTTTCTGTAGGTGTGACAGAATCAAGGATGGGTGTCTGGGAGACCAGGATGAGATGGGTTGTGCTCCAGGTTATAGAATAAGCTTGAAAAAAAACACCTTTTACGGGTTTATAAACAGATAGAGCAAGAAAAATTGTTTTAACCGAAATATTTAAGGCGGACACACGGTTTTGTTGGTTCTCCTGGTCGCTCTTGGAGTAGTGGTTACAATCCTCTTAGCTGAGATTATTGTGCGAGTTTTTCTACCTGAGATTTGTAAATCAGGTTGGATTTATATCTTTATATTCTGCTGTTATGAACCTTGTTAAAAACTAAATTCTACCAAAATATGACAATATCTATCCTTGAATGAAACTAATAACTGTCTTTTCGTTTCTCAAATGCCTTTTATACATTGTCAAAGTTGGACTGTCTTGTAAAGGGGGAATATGAATTACTGAAAAAGATCTAAAAGGGTAGCACACGATGGATTTGATCTATAACGAAGGGATAGAGGCATGAATTAAAAGAGAGATTGTTAGAGGGATGGAAATGGTAAAGAGACAACAGAAGAAAAAAGACAATCTTTTCTTCGGAGAAGATGGAAATGACGAAAGGATAAATAGTAAATAGAATGCAAGGTCAGGAACGGCTGTAATGAATTAATGGTAGGAAAAAGAAAAAAAGAGATGGAAAAGGATTGAAAAAAGGAAAAGATGGAAGGGGATGAAAGAGATGGAAAGAGATTAAAATAGAAGGAACGATCGTGAAAGAGAATGAAAGAATTGGAAAAAGACGGGGAAAATGGAACGATCATACAATAAAAAGATCAAGATGGTGTAAAAGTTGGAGAGGAGGAAAAGTAAATGAAAAATAAAGGAAAACAACGTAGAGAAGGAAGGATGTATAGAGTGTGGAGAACAGGAAGCGAATAGAAAGAAAGAAAAAAGAAGAAATATTTGGAGAGGATTAAGATAATGATAAGGATAGACATCAGTGTTTTGTTGCTTGTGAGAATTAGAGAATTATGGTGAGAGTGTAAAGATAGGAATAAAGGTTTTCAATCGAAATTCCGTTGCGCGGAATTGCGCGGAATTGTTCGAAATCACGTAGAAATGGGCGGAATTGTGTGCAATTGCGCGCCAGTAGAATCCACAATTACGTTGGAAGCACTCTAACTGATAAAGAGTAATATTAGTTTAAACTACTACAGGTAGAAACGGATGGCATTATAGTGTAAGAAGAGTAAAGAGATTAAATATGAACTATGGATTGGATTTGAAAACATTTATATCAGGTTCTGAGATGATTGATGTCCAGCTGCTGGAGATGAAGGACGAGATGAGTAGAAACTTGACCAGGATTGCGGAGCTTCTATTTGATTCTGAGAACTGGGAAGTTCATGAACTAGACGAGAGAAATATTTTCAGTCCTGTCTGGCCTGACGGAGATTTTTTAATATCAAGGTCTTCACTTTTTTTTATTGTTAATATTTCAGCTTATCTTTCCATTTGCTTTTTCCTTATAGAACCAACAATCTTGCAACAATATTTTTTTTTTCAATTATATATCTAGATACAATCTTTTATTTTTATGTTTTAGAATGGCTGAGTTGAGAGAATTGTATTCCAAGGTTAGAGTGAATCAGAACGCATTCTCCGTAATGATTGCGTATATTCAGGGGCATTGTGATTTCCAGTACAGACACTACTGTCTCACCCTCATCTATAACGTTCTTGAGAAAGAGTACATTTTCTCTGAAGGGTTCACGGAGAACGTAGATATTAGTATTAAATATCTTCTCAGTAGCAGAGATTCAACCCTGTTCTACGGAGCCGTGTTCCCATACTTTGATCCGCTCAGATTTCTTAGAAAAATATTTCCCTCCGGTGGATTAACTCTGCGTTTCTTATATCTTGTGCATTTTGTTACAACACGGACACCGGAGCTAGTAAAATACCTTCTAATTGTCACAATCAGTATAGTTTCGTTCTACATTGATTTTGTCAAAGATATCATCATTGCCTCTGAAGTCAGTTTCCTCTATCAGGACAGTTTCTGGGATTTCAAGAGCTTTATTGTTGTTGTTCTCTGGGTTACAGTTTTCCTCAGTCAGTGCATCGTAGGGTTAAAGATCATTGTTCTAGGACCTGCCAGAATATTTGCAGTAAACCCATCCTCAGTATCAAGAACGAAGAAGATGATTCTAACCTTGTTCTTGTGTATAATTTGTCCTGTTGCTCCAGCTCTGCTGCTGTTCCTCAATGCTCGTCTAGGAAGAGAGGTTCGTGTTCACGAGAAAATATTTTCTAAAACCTGCAAGAGCACTTTGTCTGTTGAAACAACAAAACTTCTATTTCATCATCATGCTCAGAGAGGATTGGTCCTGAAAAAGATCCAACGTTTAGAGAATATATTGGTGAGCAGTTACAAGCTGGATATTGCTTTGGAGAATACACCTCAGGTTCTGGTTCAGGTTCTCATAGTTCTACTTGCTACCTCACACTGGAGGTTTCAATGGTTGACAGGAATTGAAGCAGTGTTTGATACTCATGATTCTTCAAGCTCGCTGAGTACAGTCTTCTTCTACTTCTCCATAATCTGGTCTCTGATAACTATTCAAAACTCACTGTTCTCAACCTTTCTCTTCAGTAAGGATTACAGTGTGGGAGATCTAGGGAAGGTTTTGGTTTATTTTAATATTCTCCTTGGAGCCTCAGTTAGAATATTTTCAATTATCCTTGCATTCGCTCCTTTTCTAGGACTTTTTGATCTAATGCTTGGTCATCATCTGGACTCCAGGTTCAAGTTTAGTAGCGCAGTCTGGGATTTATATGGAGAAACTTTGGAGTTGTCCAGAACCTACTCCTGGTATACAGGGTTCCAGTTCAAAACCTTTCTTCTGATGATCACAGTCTCTCCTATTCTTCATGTTCTCCTGGTCAACATCTACTATTTAACAACAGTTCTCGAACGAAAGAAAGAAAGTTTTAGATTTTATCTTAACCTGACAATGCATAGTTTTACAACTCTTCTCATTCCTAATATCAGAAGAGATTGGGACGAAATCCCTAAAAGAGAATGCCAGGGTGAAACTGATGATATATTCATGATCAACTGGAGAAGAATCAGACATGAATATATTGTCATGGTTGTTATCCATTTACTGGAGAACCTTATCCTCCTTATCCCCGTGTATATTACTAGTGTTAGAAACGTTCAGAGAACTTTATCCATTCCATTACTTCAAGAGGAATTAAAGGTTTATCATTTCTCGATCTTCCTTCTCATTTCTCCAGTTTTATTTCTTATCCTGGCATGTCTTCAGATAAAACTATTTATTCTCTATAATGAAAAAGCTCATCCATGGTCTATCATATTTAAGAAAAAATAATTCTTAAATACACCTTCCATTTCACCACACATTATAAACTTTTATGTAACAGCTGAGATCCCACAGACTACAGAAAATAATGTATTGGACTGTACCTAAACTTTCTTAAATATTCCTCAGATCTTTAGTCTTCTTGGGTGAGCTGGAGATTTAATCATATTCTTAGAATTCAACTTGCAGATATCAAGGTTGACATAGAGAAAGATAGATAGACCCCAGTCCGCAATTATTCGAGGCTGTCTTCACCAGTCTTTACACAGCGCTGCACCCAAACCTTGTGTGGAGTATACGTCAGATCTCAGTTCTCAAGAGAAACTTACACCCGATCTAATTCCAGTCAACTGAACCAAAACATTTAGAAAATATCATAGAAAGTTTAGGCTACAAGATGAATACATACAACATGTACAGAGGAAAATAATGGATTAATAATAAATAAAATGCAGCTTCAAGTTAAATCATGAAATGAAATATCTTTTTGTTTAACAAGTAGCAAAAAAAATGGTTCGGCAGAACTCCAGCTTCTACTGAAAAAATGAGTGGAATTTTGATCGGTGTGATCGCTGGGGTGACGAGTATAACGATCCTTGGGATCGGTTTAGGTATCGGGTTCGGTATCCGGTATCTGTGCAGAACACGTGGGGATTACTATACCCAGGTAAGGACTAGATAGAGATAAGTTATATGGTTAATGATATATTTTAAATGACTCTCATTAGTCTTATGAAAAAAAACTTTTTATTTAAATTTTTAAAACTCACATTAACAATTCAAAAAAAAATTCTGCGAATTAACAATTCTCGTTTTATTTCTTTTTTTAACGTTATAAACCAAAACTTAAAGTTTTCTAACAAATTGCATTTCTCTGAGGATAATAAATTTTCATTAAAGTGTCTAAGTGAAATTAGGGCTAACATTAAATGTTACTTTGAAGCTAATTTATTTGTTTAGTTAGTATATATATTGAAATTTTCATCATTTTCTAGCTCTACACAATACACATCAAATATTTCTTAATTGTCTTTCTAAGAAAATCAAAAATATCACAACTTGACTGTCTTGACAAATCAGGATAACCTCAAGATAACGTTGTTTTTTAGCACAAGCGTTTAATTCTGGTAATACATTCATTGTTTTGCTTCAGCTGAAATGCGTAAGTTACTTTTGCAGAGAACCACAGTTGAACATATTCAGTTTTCAAAATGATAAGCAATGATATCTTAGTCATTCTTGATCAAACCAAGCTTTTTAAGGGTACCGTTGTGAATCGATATTGCCACTCTATAAATTAAGGGTCAGTTGAAACTACGCTTACAAACCATCACTCTTAACTTTTTTATTCTTTTTGATAATTATGTCATTTGACAAAGATTCATCCAACAAGACAAAAAATTTAAGGATAAACATTTGAATTAATATAAAGCTACAAATAAAAAAAGTTTTCTAAATGTTTGAACAAAATTCCCTCCCAATGAATAAATCTGAATAAGAAATATTTCTGTTGATGTTTTACTAGTAGATATATAGTTCTTATTATTAGTTTTATTGCTTCAATCTGAGAATAATAAAAAGATCACGCAACATTGTGTTTTACACAAATCTAGACCCCCGCCACCCCACCCCTCCCCCTAACCAGATAAATTTTTACTTTAAAATAATGAATGCGTTAAAATAGGCAAATAAAAATAAAGTAACTGTATTGCTTTTGTTTACAAAACTTCTGGAGTCCAATGATACTGCCAGAAGTATGCAAAGTAAAATTCTGGATGAAAAAGAGCCAGACTGCAATGAAAAGTTTCATCAATTTTCAAGAACGGCTTTAAATGGTCGTGACGTCTTGGCTTTAGATTTTACCTCATGAACAAAATCTTTCTTTTTTGAAGGCCTTAATAAATTAACTTAAAAACAACAAAAGCACTTTTTTAGCTTTAGTGGTGGGGGAGAAAGGAGTCCGGAATTTTGTTAAAAGTTGAGACTGCCAGCATACATCTAGAGATGGGAAGAGTTTTCGTTAAACGGATTGACATTTTTTCGTGGCGTTGTTCAGAAAAATAACGAACAAGGAACTAAAGAATTCGAATTTAACTAAAGAGCTGAAAAAATTGGTCGTTTACAACGATGAAGAACTGAGTTGAAAAAAAGCCTAACGCGTACATCTCTACTTATATAATAACTAGAAAAATATAAATATTTAATAATTTGGCAAGAAACAAGTTTGCAGCCGCAGGGAATCATGAATATATGGAAACACACAGTAAAAATTCCATATTGCAGTCGTCTAAGAAGTCTAATTGATTGTGATTAACCCTGTGTCTATCTTGGAATCTTCATCTTTTAAAATTCAATCAAAGAAATATTTTATTTGTCAAAGAAGATTTAACTTTAATCTTTTATGTCAGACACAAAAATATGAAATGCTGGCAATGAAGACTAAAATTTGATTTGATTAGGAATCTTCTTGATAAAAGAATCCAGATATCTTACGAAGACAAAATAAAAATATTACATGCTTTGTCTGGTCTACATCCAATGTATGCCTCATTAAGCTTCTGGATAGATATCGGAAATATAAAGTTGCTTTACACAAAACAAACCAATTTTCTTTTCTTTTAAAGATATTAATGATCTTTTCTCCTGAAGATGTTAATGATCTTTTCTCCTAAAGATATTCATGATCTTTTCTCCTAAAGATATTCATGATCTTTTCTCCTAAAGATATTTATTATTTTTTCTCCGAAAAATATTACTGATCTTTTCTCCTAAAGATGTTAATGATCTGTCCTTCTAAAGATATTCATGATCTTTTCTCCTAAGATATTTATGATCTTTTCTCCCTCAGATATTCATGATCGTTTCTCCTAAAGATATTACTGATCTTTTCTCCTAAAGATGTTAATGATCTTTTCTCCTACAGATATTCATGATCTTTTCTCCTAAAGATGTTAATGATCTTTTGTCCTAAAGATATTTATTATTTTTTCTCCGAAAGATATTACTGATCTTTTCTCCTAAAGATATTTATGATCTTTTCTCCTAAAGATGTTTATGATCTTTTCTTCTAACGATATTTATGATCTTTTCTCCTGAAGATATTTATGATCTTTTCTCCTAAAGATGTTTATGATCTTTTCTCCTAAAGATATTTATGATCTTTTCTCCTAAAGATATTTATGATCTTTTTTTCTAAAGATGTTTATGATCTTTTCTCCTAAAGATATTTATGATTTTTTCATTATTTTCATTGTACGAAAAGAAAAAGGTCTAATAATAAAGCAGTAAAAGCAAGGGAAAATTATTACTAGCCTAGTTACTAATAAATGTAAATATTATTTATAGATATCCCAAGGGTTGGTGTAGGATAATATCTAGGATTCAGATATAGTCCCAAATATTAGAACAAACAGCCAACCAAAATAATATAGAAATATTTTTTCTATCTTTTCATTCATTCTTTCTTCTTTCCGTGCAGATCTTCATAAAAAACTTTACTTTTCTTTTTTCTTTTTCTTTTTAGCCTTTATTTTTCTTTTAATTCCATATAATTTGTCTTTCTTTTGAACTACTTTATTTTATCTAATTTCAAGTAATTTCTCTATTTTTTTTTCACCTTATCCTTTCATTTTTAAGAGAGTGTATAATCGTATTTTTAAGTGACCCTCCATGTAAAGATAGCAATGCTCGATTTGCCACGATACCCTTAAAAGTTTTACCAGATCAAAAATGTGGAAATAAAGGGGTTTTCTGACTCGAAAAGTCACCTGAAATTACTCTTACACTCCCTTTAAGTTGTTTAATATTTTGCGTATTTTCCATATTTAAATATCTAATGATGTTGAATTTTAATGACTGAAGACAAGTGAAGCGAAGGAATTGAAGGAATTTATCATTTATTTTCAAATTCCCATTTCTCAATGATTTAAAGAAATTATTCAAATTCTAATCTAGCCTTATTTGTAAATTAAAACAGAGGCAAACGTACTTTAGAAGACTGGGTTTTTAAGATCCCAGCCTATATTGAGAGTAAACGTCGATAATAAAAACTATAAACTACATTTTATTGAGAATGACAAGGACAACAATTTTAAACTATTTTCTGAAGTCTAAACGAATTATTAATACTATTTTGATAAAAAATAGCAGTTAAAGATTTACGACCTACAAGTATATTATATTCTGTGATAAAGTTCACTCGTTATCCAAATCGGAAACTTAGATTCGTGGCGTGGACCTGTGACTATAGATGTTAGCATTGGCAAGAAAAATTCAAATAAACTTTAAATGTCTTATATTACTACAATATATATTGTTACAAAGGAATTGAGTTTTCCCCACAAACTCTGATATTTTAATACCTATATCTTTGCAACCCAATGTCCCAGACCTTAGATATTTCAAACTATAAACTCTGCTAGATCATGTAATCTAAGTTTGAAATATCTGAGGTTTACACCGCCAGGTTGCAAAGATAATGGGAATGGAATTTTCAAGTTTGTGGCAAAGACTCAGTTCCTTTATTTCTAGTTTACCCCCGAGCCCTGCTATATACAATACTAGTTTGTTAAACCCAGCGTTGCCCAGGGTACTCATAGCTAGTCCCGCCGTTTACCCGCACTTGGTCGAACCCACTCAACTACGAATCTCAAAATCAAAATTTGAGGCAAATCGGTCCAAGGGTTCCTGAGTTATGACCGGACAAACAAACAGACAGACAGGCAAACAGAGATTACAACTTTATATCCATAGATATGAGTAATATGTATCCTCAAGATTGTGTAGCAAGAAACATAATATTGAACAAATAAAAATCAAATTTTTCTCTTCTAATATATATATATTTGTATATAGGAGGACGAGGGGAACAGGAACGCCGACGATGCCGACACAGCTGTGCTCTGCAGTAAGACAGGTCTTCACACGGTCCAGAAGAAGAAGGAGTGGTTCATCTAGATTTGTACTTAGTTATGAAACATCCCTGATGCAAAGAGTGGTTTTTAAACGAACTATTTTCCATGCTCTGCTCAAATCTACCGACTCAGAGTGTGGATTATGTTATACTAAATACAATGCTATGCTCAGATCTACTGATTCAGAGTGTGGATTATGTTATACTAAATACCAAGCTCTGCTCAGATCTACCGACTCAGAGTGTGGATTATGTTATACTAAATACCATGCTCTGCTCAAATCTACCGACTCGGAGTGTGGATTATGTTATACTAAATACAATGCTCTGCTCAGATCTACCGACTCAGAGTGTGGATTATGTTAAACTAAATACCATGCTCTGCTCAGATCTACCGACTCAGAGTGTGGATTATGTTATACTAAATACCATGCTCTGCTCAGATCTACCGGCTCGGAGTGTGGATTATGTTATACTAAATACCATGCTCTGCTCAGATCTACCGACACAGAGTATGGATTAAGTTATACTAAATACCATGCTCTGCTCAAATCCCTACCTGGAAATATTGTATCGAGTGTATCTGATGCTAAGATTTGACACCTAATCGCATTTCTTCTTTACGATACTGAGATCCCGCATACAGAAAGTGGTGCAAGAACCTTATCTTATTCTGAGCTCAAACGCATATCCGGATACAGAGATTTCGCCTCATGCAGATCCCATGGCTCTCCATAGAAACTTTAAGTGAATGTAGAATTATTAGATCTCCTTCTCTTCTGAGGACTTTAAACTGATACAAAAATATGGTTATTTTTGATCTTATTAAACCCAAAACCTTATCCAGACTTTAAAAGATGTTTCTCTAGATCTCAGCTGGGACTCTTCTATAGCCAATATATATTTAGTAGATTTGTTAGATTTCAGTCATAAAAAGTGAATGATTCTTTTTATCCTCAGCTCCAGCTCAAAACCATATCCAGATATAAGAAGAGTTCATATTTATCCTAGTCTCAGCTCCAGCTGAGAACCATATATAGATATTAGAGGAGTTCATATTCATCCTATTCTTAGCACCAGCTCAGATCCATATTTTGATATTAGAAGAGTTCATATTTATCCTATTCTCAGCTCAGATTAATCACATCCAATGCTTCCAAGATTTAAAGACGAATGCAGTGCAGTGGACACAAAATCTTATATTCATAACTAAGGAAGATAAACCAGAAACCTCCATATCTGTAGTTCTCAGCCAGAATTTAAAGAGAGAATCATTTATCGAAACTCCCGAGTTTCCTTTTTGGGGTCTATACATTTGCGTAGATTTTAATTTAAGAAATCAGAAAACAAAAATATGATGTAAAGAAACCACTTGAAATAATAAAAAACCACGGGAAAAAAACTGCCTGACCCCATTCATAACCGTGTTTCCGATACTGGGTTTCATCACGATACTCTGTCTTAAGTTTCGGGCTCTGAAAAGAACATAAACAAACCCAGTCTTAGTTTGTAAACAAAGCTATGGGGGTTTCTGATGTATTTTACTTGATCCTAATAAGTTTCTTTGAATACATACGAGGATTGAGGATAGGTATGTTAGCATCTATCTCTCGGGGATTATCTGAAGCCAGAGCCCAAAACTTAAGACAGGGTATTATTATGAAAACCAGTTTTAAAACCCGGGTTTTACGAATGGGATTAGGCAGTTTTGTGGATATCAATATTCTTGTTATGAAATATTTGTTTCTTCATATTCTCCATTTTTTCGAATCTCTCAAATCAAAATCTACAAAATATTAAGACCCCAAAAAGGATACTCAAGGGTTTTGTTGAACGATACTCTTTTAAATTTCGGGCTCTGGGTATTTTTAACCTCCAATGTTTATAGTTCTGCAGTATCATGTGTTTTAACGTTAAACTGTTTTTAACTTAAAATATGACCACTGGAAACACAAAAAAAACGATATTTAATGCCACCCATTTTTTTATTATATTCTCATTCAACATTGCCCTAGTTGATATCAATATTTTCCGGGTACTATAAAAATATCTTCTGTTTGACATTTCATAATTTCAAATTTTTACGTTTTGTCATGTGATTTATTAAACATTGTGACCATTTCATTTAAAAATTTTTGGCTTCTCTAAACCCGTTAAAATTGCTGTTGGGCACCAACCTTGTAAGTAAGTAAAGGGTGAAACAGTTAAAACCAACTAGTATATAAAATTATATCAATTGTCTTCCCACCTACTTCTGTTCTGCTTTGTATAGTTTCAGGATCACAAATATTAAAGATTAAAGAGATCGCATTTATTTTTATTACGCTTTAAAATGTTTTTTTTTCTGAAGACGATAAATTTTAATTCTTTGCCTTGATATTAAATCGTGCTAGCAGGACTCCTTGGAATAATTTTTTTTAAATAACATGATAAAATATTTTGTCAGATAAAACAAACCTGTTCTTGTAAATGGCTATAACATGTTTTTATGTAAAATGTGATGAATTCAAATTTTGATAAAAAAATTATAAAATTGTTGAAGCTATTACATTTTACTTTCTGTTTCACATATATCCAAAGAGGTTGAGAGAAGAGAGAGGATGAGTGGGAAGATAATCCTTGTCTCCGAACCTAACCCTGTTTCCGGTAAGGACTGGAGAAGGGAGGAGTGGAACAAGAGACGGAGAATATCCAGGAATGATCTGGGAGCAGATATACTGAGAGAGAGCTAAGGAGCAGGTTAAGCCTGTAGACCTAAATGAGAACAATAAAAAATTATATAAAACATTTCAAAAATGCGATATTTTTCGGAGAATTTTTTTTAATGTTACAATAACCCCCTGCATGAAAGAAAATAACAAAACTTTTGCTAGAGTACTGTCATTCTTACCCACCATGAATAACTTGTCCATTTGATCAAATGATGGGTTGGATCATATGTTCAAAACGATCTATTTGCGACTATTATGAAATAGAAGTTTAATATTTCTTTCATTGATAACTTTATGACAGTCTCTTATCAAAGGGTGAACGAGAAGTATAGCAAATCATGAAGGGCGAACCAATATAAAGGGTGAACGAGAAGTATAACATATCATGAAGGGCGAACCAATATAAAGGGTGAACGAGAAGTATAGCAAATCATGAAGGGCGAACCAATATAAAGGGTTAACAAGAAGTATAGCAAATCATGAAGGGCGAACCAATATAAAGGGTTAACAAGAAGTATAGCAAATCATGAAGGGCGAACCAATATAAAGGGTTAACAAGAAGTATAGCAAATCATGAAGGGCGAACCAATATAAAAGGCATAAATTGACAGTTTTCTTAATCGTCCTCGGCATATAGCTGTAACATTTATTCGTGAATTTGATAATACGCGTATTAATATCCTGATCCTGGGATTTCAATATGTGGTCTAAATGTTTGTAAATTTGAAATTGATTGAGATATTTGTTCCTGCTTCAATTTATTGAATACAAGATGCTGAAGGGCCCGGTGTTGTCCGTAAAAAAAATATTTGGAAAAGAAAAAAAAAATTTAGTCTATGTCACCCCAGGCCACCCATGAGTGTCCACAAAATTAGGAAAAAAATACTTCTGCAAAGTAAAAAGAAATTTTGGTTCACCCCCTATCGGTCAATGTTGACCCCTTTAAAAACCCGTATTAAGAACAAAATTCAAGTTTTAAATTCAATATTGACACTATCAAGCAATGCACGTTCCTAACCCAATTTTTCAATTTCTAATTCCTAATTACAGCTATTTTATTGTCTAAAGGGACTGCTCACCTATTTCAAAATGCACATAATAATCCAAATTCTGAGATTTAATACTCAGCTAAACCTTATAATTGAAAGATTATGCAGTCATAATAGTAATCATGAATGTTTGCCTAATAGAGTAAAAAAATGCCCATAACTTGTGTTTATTTAAAGCGTAATAGGGGAGTAAGTTTAATAATTTGAACATTTCAACTTTATATTAATAATCAATCTTCAAGAATTTAGAATAAATGTAGAATCATTCCTACCTTATCCCTCCTAGGGTTATCCATCCTCTGGTTAGATCAATAGAAACCATATAGTCCTGATGCTCCGTAGCAGGACGGAGTCCAGCGTAGGTTCCCAACAAGGACGCGACTTTAGTTCCTGGATAAAGACTTTGCACATGATCCATCATGATCTTGATACTATCCTGAGAAACAGATCTGTCCGTCCTGGATTCCTGGCGGATATTTGTTGGGCCCACCACAGTATGTCCGGATATACTCTTAAAGATATAAACGCCAGCTGTCTGCTTGGTAGGAACTGGAAGAATTGGTCTTCTCACTCTCTGCTCTGGGTTATCTTCGGAGAGAATTAAGTATTCTCCTTTTCCAGGTTTTATTGTAAAGTTTGGCACACTCTAAAAAAAAGGAGATTTTCTTTCCGAATTAGATAACGGTTTTATAATGTGATTTTTAAAAGAAGACGGCCTTGGGTTTGATTTACCCGATTTTTTTGGATTTTTATAAAAGTTTTATTTTTACCAGAGGTTTTTATGGTTTATCTAAATATTACTAAATATCACTGAGGTTTTTAGTTAAACCTAAAGTCTCTAAACCTTTCTGAGGTTTTTAGAAATATCTGAGGTTTCTAGATATATCTGAGGTTTCTAAATATATCTGAGGTTTCTAGATATATCTGAGGTTTTTAAAAATATTTGAAGTTCTAGATTTACGCCAGGTTTCTAGTTCTACCTGAATTTTCTAGATTTTTTGCTTTGCTTACTTGCGGGTTGCTAGATATTTCTGAGGTTTCTAGGTATACCTGAAGTTTCTAGATATATTTGAGGTTTCTAAATATACCTGAAATTTCTAGATTTACCTTAAGTTTCTAGATATATCTGAGTTTTCTAGATATATCTAAGGTTTCTAGATATACCTGAAGTTTCTAAATATATTTGAGGTTTCTAGATATACCTGAATTTCTAGATTTACCTTAAGTTTCTAGATATATCTGAGTTTTCTAGATATATCTAAGGTTTCTAGATATATCTAAGGTTTCTAGATATATATAAGATATTTATAGATCTACCTGCGGGTTCCCAAGTTTTTCCACAAGATCCCCGTAGTTTCCCCCGCAATTAAACACTAATTTACCCTGAACAAATTTATACAAACTTCAATTCTTACTCAACAACTCTATAGGGCTAGGAACAATCTACAAAAAGCTAGGAATAAAACTAGGAACTACGAATAACCTACAAGAGGCTAGGAATAATTACTAGGAGCTAGGAATAATACTAGAAGCTAGGAATAATACTAGAAGCTAGTAATAATCACCTAGGAATTAGGAATATTCAATTAAAGGGTAGAAATAATCTGCTAGGGGTTAGGAATGATATATAATTAGCTAGGAATAATCTATAAGAAGTTAGGAATGATGCATAAGGAACTACAATTTAGGAAAAATCTATTGGTAGCTAGAAATAATTTACCAGTGTGGTCTACCACTTTCTTATCTCAAAAATTAGGAGGATTCTGGATTTTTGTGTGTTTCATAAATTAGAGCATAGAGCCTATTTCGTGTAGATGGAATAGATCTAAAAGTCGTCTTTTTATTCCTTTTCTTTCCGGACAACCAATATTTTCACCTTGATTATCCCCTGATTGGTTTGGATGGCCCAAACATCTCCGGTTTTTTCCGCACCTTGAACTTCACAATCAAGCTTCATGTCTACTCCGGATACCTCACAACCATATATATGGGTCATACCTAGACAGGACTATTTTAAACATGTTTTGTCAGTTAATTTAACTATTTCAACCCAAGTTTATATAATACGGTTGGTTACTCTCAATGCACTCCAATGTACGGAAAATGTCGTCTCCTCAGAGACCTAAGATAGGTAGATAAAAACCTTGTTTCAAACATAACCTTGGACGAAAGTCGTTTTTACGTTCATAATAATACGGTATCTAAATATGTAACAGACATAAACAAAATACTGTGAATATGAAACATATTTCTATAATATTATTCATTTTTTCAGTTTATTAATGCATCGTTTCATTATTTGCAGTCGTTTAAACTTTACACAAACTACTAAACATAATTAAAACTCTGAACTTAAAAATACATTAAGAAATCTTACTGAGCAACCATGGATCCACGATGTACTCCTCCTCGGAGAGAATAGCTGAGCTAACCCCTTCACAATCCAACCCTGGTTCCAGTTCCTTCAGCTCCAGAATACTAATCCGTCTTACAGTTCTAATTCTAAAAAAAGTATTTTTCCTGTCCCAAGTTTTTGTTGTTTTAATAGATGTAAAAACTTTTGATTGGGATGATGATAAGCCTCACTGATAAACCTTCTAAATCCACTTTATAAACTTTAAAATTCAAGGATCTTAATTCACTTCGGAGATATAAGAAAAACCTTAAATCTAACCTACATGGGGGGATGGGACTTGACAGATTATCTCAGGTTAATTAAGCCTGCGAGGATCAATACCTGTTTTCCTCTGCTAAACTGAGTAGTTCGTCCAGTGCTTTCTCCTCCTCCTCTCCTCTAGCCAGATAAATTAATCCGTCCTTCCGAGCAGGAACATTATACTGACCAGCCAACCAACTGGGGTTTATTTCTCTAAACCATGTAAAGTCATAATCAGAATGACTCGGAATTAATTGACCGCTAATCAGGCGACTTTATATATACATGGAAACTGGTGAGTAAAAAAAAGGGTTATCGATGTTTTGACAAAATTTTTCAAAATTATTATTTTGTTCGAATTTCAGGCATAAAAAAAAATGAAGAAAAAATGCATTTTTGGAATAAATCCACGAAACCAATTTTTTTTTAAATTTAATTTTTTGAAAAATAGTTAGGAAAATGTATATTCTATTGTTTTCCAAAATATCATAAAAATTCACCAAAAATTGAATGAGATATGAAAAACATATAACATATAACAATTATTTGCATTTTTGAAGTCATATCAGTTCTAAGGTTGTAGTTTGATAACATTTACTGCGGATATTTCGGATTTTTTGTTATAACTCATTAAATTTTTGATGAATTTTCATGAAATTTTGGGAAACAATAGAATACATATTTCCCAAACATTGGTTTTGCGGACTTTTTTCAATGTTCCAAAAATATTTTTTTAAAATTTGTTATCACATTTTATTATATTTATGCCTAAATCCAAACAAAACAAAATTTTGGAAAATTTTGTCCAAAAGATCGATAATCCCTGGTTTTTACTCACCCTGTATATCTCTAGCAATTTCAAATGCTAAAAAAAGGCAGAACACATTTTGGAATTGGCAGGACTATTGTTATTTTCTGATTATCGTTCCATCAATCATATTTGTAAAATTAGATTGTAAAGTCGTCTTTTAATTCTAAATTATTTCCGGGTCTTTCTGATTAGGACTGTAGATACTTTGGGTAAACTCTTGGTAAAATCTTGGTAAACTCCTGGTAAACTCTTGGTAACCTCTTGGTAAACTATTGGTAAACTCTGGGTTAACTCTTGGTAACTCTTGGTAAACTCTTGGTAAACTCTTGGTAAACTTTTGGTAACTCCTTGTAAACTTCAGGTAAACTCTTGGTAAACTCTTGGTAAATTACTTGTTTAAAAATACCTCGCTTTAGCGGTCATCTCTGCCTCCAAGGGAGCTCTACTTCTGGTATAGTAGAAGTTTGAACCAAGATGTCCTGTATTTCCACTTGAAGCTCCAGTCAACCATTCCTTCTCCTTCTCACACAGCACCACCTGCAATCCACTGCTTTGCAACTCCCTAAACCAAGGAAACGATAAGAAACTAAGAAATGTTAGATTAACATAAAATGATTCACCTTGCTATGGCAGCTCCTACAACACCCCCTCCAACAACAATAGCATCATAAACTGCCATTTTTTCTTTAAGAAAAGTGATTGGTTGAATTATTCTTACTTAAGGCCGGAATGTCTTAAGATAAATGCTTCTTATTAAATCCTTCCCTGAACCAGCGGGGTAGGGGTGGATACAGTGGGGAGCATTGCAGCAATTGCTCCCCCCTCCATTCCCATGATTAAAAGGTTAATTTGATAACTTTATAAAATCTGTACAGTCGTCTCTGAAGTTTCATCCTTTGCGGGCAGCACTGTAGCGAATTCAACTTTAGTATTTTTAAAGTAAACAAAATTCCTTATCAAAAACTTTTGATCTAAAATCTGCCTGAAATGCTTAAAATCAAATCCAATTAACAGTCTTAATTTTTTATACTTCTTTATTCCTTGGTTTAGATAATCTGTTTTAAATAGATTAATAAATCATAGATGAGAGTTTTATAAGAAATGAAATTAAAATGGATAAAAAAAATTGATAAATTCATCTGTAATACTCCGAAAAATCTCATTTGATATCTATGTACGAAATGTGTACACGTAATCCGTACAATACATTAAAATAAAATCCGTACCAAATATTTATAAAATACAGGGTTACCGACAAAGAATGACTCTATAAAAACGACTTGAAACTCTTCAAATAAAACACTCCCAGGGTTAAATTAAGTCTTCTGCCTTGAATAAAGTCTTTTAATGGCTTATACAATGTTTTGAGAAAGAAAGAAAAAAGTTTATAGTTGCAGGGAGTTGTGAATATAAAGAAGCAGTTGTGAATATAAAGAAACAGTTGTGAATGTAAAGAAACAGTTGTGAATATAAAGAAACAGTAAAAAAAAATCCAAACAGTCGTCTCTGAAGTCTCATCCTTTGGGGGAATCCATAATCCCTATACATGCCGAAATGATTTTTAATTATTTCCTTCCAAAAAATCGTCGGTTTGTTCATTTATTGTAATTACTGGGAAGAAAATCCGCCTGAATAATTGCTTTGTTAGATCCAAGATTTTTATATATTTTGTTCATTATACAGAGCGTCCCATATCATATTGGATTATCTTCAAGTTTTATTAAATTTTCTGATTAGTCCCTTTAATCTCAATTTAGATCTACAAACGATCTAATATGATGTGGGACACCCTGCATTAAAGGAACAAAAGACAGACGAGGATCATATGATATTTTCTCTAAGACACTGCAGGGATGAATATAAAGTCTAGACTAACTCAGCTCCCATCAGGACTATGTTATGTATAATGTATATACTATATATATAAGTTGGTGCAATCCTGTTCCTATTGTAAAAGCAGGAAGAAAAGGTCGTCTTCAACAAAGAATTTTTTTGAAGTTTAATGAACTATTAAATCTGTTTAGGTATTTTTGAAAATGAAAAAAAAAACAAGTTTCCTCAAGGGCGTGCAATTGGGGGGCAGTGCACCCCATAGACCTGTAAAGGGGGGCGTAGCCCACCCCTAAAACTCAGAGCTGTCACTGCACTTTTCAATTCTTAAACTGAAGAACATGAAAAAAAATAGTTTGCTGTTCATGCAGTGCACCAGAGCCACCATGACAGAAGTCCGAATGAAAAATCTATCTAGATTGCAAATTCATCCTAATCGGATTGGAGCTATCGGGGATAGCGAAGTGAAACAATTATTTTTAAATGCCAAGCCACAAAGGCTTCAGTTTGGAGTTAGTAAAAGACCATTTTTAATATTCTAATTTGGATTTAATTTACTTCATTCATTGCACCGCCGTTTTGTAATCTTTTTTTTATTACAAACTAGCTGAAGTGCCCGGCGTTGCCCGTGGAATTTGAAAAATTCGAATTAAAACAAAATTTTTTTAATTTATTAAGCTTATGTCATCCCCAAGGGTACCTATGAATTTTTTTTCACTAAAATTCAGCCCATTTGATTCAGCCGTTTGGCCAGCCATAGCAAACATATAAATGAATAAATAGCTTTATTATATAGATTATAATTGTACTCCTACTTTTTCGAAAACAGAAATTTTAACAAGTCATAAATATTTTCTAGAGCTTTGTCCTTTTTTCATCTCATAGAATTTAAGTTTAAGTTGAGGTTTTCAGTTTCACAAATGTCTTATACTATCTCAAGTTTAAATACCAATTATTACTAACTTAACAGTATAATAAAATGTCGATTTTTTAGAAACAATGTTTTTTTCTAATAGTTTTGTTTGAAGGGAAGATAAAGCAGTAGTTGCAATTGGTAATTGGACTGTTTGTGTACCTTTAAAGTATCTTGTACTAATGCCTGATATCCAAGAAGCCATATGTTTTAAATATACAGCTCTTTTGTCCCCCTTAGGAGCTCCTAGGGGGGGGGGGCAAAAAAAATGTTGCGCTTCGTTCGCCCCCCCCCCCCTACATTTATCTCTGTATACGCCCTTGAGTTTCCTCCAAACACGATCAAAGATCGGATATAAAATTTTATTACAGAAAGTCAGAAGCAGGGTTCTAAACTTCAAAAACACAATTTTACAGTTTTACATTTATTTTCAATGACACCCTGCAGTTTTGATCAGTTCAGGTCACCCTGTATACTTTATCAAAGAAGGTTGACAATGGTTTTTGAAATTAACAATGAAAATTAAAGTTCTATCTCTGGATCTACTCACGAACCTATTCGAGTGCAGTAATCCGACTCCTGCTGACAAATAATCAATAATTGGAATAAAGAACGTATTCAATTTGAGCGCGTGGGGACGCGTGCAGATTACTCATACTTGCTCAAGAATGATCAAAAAATCAATTATTACTGAATAATAATATATTTCACAAAAATGATATTTTCCCACAGTTTGAGCTCAGACTGTATAGATATATATATAGGACTATTACAATGGGAATCAAGGAAATAAGAAAAAATAAGGAAACTTTCAGGACCAAGTCAATGGACCAACTTCGTAGACTATAGGTTGAAACTGTCCACTCAAGAGAAGTGGTTTAGCTTAGTCAACGTAGTTCAACTAGTTCTCGTTATTCAACAAAGCTGGCCCCATGAACGGTCAGATTGTGCATGTGAAATGCTCAATAAAAAAGTCCCTTTTAACCTATAAGATCTTACATTTTTCTACAGTTGCCCTTGTGACGTGTTGATTGAACCATACTATGTTTGAAATATGCATCTTTCATCTTTTATAATTATATCATCTTAATTGAGTTGAGTGAAAAATAAATACATCTTTAATATTCATAGTTTAGAAAAATCTCAGAATATTTGATAATATTACAGATGAGGTGGGAGGGGAGGGGGAGTATAGAATAAAGGCGAGAGAGGGGGAGTATAGAATAAAGTAGGAGGGGTGGAGAAGCTGAATTAAGAAAAATCTGCACCTGCTCCTCTTACTGTTTAGTATTCATAGAATATTAAATCAACATTACATGTAAATACATAAATAACTAAATCCAGAATAAATGTATTTAAGTGCAGTGATAACCAGAAAACTCTGAAATGTAAAGACGACTTTCAGACTGAAGATATGACTATAAAGGGTCCAATAAGCATGGTATAAAGTCGTCTTCATATTTCAGAGTTTTCTGGTTATCACTGTAGATATGAAAATAATGTTTTGTAATTCAAAAAGTTGTTTTCTGTAAATTCAAAGCGTTCGAAAATCTTTTTCAAACCGATTTGTAGGAACTATTTAGGGCAGAAACGATAAATTCTCAAAAAAAATTCATGAAATATCTATGATAGATATAATACAGCTGCAAAATGGAAACACATGCTAAGAATGAACGAGGATGAAGAGAATCTGGTTTTATTTGATGTAAAACCAATACAAGCTCTTCATCCAACAATAGACGGGTAGGAATCGGAAATGACGAGGATATATCCTACGGTTCGGAGACAATTATTCTGATCAAACTCAGTTTTCCTTTTCTCTGTCAAGAAGGGAGGAAACAATCTGTTAAGAGAGGGGTTGGAGAAGGAGAATTGATAGATATATATCGTTTTCAAGTGTCAGTGCTGTCTTCACCTATTCTCACCCTGATAAACTGCGCTATATCCGTCCTTGTCTTGTAATCTTACACAATTCTATGTTCTCATACATTGTGAAAACATTACAGGAGTCAAATAAAACATTTATCCTCTGGAAACCAGACGCGTTCTCACACATATCTCCAGCTGTGCCTAGAGATAATGGAGATAAATTGAGAAGTAAAAAATATAAACCATCATAAACTATTGTCTCACACTTGGTTTTAATGTGTTTTCTTCATTTCACCGTTTCTATCTTTTAATATAATAGATAAACTACATTTTTTAAGATTACTAAAAAACTAGGCGATTTGAATCCATCTTCGAATTCAACTTTTAAATGTTGCTCTATCTGCCGCTTTTTCTCTTCTTAAGTTATAAAACAATAATAAACAAATTTTCACGGATTTATCATTTTTTTCGTGGATTTTGAAATTTTTTAAGGCAAATTATTTTTTTAATTCTAACCATTCATAAACCTTGTGAGGTTCCACACAAAAATTGGGTCAGATCGGTTCAGCTTATTTCAGGTATATCAGGTTTATTGAATACTAACAAACAAACAAACAGACACCCAGACAAGCAAAGTATAGATTAAAAAAGCTCAGAAACTGTCAAAATCATCATATGCGCCAAAGATCTAAGGTGAACTTTAGAAGTAACCTCAACCTGAGTCTTATGACGCATGAATTTAAATTAAATCGAAAAAAGTTTTAAGACCAAGCATGTGTCGTATTACACTGCACGTTAAAAATCAATCTCTACTTTCTTTCTATGAACAAGAAATATAAATATCCATAAATATAAGTTGGATATTCAAAAATATAAATATCCATAAATATAAATATCCATAAATATAAATAAATATAAATAGAATGAAGGAATAAATGACAGGAAGGAATGTAGTTAAGTTCTAAAGAAAATGTTGAGTTTAGTTTTCAACTAATCAGGAACTGTGTAGAGAGATAACTTAATGAAGGATGAGGACAGATAATGATGAATGTTTCAAGATTCAATTATAGAGTTTTCTAGGCCTGTTCAGGACTTTCTCAGGGTTCCTTAAATTTATTCCTGTTTTTCCTCTTTATAGGGGCCGGGATTTGTTGAAAAAGGGAAGAAAAGATAGAAATAGAATTGATGAAACTTAGGAATATATTAATTCTGAGAGAAATGTTGTAAGATTACATAGTTTTTGCTAGTAAAAGTAAGGGTTCACTTAGCTCCAGGTTGTGTATAAGCATACAACCTCTCCTAATGGTTTCTCTCTATTCATCTAGTTCTACTTAGTACAACTCATAAATCAGGACTACTGGAGATAGAAGGTTTCTCTAGGTTTATCAGGAATACTGCAGAGATACAAGGGTTACCTAGGTTTATTAGTAATACTACAGAGATACAAGGGTTACCTTGGTTTATCCGTAATACTGCAGAGATACAAGGGTTACCTAGGTTTATCAGGAATACTGCAGAGATACAAGTGTTACCTAGGTTTATCAGGAATACTGCAGAGATACAAGTGTTACCTAGGTTTATCAGGAATACTGCAGAGATACAAGGGTTACCTAGGTTTATCAGGACTACTGCAGAGATACAAGGGTTACCTAATTGTATCAGGAGTACTGCAGAGATACAAGGGTTACCTAGGTTCATCAGTAATACTGCAAAAATACAAGGGTTACCTAGGTTTATCAGGAATACTGCAGAGATACAAGGGTTACCTAGGTTTATCAGTAAAACTGCAAAAATACAAGGGTTACCTAAGTTTATCAGGACTACTGCAGAGATACAAGGGCTACCTAGGTTTATCAGGAATACTGCAAAAATACAAGGGTTACCTAGGTTTATCAGGAATACTGCAGAGATACAAGATATTGGTTTATCAGGACTTCTAGAGATACAAGGATTACCTAGGTTTGTCAAGACTACTGGAGATACAAGGTCTTCCTAGGTTTAAAAATAAAAAAGAAAGAGTTCTGAAGAATTCTTGTTGTAGGAAGCTCTTGAAAGAAATAAGATATTTTACATAGTGAATAAAAGAGAACCTAAGTGTAGGATAATTGAAGAATAAAGTAGAACAATTAGTGGCGGGTTGGTGGGATAATGAGGAAAGTATGAATATGAAAAGCATTCTAGGGAATATAAAAGGGGTGAAAGAAAATTAGTTTGTTGGGGAGAATACAGGGAACGGGTTGAAGAGAATGAAAGGTTTAAAGGAACGTCTGAGTAGAGTATTGGGAAACTATAGGGAAGAACTGGTGATAGGGCATTGACAGGGTAGCATATACTTGATCAAAAAAGAAGAGAAAATTATATAATGTCGAGTAGGAAGAGAAGGTAATGTGGGGAAAAGGATAGAGAGACAAAGGGATAAGGATTATGATAGAGAAATAGGGCCATGTTCTAGTAACTAAATATATGGTTAAATATGTTGACGGAATTTAATTAGGAAGACATGAATTATGAAATGGATATGAAAGGGGAATAGAAACAGGTAATGTTTTTTTAGAAAAGGGTTTAGAAAGGGAAAGAGTGTTGAGCTTAGGTTGCGAATATGAAGGGTATTATCCAGGGGAGTTTTCATGTTGGATATCGGGTAGATTGCTGGTACTTTAGGGGAGTTGGGGATATTTTATCGATAATCCTTTAAACCCCGCAGAGAACGCAATCAAACCTAATCAAATATTCAACAATATTGATAATATTTACAATTGCATAATTTGACGCGTTTATTTGCATATTATACACTACAACGCCTTGGGTAAGTATATATTTGTATATACATTTAGGATACAGGATGAATTATATTGATAGAAAATTGTGAGCAAATGGAAAACAAGGGATCGAATAATTTTAAATTGTCTTGTGTAGGAAATCATGGATGAGAATTGGATTGTGGAAGGAGGGATTGTCATGTGTAGGGAACTATAGATTGTAATTGAAGAAGGGAGGGAGGGATTTTCAGGTGTAGGGAGCTATGGATTGGTATTGGAGAGGGAAAGGATGGAGGGATTTTCAGGTGTAGGGAGCTATGTATGGGTATTGGAGAGGGGACGGAGGGATTGTCAGGTGTAGGGAGCTATAGATTGGTATTGGAGAGGGGAGGGAGGGATTGTCAGGTGTAGGGAACTATAGATGAATATTAGAGAGGGGAGGGATGGATTGTCAGGTTTGGGGAGCTGTGAATGAATATTGGAGAGGGGAGGGAGGGATTGTCAGGTGTAGGGAGCTATGTATGGGTATTGGAGAGGGGACGGAGGGATTTTCAGGTGTAGGGAGCTATAGATTGGTATTGGAGAGGGAAGGGAGGGATTGTCAGGTGTAGGGAGCTGTGAATGAATATTGGAGAGGGGAGGGAGGGATTGTCAGGTGTACGGAGCTATGGATTGGTATTGGAGAGGGAAAGGAGGGAGGGATTGTCAGGTGTAGGGAGCTATGGATTGGTATTGGAGAGGGAAGGGAGGGATTGTCAGGTGTAGGGAGCTATGTATGAATATTGGAGAGGGGAGGGATAGCTCCCTACACCTGACAATCCCTCCCTTCCCTCGGGAGGGAGGGATCGTCAGGTGTAGGGAACCATAGATGAATATTGGAGGGGGAGGGAGGGATTGTCAGGTGTAGGGAACTATAGATGAATATTGGAGAGGGGAGGGAGGGAATGTCAGGTTTATGGAACCATGGATGGGTATTAGAGAGGGGAGGGAGGGATTGTCAAGTGTAGAGAACTATGGATGGGTTTGGAGAGGGGAGGGAGGGATTGTCAAGTGTAGAGAACTATGGATGGGTTTGGAGAGGTAGGGAGTGAGTGAATGAGAATTGGAGAGGGAGGGGCTGGATCGATATATTTGTACACCTGATACAAAATATTGGAATTATAGACAACAAACTCAGCTCAAACAAGTTTCCTTCTCATGCCGCCATACTCCCAACAGCAATCCATTAAAAAAAGTTTTCATTTATTAACACCTCGACAGTACTTCCTTCAACGCATATTTCTCCACCCAAAGACTGTTTAAACTCCTTTCATAACCGTCTCTGACCTTCATCAGAAGTTTCCTCAATCCACTATAAACTCCAACTCCAAGTTAACACTCTTTTCCTCGACGAGATGCCCCCTCCAACAAGTACTCTCCATCCCTCGACAGTAGGCTCTACCAGCAAGTTCTCTCCATCCCTCGACAGTAGGCTCTACCAGCAAGTTCTTTCCATCCCTCGACAGTAGGCTCCTCCAACAAGTTCTCTCCATCCCTCGACAGTAGGCTCCTCCAACAAGTTCCCTCCATCCTTCGACGGTAGGCTCTTCCAGCAAGTACTCTCCATCCCTCGAAAGTAGGCTCCTCCAACAAGCTTCATCAATCTCTCGACAGTAGGCTTTTCCAAAAAGTTCTCTCCATCCCTTGACAGTAAGCTTATCAAACAACTCTCTCGACACCCTCCTTCGTTCACCCTTCAACCTCCTCCTTATCCCATTTACATCATCCCTCATAATAAACATTATATATTCCTGGAAATTGATCATGATTCATCATCGGAAATGTGATTCTATATAATTGCATAAAACCAAATCAAATTATGAAGAACCGTATAAAGCTTTGCAACTGGTATCTAATATTTACCAAATAATGGGATTAAAGGGATTGTTTAGATATTTAGTTAAAGGGACTGTAAAGGAAAAATAAAAGGGGGTATACGAACATATAAATAATATATCAATTATATGTTTTATAAATGAAAAATTATTAAATTCAAATAATGATAGAAGCAAGCCTAAGCTTCTTAGGCTCCTTGGGATATCGTCGTCTCATGGGCCTCGATCAACTCCTAAAATGCTTAGGTTTCAGCCTATACCCGCTTTCATTTTTCCTTTACAGTCCCTTTAAGGTCAGAGGTCTCAAATATTGTTCCTAAAAATGGTAGATTTCAAGTTTAAGTGTCCTTTTCCGTAGAGTTTTCTTTTAAAGATTCGGTTTTGATCTTCCGTACAGATTAAAATGTTGACTTTATTTAACATAACCTTTATACAAACTAGACAATTAAATAAGACTTGTATTATTAAATTATTCAAAGTTTTGAAGAAATAAATGGATATTTTTAACTCCATCTTCTCAGAAAAGGGTAAAAATATTCTGCATATTTTTTGTAAAGTATCTGATGAGCTCATCAATAACTATGTTCAATATGCAAGTAATAATTGCGAAACTTTTCAAACAGGAGTTCATGTAAGTTCAGATATTTATGAATTTTTAATTTATTAAAAATAAATTTCTTTGATGAAAAAATCATCTAGGCTTGAAAAAATTCTTCCCGTGAACCAAGGATGAATATGTTCCCGTGAACCAAGGATGAATATGTTCCCGTGAACCAAGGATGAATATGTTCCCGTGAATAAGAAATCATGAGCCATAAGAAAAATAGTTCTGTTAGAGTAAAGGATCATTAAATCCTGATTATGAGAACCTAAATCTAGAAAACAGAATTATCTCAATCGGATACATTCCATATATCTTGACACCAAGCGGCACGTGACCCGTCCTCCCCCCTTGTACACAAATATATCCCGCCCTTTGTGATCCTGGTGGGGAATATCTACCACGCCTCGTTACCTCTGTCTAATATTTGTAAGTTTGTCTAGATTTATTATGTTTGTCTCATTACAGATGACTGCTGTTAGTATCCGCACTGGTCTGTCAAGTCTGTTTTTATCCAACAGGGTAGAATCACAGAGACTGGAGGAGAGGGGTGGGAAGAAAAAGTGGAAGATAAGTTGAGACGGGGAAGGTAAAGGGATAGATTGGAGTGGAGAAGGGTCAAAGAGAGGTATGAAGAAGGATTTTCGAAAGGAGACTAACACTAGGGGATAGGAGAAGGGTTGGAAAGTGTGTGTGCAAAATTATTTTCAATAGGAGGATAATTCTTAGATCTTTGCTAAGTGTGTGTGCAAAATTATTTGAATATTTTTAAATGATTTCAGGTCGGAAGTTTATGCTTGTGGTCAAATTAAACAATAATGATTATCATATGTGTACTAATACAGAATCTACTGACTCTGAGTTAAATCTAATTAACTTTAATCATCTTTTATGCTGTGAACTCTATGCAAGATAATCATAATTTATCCTAAAATGATTAAGATAAACTTAGATAATTAGTGTGTTCTATCATTAAGATAGTTATGAAAGGTCAGTAGTTGTAAATATCAATATCTAATATGCTTTCCAAAAAACTTATCAGATAAACGTCTTGGTTTATAATTACACCCGGAGAAATCGGAGAAACTTGATCAAATAAGAGTAAACTACTCTAATCATCAAAAAAATACTTAAATATTGTAAAATCAGACGTGAATATGTTTAAAGGGTATCGAGTAGATTTTGAGAGAGTTTATTTTTAATTGGGTTGATATGAAAATATCTGGAGATGAGAGAGTGAATGATGAACGAGTCTAGAAATGAAAAATTCAAGGAATTATATACTCAAGGAATTATTTAGTCAAAGAATTATAGTGTCAAAGAGTGATCGAGTGAAGGAGTAAACAGTCAAAAGATGAAACAAGTTAAAGGATGAACAAGTCAGAGAATAAACGAATCGAGGAATAAACTAATCAAGAAATGAACAAACTAATAAATGAACAAGTCAAGGAATAAACTAATCAAGAAATTAACACATCAATAAATGAACGAGTCAAGGAATGATAGTGTCAAGAAATGTAATGTCAATAATGAATGCGTAAAAGAATTAAAGAATGGCAGATTAAGGGTGAACAGATCGAGAACCCACGAATCAAGGGAGTCACAAAGAACAAATCAAGGAATGAAGATGAGAAAGGACGATGATGCTTTGGAATCAAAGAAAGAGTGGCGAGGGAGAAAGAGATGAATAGAATAAGACTGGAAAATAAGAAATAAGGAGGTGAGATAGGGAAAGTGAATGAGGAGGAGGGACGAGGAAGGA